GGAAAGCTCACCTTCTTCAGTCACATTAATTTCCATTGCATAATTTAGAACTCTGATGATTCTTCACTTATTTGCCTCACATGTATATTGTTAGATAAAATAGAGCCTCAGCTGCCTGAAATCATATTAGAACAGCTTCTATCTACAGCGGAGCAGGTACCGCAGATGAAGCTTGGGTGGGCTCCTACTCTAGGGTTGAGCGAGGCGGAGAGGCGCCGTCGCTTATTTTTCGGAAAACCGAGCGACGAAAATAATTGTTGGGACATTTGCCGAGCTGCCGAGCACGCGCGCCAATAATTTGTGCCAGTCGCCTAGGGACGGTGAGCCTTTCGAAAGATTACGCAAATTCTGCTGACATAGACACAAATCCCGCTGACGTAGTATATATAAACGGTAATTACAAGATAGCCGATAATCACCCAACCCGATAATCCGCTTGAGAAAGCTCCCGTCCCTTAGGCGCTGGTCAGGAGTCTGGTCATTGACTGGAGTGACCAGTCATTGACCAGTCACTGACCGGCACAACACTGTTACACGCCGGTGTCGTTGCCGCATGCAGGTTGCGGCGTCGGGCACATCCGCAAACGGAAACGACCATGAGCTGTCAATCCGTCTGCCGATACATACGTGTCCGAATTCTAACCCCACGGTGATTGACCGTGTTGCTAACGAGACGGTGGGGTGTTCAAAAGTGGGTATTTCGCAGTAGCCCCTCTTCACGCACGTAGTCAAACGCGTCGGCAGCTATGAAACGAGCATCAATTAGATGCGCACGGCTATGGGCGAGGGGTCTAGGATACACAGAGTCCATATTGGTCTGAGAGCGGGAGGATGCCATGCGCGCATAGATCGAGTCTTTTGCGAAATGCGAGACAGTATAGAATTTTACGGCGCGCAGCATAATATCGCAGATATCCGGGATACTCAAACCTCTCAAACCTGTCTCGCTATCAGCTTAGTCTCGTTTAACTTCGCGCAGGACTTACTTTGCAGACGATTCTATATAGAAAGTGGTAGTTCCTGCTGTTCCGTTCTGCCCTGCTGACGTGCACCAGTATCTTGTTATGACCTGCACAGGGGTTCTGTACGATCGATATTGGTGGCTGTATGCATACGCGGGGCTCTAACGGTGAGGAAATTGTGAAAACTAGCCGGATTGTCTCCCGTTGTCGGTGCGAATGAGTGCTTGTTGCATGCGAACGACACGTCTGCCGAAACAGTCATCGACGGCGCATACGAACTTCTTGGAGGTACATACCTGTAACGCGGTTTTCAATATGCGCTGGATAGACCGTCCTCCAAATCTGCGAACGATTGGGGGTTTCAAATTCATCGGCCGGTGCAGTCGTACTTCAACGCTTCTGGGCTCCAGCGGTATAGATGCATTCGGGATGGACAATAGTGCGGGACGTCGTCGGCGTGGACACCTCCTGATGCCCTTACATCGTGTTCGATGAGTCAGGGCTCGAGCAATCAGCGGAGGCTGGGAAAGGTCCGTTCACGTCCGGTATGAAGCGGCGGAGGCGAGGACAGAATGAAAGTTGCCATATGCAGCGACGCCGCCAAAGTCTGAACTATGAGAGCATGTCCTACGCTGCAAAATCCGTGCTCGCTTAGGGCGCATATAGTGCATATGACAGCGGAACTCACCTGCGTACTGGGTGCGCCACCAGCGAACAAGCTGAAGCACTGAGAGGCACATTGGTAAGACTTGTCGTATGTAGGGTCTCGTCGAGCAGGAGAACAGATGCGGCAGACGCTAGCCACTTTGTCAAGAGATGACTGGGTCGTTAGCTGCTGAGATTGTCGATAAGCAAGGATCCACGAAACGCAGCAGTCAGAGAGACGCACGTCGAGATTCCTCGCTGCTTCGACCGCTCTGTTCAACTATTAAAGCGCCCGCGTGACATATGCACTACCAGACCGTCGAGCACATACGTTCTGTTAATGTGTCGGGTCAGGCTCGCATCGCGCACGAAACAGACGTACCACAAGGTCAGGGTTTAGCTCGACCTGTCATGACCGCAATACAATATCCGAAACTTAAAAAAGTACGCACAGATGTCAGAAGCAAGCAGATGCAAGTAGAGAAGCGTCCAGGGCAATGACAAGCCATAATCTGAGCGCGGAGGATGGACGTCGTAAACACGGGGCTAATTAGTAAATATTTTTAGCTGACAGAGGTACGAAAATGACCGTGAGAAAAGAAGCTAGAAAGCCTGAACACTTTCCGGTGAAAATATATGATAGGTAAAATTTGAAAATAAGAGTAAAACAAAGTCACCTTTTTTTAGTCAATCTTGTTGTAAAAAGTTGGTCAGCTCACAGCAAAAAGAGGTGCAACTACCGCTGGGCTATCCATATATAGAGTAATACACATGGAGAAAGAAATGATGATGATTTCGCCCTAAGGATATTTCAACTCTTCTAATAGCTCAAAAGGTGTAAAAGCAGTGTATCTTTTTGTACCACTAAAACGATAACATCCCCATGGGGGAATAGCTTAAGTGTATTTATGAAACAAACTGAATGTGCTTTTGCACCTCTATCCGCGCAAAATAGTATAAAATTAGCCCCGTGAAAGTAGGGAAACGGGTATATTAGACGCCCACACGAGATGGCATCATATCAAGGGTACGCTCGAATCTAATCAGTTATCTAATCGCTGAATCTGACATGATCTCGTGATCTTGGACTATGCCGGGCTGTGTTTGGGGAAGCCGGGCGAGAAAGTGAAAGTCCTATCAATTCATACGACAACTACCGGCCCTCGACAGCATCCAATATCTTTCACATCTCGGCCCCGACGAGCCATCATCGATGCATTATCACAGCTCGAGCCATGGCAGCTACAGCCCCCTGGTGCGGGCGGAGCATCTGCGTTCTCACTTCCGCCGAGCTAGTCCCTGCCACTACACACGCCAACACATCCCCTGCATTAGTTTGCCACCACGCGCACTTCAACAGTACCATTCCCGCGATGGGCTCGATGGGCTCCGAGCCGCCGCCGTCCTCGCATGGCCATTCGCAGAACGCACAGTCGCATCCCTTTGCGCTCAACACGTCTTCAAATGACAGCGGGTCGAACAGCGGCATCAGCGGCAACGGCTCTCGAGCGTGACTTGCAGCTTGCACCTGTCTGGCCTGTTTAGTTCCTCGAAGGAGTTTGAGGTGGATTCGAAGGCGAGGCTGAAGCTTCTTATTGTGCGTGCACACCCTTTATGCGATCAGAGGTTACTGACGAATGTGTATCACAGCTAGCGACCTTCCTCACGCTGCGCACCACTAACTTCTGCACGACGCTACTCTCCCCAGCAACTGTTCCTGAACGCCGCCATAAGCACACTCCCGTACTAATGGAGACCGCTGTCCCCCCTCCACGTGTCGATTCTACCTCTCCCCAGGCTACCACCGTCCTCTCCGCTCTGGCCGAAGTGGAAACAACCACCGTCGTCAGCGATGCTTCGACTTATGTGAAGATTACGTCTCCCATCTACGTTCGTGCTGTTCCAGCAGCTACGCAGGCGCATCCTATCGCTTCCACTTCTAGTGTGCGCTCCGGCTGCACTAGTGCTGACGCGTGGACAGCCAATACCAGCGAAATCGTCGAGAACTTCATGTCCGGCTGATCCATCTTAATCATTCGTCATGTCCAAGTGGATCGCCGTTCTTCTCGGTATCAGTGTTGCCCTCAACGGGATCTTACTGAAGGGCGTTGCCGCCAACACTGGCTCCCGATTGTTCGTGGCGGCGTACGCTCTCACTCTTGTGCGCGCGTATCCAAGAAGGTCGTCGACGAGGACGTTTGCGAATCTCCAAAGCCTTCCATCGTCATCCCGAGTACTGGGCCCGTTGTCACTTCCCATCCTTCTCCGATACTCGAGCCTCATTCTGCCCGTGCCGTTCTTGACGGTCCTGCGAAGGAGCGCAAGCTACCGGTCCTCAGCATCCCAGTTGATCTCACAACTGTCGACGCGAAGCTTGAGAAGGGGCGCCTCCTTACCGAGGCTGCGGCCCGTACCGAGCGCGTCCGCAACGACCAAGCCGCCGTCACCTAGGGCACTCCTCTTCTCCGCCGAATGTCAGCGCCAAGGTGTCCTGCTTGAGGGTGCACTCTGGCTTCTCGTGGCGTCTCTGCCGTCGCGCACACCCGCGAGCTGGAGCATAGTAAGCACGTAGCGAGTTTTTAAGCATGTCGTGAAACTCACCTATTAGTTTAAATCCTGTCCCTTTCCGTCACCGCGACTTTGTCATGCACGATGCAACCCACTCTCCTCCGCTGCCAGTCCCCGTGTACCCTCAGGCCGTTTCCCATGATGCAATTCGGCATGGGCGTCGCAATCGTCAATGACGAGGCGGTCCTCAAGACGGCGTAGGAGAGCGGGATAATCAAGACGGATCGTCGAGGGTACACTTGCAATGATACGGTCTGCCTCGACAATCTCAACAAGGGTGCTATGCTAGCTTGAGGACAGGCGGGGTGTGGTAGGATTTGCAGCAGCGGAGTATACAAGTATGATATTGATTCTACAGTGGCAAAACATATGCATAATCCTCTAGTGTTCTATCCTCTAAGAATATATGAAATATACACTGAACGAGCACAAAAATATATGGCTAGACTGGTGGATTGCCCCTCGAGATGTCGCTTCGCCTACTTCTCACATCGCCGCACCGGAGCTTTTGACCTTGCGTACTGTTCGCCTGTCCATCTCCTCCGCTTGTCTCCTCCTAACAGTGTCACAACCTCCAAATCGCCTATCCTCCGTGAACGCGTTACGGGCTGTACAGCACATGTGCGGCATGCCCTATCTGTGTGATATCCATGCACGTCTCAGGCCGCAGGTTCGTTGTGGTGGGTTCTCTTCGGCGCCGTGGTCGAGAAGCAGGCGCATGACCTCAGTATGTCCCTTCGCCTTCGCGCGGTCCGGCGCGCGTAATTCCTTCATGTCCACAGCTGCGATGCCGGCACCGTTGTCGAGGAGAACGCGGGAAGCGCCGATGTGCCCGTTCGAGGCCGCGTAAAACAACGGGCTTCGTTCGTCCTTATCCTGCGCGTTGATAGCCGCACCATGCTCGAGAAGAGTGAGCACGATGTCGACGTGACCATTTTGTGCAGCAATATGTAGCGGTGTTGCACCTTTCTTGTTCTGCGAGTCGACAGGTGCACCGCGCTCGATAAGGGTACGCACAATGTCGGCGTGGCCATTTTGTGCAGCGACATGTAGCGCCGTCAAGCCGTACTCGTTCTGCAAGTCGACAGCTGCACGGCGCTCGAGAAGGGTACGCGCAATGTCGACGTGGCCAGTTAGTGCAGCGATATGTAGCGGTGTCCAGCCGTCCTTGTTCTGCGGGTTGACAGCTGCACCGCACTCGAGAAGGGTACGTGAAGTGTCGGCGTGGCCCTTTTGTGCAGCGACATGTAGCGGTGTCAAGCCATACTCGTTCTGCAAGTCGACAGCTGCATCGCGCTCGAGGAGGGTATGCACAATGTCGGCGTGGCCATTTTCTGCAGCGATGTGTAGCGGTGTCCACCCGTCCCGTTGCCGCACGTCGACAGTTGCACCACGCTCGAGAAGGGTACGCGCAATGTCGGCGTGGCCATTTTCTGCAGCGACATGCAGCGGCGTCAAGCCGTCCTTGTTCTGCAAGTCGACAGCTGCACGGCGCTCGAGAAGGGTACGTGTAGTGTCGGCGTGACCCTTTTGTGCAGCGACATGTAGCGGTGTCCAGCCGTCCTTGCTCTTCGAGTCGACAGCTGCACCGCGCTCAAGAAGGGTACGCGCAGTGTCGGCGTGGCCAATTGCTGCAGCGCAATGTAGTGGTGTGCAGCTGTCCTTGCTCTTCGAATTGACATCTGCAGCGCGCTCGAGAAGGATACGCGCAATGTCGGCGTGGCCAATTGCTGCAGCGCAATGTAGCGGCGTCCAGCCGTTCTTGTTCTGCCGGTTGACATCTGCACCGCGCCCGAGAAGGATACGTGTAGTGTCGGCATGGCCATTTTCTGCAGCGACATGTAGCGGTGTCGAGCCATATTTGTTCCGCGACTTGGGAGCTGCACCGCGCTCGAGAAGGATACGCGCAACGTCGGCGTGGCCCTCTTGTGCAGCGATATGTAGCGGCGTCCAGCCGTTCTTGTTCTGCAGCTTAACAGCTGCACCGCGGTCGAGAAGGGTACGCGCAATGTCGGCGTGGCCACTTTCTGCAGCGATATGTAGCGGTGTCCAGTTGTTCTTGTTTTGCGAGTCGACAGCTGCACCACGCTCGAGAAGGGCACGCGCAGTGTCGACGTGGCCATTTTGTGCAGTGAAGTGTAGCGGTGTCCACCCGTCCTGTTGCCGTACGTCGACAGCTGCACCGCGCCTGAGAAGGGCACGCGCAATGTCGGCGTGGCCATTTAGTGCAGCGATATGTAGCGGTGTCGCACTGTTCTTGTTCTGCGAGTCGACAGCTGCACCGCGCTCGAGAAGGGTACGCGCAGTGTCGGCGTGGCCATTTTGTGCAGCGATATATAGCGGTGTCCAGCCATCCTTGTTCTGTGAGTCGACAGCTGCACCGCGCCCGAGAAGGGTGCGCGCAATGTCGGCGTGGCCATTTTCTGCAGTGATATACAGCGGTGTCCACCCGTTCTTGCTCTGCGAGTCGACAGCCGCGCTGTGCTCGAGAAGAGTGAGCACAATGTCGACGTGACCATTTTGTGCGGCGATATGTAGCGGTGTCAAGCCGCCCTTGTTCCGCGAGTCGACAGCTGCACCGCGCTTGAGAAGGATACACGTAATGTTGGCTTGGCCATTTTGTGCGGCGATATGCAGTGGTGTACACCTGTCCAGGTCCCGCACGTCGACAGCCGCGCCGTGGTCGAGAAGGGTGCGCATGTTGTCGATCTGGCCATATTGTGCTGCAAAATGCAGTGGTGCCCGCCCATCCTCTGCCAGTGCGTTGACAGATGCCCCGTACTCGAAAGGGGTGTGTGTGATATACTTGTCGATATGCCTGCTCCTGCCCAAGGCCTCCCCACCCCACAGATACATCACCTTCACATTATCTTCCCCTAATTTTAGCCCAACAAACTTCTTCCCCTCGTCCTCATCCATGTGGATCACACCCCATTTGATCACCTCAACAGCTTTCTTGCCTTGCACATCCCGCTCTCCGACCACTTCAGCCGCAACCCAGCAATCCCGCCAGGGGTACCCGACGCCGAGCAAGCGATACGGAGCATCCGCGATAAGACATCCATGTGTTTCGGTAGCAGTGACTTGTACGGTGATGGGCTCAGCGCGATCGTAGAAGTACAGTCGGAACACTGGCAGTCTACCAGTATTTCGGCAGGCGTCGTCGGGTGAGGATACAATGTAGCATGGCTCGGTGGCATATGCGGAATGGTAATATTCTTCGAGCTTATTCGTGTGAACTTGTTGAGGATCCACCAGCTGCAGCCGCTCCGTGTCAAGCGTCTGATTTGGGAGTAGCAACGCCGATGGGGATGCCAAGAGCCCCCGCCACGAGATCCACAGTCCGAATGGAGCATCAGATTCGTGCTGAAGGAAGAGGGATGTCCTGGCCCATGAAGGCATGTGCTTGATGAGCAACGTCCATGCGGACTCCGAGGAGGTCAACCGATCGTACAGAGGTAGCGTCGGGCATTGCAGGAGGTAACCAAGACAGGCTACCCTGTCAAGGTCTGTGGGGCAATTGCGACTCTTCACGGCTTGGATGACGTCGACTAATCGGTCCCAGCGAGATACACTCGAGATGAGGTCCTGCATGCGAGAAAAGAAACTCGAGCTATCGGAGAGGGGTGCGGCGGTGAGCCCGCCAGGTAACCAGCTGTCCACGGTCTCCTGCACGGTAGACAGACAATTGAACCAGTGCCGGTCCGATTTGAGAACTGTCGGCGTCGCATCAAACGGTAAGCCCAAGCCGTTAAAATATGTGATGCATGGTCTTCCGCGAGGGTGAGCTTGGTAAATATGACCGATCGTAGGCACGTCGAGCTTCCACTCCTCGATCCGAACTTCGTCGTCGTCCGCGTTGCCCTCCTGCCATAAACAGAGGACATCGAGGAAGACATATTTGGCATCCATATTCAGCAGCTCGATGCGGACGTGGTCGAGTGATGTGCCGCGCGGGATCGAGACAGGCCATCGGTGTCCGTTGATCGGTGTCACGACGTTCTGGCGCTCTTGTTCGTGGACCCAGCTATGTGACACCGTCCATAGGTCGGCAGGCAAGCAGCTAGGGCCCTCGTCGTTTTCCCAAGACACTACATGGAAGGGAAGGACTCGATTGCTGTACAGGTCCCAGACACGTCGAGGAGGCATTCGGGAGTCCTGGATGGAATGATTGCGAACTGTATTTTCTCGCCTTCGCTGGTCCTCATCACGACGATCCTTCATCCTGGTGAGTACTGGGACAAAGCCCTCGGGCCGCCGGTGGCTCGCCCATTGCGAGCGTAGTGTGCCGTACACCTCCCCGAAATCATGTGAAGCGCTGACAGCATACTCTAAACAGTCGCGAAGGCCGGGGGTTTCGAGCGTATAAGATGTACCAAGGACGTCGTTGAGTTTGGCAAGTAGATCGTCAATTGATAGGGAGCGACAAGGGATGTCCGCGAGTGAATTAGGTATCGCTCCTTGTCCAATGTATACCCACTGCAGGGGGATGGCGGAGAGAGTGGAAGGCCGGAGAGCGTAGCATTCTCCTCTACCTGATGACCGAAAAAATTCGTGGGCGGATGCAGCTCCGAACGACGAAGCCAGATGAATCAATCCCCAAATGAAGGTTCGATTGCTGTCGGCGGAAGAGCTCCCACATATGATCCGCTGGTTGACAAGCTCCGGGATGATTATCTGTGTCATGATAGGGCGATCGTTGCTTGGTAACCAAGGCGGGTGCATGTTGGCCAGTAGTATTCGCAAGTCGGGCCTGTTCTGTACTGCGTAGAGTGTGTAATACTGGCCGTCACATGTGTCAGTCGTGCTAGCAACGGATGGTCATGCAAGTCACACCAACCGAAGGTGCCTTAAAGCCGTTGGCCAATTCAAGCTCGACCAGCTCGTTGTATGCCTGTCGATACGGGATTGGAGTCAATCACACTTGCACTGCGAATCATAACATGATAATCACGTACCGCAATATAGTCGTATACTCTCGAGCTTCGACATGCAGCCTCTTCTGCGGTACAATATACTATTCGCATCCGTCGCCTGCTGGCGGCTACGTGTGTCCCCAGCCGCTGGCCTTCGTCTTGACACGCGTGGCTGGATGTACTATGCCTAAGGCAGAGAGGACGAGACAAGGACGAGACGCAACGGCAAGAGGAATGGAAGCTCGACGTACCCACCATCGGCTACACCTACTCCCGTCCCTCGACACCCTGCATTATCTATTTCAATGGCCTCGGTCTACCTCTCGATACCTCACCAGCCGTCCTGGGCTCAACACGACAGTGGTTCAATCGTGTCTGGACGTTGCAAGAGTCCCCGCTGAGCTGGCTTCCGGGAGGCTTAACTGGCAAACCTCTGGTAGATCCCCAATCATTCTTCGACCGTCTTCGCAGTATCGTGACAGCGGTTAACAGCCGTGGAGACGGCTCTGGCCTTGCCCAAACTCTTCGCGAACGCTCATGTACCAACGAGCTCGACAGGATCGCTGGGCTTGCGTACATCTTCCGGTGCCCCACACTCCCTATCTACGACGAGAACGTGAGTCCAGAGATCGCGTGGATCCTGTTACTCAAGCACATGGACGCTCAGCGGCGGACGGTAATCTCGCTACGGTATCCGCCGTGTAGTCCCTTTGGACTATGGGGATCATGGCAGAGATTCTTGCATTCTTCGGAGACCCCTCACGTCAGCCAACCCCTCATTTCAGCGGGAACCTCTGAGGACGGCAGCCTGAGGCTCGTGGATCCGAGTCAGCTCCACACTAATGCGCAGGGTGTATACTTCCATCCTGGCTATGTCATAGAATCATGTCATATCCTACTGGGCGGTGCTGCTCAAGCTGGAGCGGAAGAAATCGAGATATCCTGTGGAGATCGAGGAGAGTCTATCAAGCTCTCAATTCTCAGCAGACATGGGATACTTCTGAACGGCGTGTCATACTGCTTGATAAATCACAGAGAAGACGCGGAGCACTGGGTTGTTGGCGAAGTAGTTGGAGAACAGATTGTAGACGAAGAGGAGGCACTCTTAGTCGCAAGATGGGCGGTCATCCGGGTCGACTCGGCGCCCATGTTGAGTAGCTCTATGCGAACGTGGTCGAGGGTCGTCTTGCGTGGGGTAGGGACAGGCCATTGCTCTCCATTAATCTTCGTCCATACGTCGATACGATCCTGCTCGTCCACCCAGCTATGCGAGACACACCAGACCTTGGATGGTATATCTTCAGGGTCGGAGCCTGCCTCTCGGGGAAGGGCGTGAAGCCGGAGAACACGGTTGGAACGCAGATCCCATACACGACGGGGAGGAATTCTGGAATTCTGGATGGAGGATCCGCGGATAGCGTCGCGGCGGATTGTCTCGAGTTCGTCTTCGCGAGCGGCTATTTTTTGCACGACGTCGCGGAAATCGGTGTGCCACCAAGGACGCAGGAAGCCGTATAGTTCGCCAAAATCTTTTGACTGCTGTACGAAATGCTGTAAGCAGCCTTCAAGACCAGGGGTCTCTAAAGAGTATTCGGTTTGGAGGATGTGGTTGAGGTTGCAGAGCAGGTCTTGCAGACCAACGTCGGCACAAGATCCAGCTGCCAACATATTCGTTATAGTACCGCGGCCCACGTGCATTTGCTGAAGCGTGACTTCAGAGCGTCGAGACGGCTTTAGAGAAAACATTGTGCCATTGTCCGCGCGTAGAGAATTGAACAAGAGCTTGTCAGAGACACGTCCCGACCTCGCAAGTTGCACCGTGCCCCAGATATTCAGGCGATTCTCTTCCGAGGTTGTGTCCGGGTCTCCATTTCCGTTGACACGTTGCTCGAGTCCAGCAGGGATCACGGTCGTGCCGGCGGTGGTATCTTGCCAAGGAGGGCCTTCGCAAGGAACTATGATAGACGTCCCTTCCAATTCGAAACGCCAGCCCGCGTTCCCCACCTGCGAGAGAACATTAGCGCACTAAACATGACGCGGCCTTCGCACGAATCGTGCTGCCATCCCAAGAACTCACTGATGCTAAATTGTTCGAGTTGAACAAATCCGAATTATCTCTACTGCCACTCGTTCTGGTCTTTCCCGTCTTCGTCTAAGTAGGGTTGACCAAGTCCTCGTAAGTTTATCATGCCGTAATGATGAAGGCAGCCGTTACAGCGCACCGAAGGATCCGCAGTCTCACCAAAATCTGCTATTCTTGGATCGGCGTCGGCTTGCCCTCCACATAGCGGAAGGGGATCGCATAAGGATGTCATCCTTCTGCATAGCAGTCAGCCTCATGTGACGATAGAGCGAATGGGCATGGGTCGTCGCGGCGTAATGACGGCCTGGGCGAGCAACGTCGGGGGGCAGTGCGGCCGTGCGACACCGCAGGGTGACTGGCCCAGCACAACCAGGACAGTGTCTGGGTGAAAATAAGATACGTACTTTGAGCCGTGTCGTTGTGTGTTCTGTTTCCCCTCTGTGTGCTCGCGTTGGTCGTGGACAGAGACGAGTCACGGAGGATCGTTACACGTGTTGCAGCGTGCATGTTGTGGCGTCGGGCGGATCCGTGAACGAGATGGCTATGAGCTGTCAGTCCCTCCGCCAATGCGAATGCTTGCCGAAGTCGATTCAGTCCCACGGCCTTTGACCGCGCTATCAGTGGGATGACAAGGTTATTCGGGAGCGAGCACGCCGTAGTGATGCCCTCATCGCGCAGAGTCAAGAACACGCCGGCAGCTATGAAAGAGTATCGATTAGACAACAATATTTGGACATGCATGGCTAATATAGACAACAGGTCAGGGATCCACAGAGGTCACATTGGTCCAAGAACGAATGCCCGCATGCGCGCGCAATTTTTTTTTTTTGCGAAATACAAAGACAGTGTAGAATCTCATACCGCACAGCGTGAGGTCGAAGCACGATGCCCGGGCCCGAAACGCTTAAACCAGCACCGCCATCAGCGTCATCTCGTCCAACGCCACGCAGGGCTCACCTTGCAAAACGATCTCATCTAAACAGCGACAACCCCTGCTGTCCCACCCTTCCCTCTCAAAGCATACCAGCATTTAAAGAGCTACCATCTTGCCATGACCTGCACAGGGAGCATGTACGACCGATATCGGTGGTTGTATACACGGACCCAGACGGTACCAAAACTGTGAAGACTGGCCAGATCTTTGAGGGTGCGAATGGGATGCATGTTGTACGGGAAAGACACATCTGTCGAAACGGTTATCGACAGCGCATATACAGCTTCTTGGGGGTACGTACCTGTAACGCGGTCTTTGCTATATGTGCTTAAGAAGTCTCCCACCAAATTTGCGGACGGCCGTCTCTTTCTTCTTGTCTTCTTTCCCGCCGCTTTTTTCACATTCTTCCACCGATGCAGCCGTAATTCGGTGCGTCTGAGCTCATGCAATATAGATGCATTCGGGACAGACGATAGTACGAGACGTCGCCAATGTGGACATCTCGTGATGCTCCTATGTCATATTCGATGATAGCGGTACGCCTCCACGGATATGGGCGGTGAGCCAAGGCCCGAGCAATCAACGAAGACTGAAAAAAGGTCCGTTCGGGTCCGGTATGAAGTGGTGGAGGCGAGGCGATAGAACGAAAGTTGCTAAATGCGGCGACGATGTTGAGAAACGCGACGCTTGCGCCATCAAATTTCAAAGTCTGAATCAACGCGAGCAAATCCTTCACTGCAAGAACCCAAGTTCGCTTAGGGCGCATGTAGTGCATATGACAGCGAGACTCACCTGCATGCTGAGCGTGTCGCCAGCGAACAGGCTGAAACATTGAAATGCACTTTGACAAGACTTGTCGTATGTACCTTTGTGCGGGGTCTTGTCGAGCAGAAGGACAGATGCGGCAGACGCTTGTATGTTCAAATTAAGCTAGCGCTTTGCCAACAGACGACTGAGTCGCTGGCCGCTGAACTTGCCAATAAGCAAGGACATATGAGACACAGCGGCCAGGGAGACGCACCTCGAGATTCCTCACCACTTCGACCGCTTTGATCCATCCTCAAAGGGCCCGCGTAGCATATGCATTACTGAATTATCGAGAATGCGCGTTCTGTTAAGGCGTCGAGTTAAGCCCGCATCGCGCACGAAACAGACGCACCACAAGGTCCGGCCAGGGTTTAGCTAGGCGCACCATAACCGCAATACGCTATCCGAGACCTAAGAGAGTGCGCACAGATGCCAGAAAACAAGCGGATACAAGCAGAGAAGTATCTAGGACAGCGACGAGCCATAATCTAAGCGTGGAGGATGGAGGTCGTGAAGTTCGTCTGGCAGAAAAACGGGCGTTGGACGCCCGCCCGAGATGGCATCAATATCCGCCCGCCGCAAGCCCTGACCAGAACGACGGCGGCGATCTTCGTCTCAGCCTCCAAGCCGACCGTGCTGTTCTGCCATGGCTTCCCATCCACGTCTCACGACTGGCGACACATCGTGCCTCGTCTGAAGGACAAAGGATACGGCGTGCTCGTCTTGGACATGCTCGGGTATGGCGGGACCGACAAGCCCACCGACCCGGCGGCGTATGTTCCAAGCTTGATATCGAAAGACATTGCCGATATATTGGACGCCGAGAAGCTCGAGAAGGTTATTGCTATCGGTCATGACTGGTGAGTCGTTCCTCCTCTCTGAGGGCTATCTCGGATGCTGAACTACTCACTGCAGGGGCTGCAAGGCGATCTCGCGCCTCACGAACTACTATCCCGAGCGAGTCCTCGCCTACGTCTTCCTCGGATTCTCTCCTTCGTGCAAGTGCTGCCCCCGATGGACTTCGAAGTGTTCCTGGTCTTCTTGAAGCAGTACCTCGGGTACGAGACGTTCGGCTAGTGGAAATTTCTTAGTGAACCAGACGCGAACGAGGTCATCCAGGCGCATGTAGGTGGCAGACGCGCGTCCACTCCGTCCCACAACCGTTGACCGTTGACGCGTCTCACAGATCGACTCGTTCGTCAGCGTCATGTTTCCGCATCACCCTGATATATGGAAGGAGCGCTTGGCGCCGACGGGCGCGCTCAAGCAGAGCCTGTTTGAAGACTTCGCTGCGCCTCGACCGCTTTACTTGTCCGAGGAAGACGCGAAGCACTTTGTGGAGACCTTCAGGCGCGGCGGCTTCGCGGCGCCAACATGCTGGTTCAAGATTGCGACGAGCAAGCTATCTGCCGAGGACGACCTGCGTGCGTCTTCATATCCCTGTGGATATGTCTCTCATGGCGTGGCTGATGCAAGGGCTATGCTGCAGAGATCCCTTCCGAGCGCAAGCTCCCGCCTGTCAGGGCGCCGATTTATTATGCCGCGGCGAAGGACGACTACGTCTACCCTCCCAAGACAGGCTTTGCGTCGTTTACGCAGGAGGTGTTCCGCGGTCACAGTGTGACAATGAAAGAATACCACGCGGACCACTGGCTAATTCTCTCCCACGGAGAAGAGATTGCGCGCGATCTCGAGGAGTGGATAGAGGGCACCGTCGCCGCAAAAGTCGGCCTTTAAGCTAGTGGCTTCCGTACGTACAAGAGACCCGGTGGCTAATGCCCTCTTTATAGATATCGCGTTTTGTCTTAGTTCCTTGCCAAGTATACAGCGACTCGAGTCTCTTTTGCACGTGAATAATGAGAAATCCAGCACTCCCATTGTAACTTAGATCACGTTAGGGTTACTTACCAGCGTACAGTTACTCCAAGCAACATGGGACTTGAGCAGTCCAGTGCTGCAAAACTGCGTAAGTGGTCGCTCATCAAGCTGGGACTTGCGAGTGTGTATAAGCCGTACTAAAAGCACAGGAGCCATTCAAGTGTTAATCGTGCTGGTTGCGCTCTAAATTTGGTTGGCTCAGCTGCGTATGCATTTCAAGTTGTTCCCGGGAGCGTGCGGTCTCAGTGACCACGATTGCTATAATTCTGTCTCAAACAGCAACGTCGGATAATAAGTATGTGAGTACAAACCGTGACTCTGGTGCTTGTACGTACTGAGCTGACACGGGCTCGAGCAGATGGCCATCCATTATCAAACGCCTCGTGAATATGGGCTCGCGCGTCATGTATTTCGGCGCAAGTGGCATGCCTGCTGCGGGTCTAGTGAGTCGCGGTGCATCACAGCAATACTGAGGCACTTCAACGTTCTCTTGCTTGAGAGACTAGTCTTCAAGGCTGCGACTATCGGTTCGTACCCCTCCGGCGGGTTCATTCGGATACCATGAAAGTGCCTTGCGTGGAATTCGCATGAAGCCCACATCTGGTAGGATACTCAGCGATTCCCGGGTCACGATAGGCTTCCACGGAAAGAAAGCCATTCAGATGGCTTGCCCGCGACATCTCAGGTCAAGTCTCGGGTAGTCTGAAATCAGCTCAATGCCGGTTATCGCGACGCATAAATACGCAAGCATCCTTGCCGCTTTCTCTCTATCATCACTATCTCATCATGGACACATCGCTGTACAAGGACGTCGTCACCTCTCGCGGCCTGACATACAGTTACTACTTCTCCCCCGCCCAGCCCTCCAAGCCGACCCTGCTGTTCTGCCATGGCTTCCCATGCACGTCTTACGACTGGCGCCACATCGCGCCTCGTCTGAAGGACAAGGGCTACGGCGTGCTTGCATTGGACATGCTCGGGTATGGCGGGACCGACAAGCCCACGGACCCGGCGGCGTACGTCCCGAGTCTGATATCCAAAGACATTATCGATATTATGGATGCCGAGAAACTTGACAAGGTCATCGCTATCGGCAATGACTGGTGAGTCGTCTCGTCCTTTCTCTCTGAGGGCTATTTCGGACGCTGAACCGCCAACTGCAGGGGCTGCAAGGCGATCTCGCGCCTCGCGAACTATTACCCCGAGCGAGTCCTCGCCTATGCCTTCCTCGGCGTCTCCTTCGTACAGGTGCTGCCCCCGATGGACTTCGAAGTGTTCCTGGCCTACCTGAAGGAGAACGTCGGGCACGAGCTGTTCGGCTGCTGGACGTTCTTCAGCGAGCCAGACTCGGACGAGGTCCTCCAGGCACACGTATGCGGCACGCGTTCCCGCCTCATCTCGCAGTCTCGCTGACGCGTGTTTCACAGATCGACTCGTTCGTCAACATCGAGTTTCCGCACGACCCTGAGATCTGGAAGGAGCGCTTGGCGCCGACGGGCGCGCTCAAGCAGAACCTGCTCGACAACTTCACCTCCCCCCGGACAGCTTACCTGTCCGAGGAAGACGTGAAGCATTTTGTGGAGACCTTCAGGCGCAACGGCTTTGCGGCGCCGACGTGCTGGTTCAGGATCGCGACGAGCAAGCTGTCTGCCGAGGACGACCTGCGTGCGTCTTCATATCCCTTTGGACCTGTCTCTCATGGCGTGGCTGACGCACGGGCTATGCTGCAGAGATCCCTCCCGAGCGCAAGTTCCCGCCTGTCGAGGCGCCAATCTACCATGCCGTGGCAACGAATGACTTTCTCTGCCCTCCCAAGGCCGACTTTGCGTCGTTCAGGCAGGAGGTGTTCAGCAAGCACAGTGTGACGACGCAAGAGCTCGACGCGGACCACTTTCTCATTCTCTCCCACGGAGACGAGATTTCCCGCGGTCTTGAGGAGTGGATCGAAGGTACCGTCGCCGCGAAAGTCGGCCTTTGAGCTAGTGGCCTCCGTACGTACGAGAAATTTGATGGCTGATGCCTTCTGTATGAATATCGCGATTGTGTTTTAGTTCCTTGCCGGGCATACAACGACTCGAGTTTCTTTTGCATGTGAATTATTAGAAACATACATTCCCATTGTAGATCACGTTAGAATTACTTACCAGCGTACAGATACTCCGAGCAAAATGCGAATTGAACAGTGCTGTGCTGTGAATCTGCATGAGTGGTCGCTCGTCAAGCTGGGATTTGCGTGTGTGTATAGGCCGCCCTAAAGCGCAGGAGCCATTTCAAGCGTCCGTGTAAGCGTCAATTACTGTATGCTGGTTGTGTTCTAGCCTTAAGTTTGGCCGATCCAGCTGCAGACGCATTTGTTCCCGGGAGCAAGCGGCCTCGACGACCACAGCGATACTGCAGCATTTCATCACTTCGTTTCTTGCTCTAGAACTTGGTCTTCACGACTGCAACTATCATCACTTCGTACCCCTCGGATCTGGCAGACTCGTACGGATGCGGGGAAAGTGCCTCGCGCGGAATTTGTACCAAGCCCACATCCGGTACGCTACTCAGCAGTTCTCGGGTCATGATATGTGCCGCTCTTGCCAAGATTCCGTCTCTCACGTATCTTCCCACCCGTCCAACGAGCGACTGGCCAGGCTGTTGTAAACAGCTTCGCGGGACCGACGACTGGCGTTTGATGAGGCGTTGGTTTCGATCTACCACACAACATACACGAGCTTTGGCAGTGCCATTTCCATTGTCAATGACGCTTCCACGTCCTCGTATCGTTTACTCCGAGTCCGGCGCCAGAGGGCCGTCATTATTTCGAGCACTAGCTAAGTCGATATCTTTGTAGTTTGGCATTGCGACAGTTCGCTAACTATACTCTGGATTCATTCCCAGCCTCGCGCAACGCGTTCGGTGCTGTGATCTCTCATAGCACGTCAGACAGAGCACACTGTGCACATCACCCGGACCGACGTGTTTGCTCATGCACTGGTCCATGTCTACGTTGAATCCCAGGACGTCTTTCTACTGGAACTGCCCCCAGTGTGTCCAGGCACCTCGACCTGGACTCCCTCTCCGGAACGTCGGCCTGCCGTGCGGCGCCTCTTCTACACCATCCACCCTCCCACCGATCTGAGGACGACCCTCCAGTGAGCCTGCCTCCGATCCCACGACCCTGAGAGCGCTGCCTAATCGCGCATGCACCCCCAACCTTGTCGGTTCCGAGCCAATTCGTCCGACGTTCATCCGCTCCTGCGCACCCGCCGGCTCCAGCGCAGAGCATGCGGTGCCCATCACGGAGGTACGCGCTAGACATATTTAGGCTTTCTCCATTGTCGCGCACGTTGCAGACGCGTTCTGTTCACACGCAGAGTGGGTGCGTAAGGCCCAGTCGATGTGATAAATCCACCAGCTCAGCTATTGCCTCATGCATGACGGAACACCGGAGAGGCCGACGCGACGAACGCCTGTGCGGTTCCACACGAAAATTCTCCTGCTATTGGACACACGCGCTCGAGCAGGCGAGCCTCGCGCTTCGCACCGCGAAATCAATGAGGTCTGATCTGCCGCAGAGGCGCGAGCGGAACAGCACGCGGTGCGGCGCGGCGGCGCGTGGGGCCGGACTCGTCCTGGCGATAACAAGCACCAGAGTCGCACCACGTCCACACGTCCTTCGCTGTCGCAAAGGGAAAGATCCGCCGCCGCTCCGCGCCGCCCATGCGATGCGATGCGATGCGGTGCGACGATCCTCTCTGAGTCCCGTCTCGGCCCCGCAGCATGCGCAGTGCGCACGCAGCGCACACAGTCTGCGTGAGCCCAGGTTGTATCCAGGCCTGGCATGATCGGACGCGCTGGGGCCCCTCGCCGTCGATGCAGCTACTGCAACGCCACGCGCGCTCGATCCTGCGCTACAGCAACACCGGGGCAAGTCTATCACGGGCGAGTTGGCTCTCCAATTCGGTCGGGCGGACACTGCCCCAGCTGACGTCGATGGCACCACTCGATCCTCTTGGCTTGGCGCAGGCGCCACCATCCTGGTGCCCCACCTAGGCCTGCGTGCCAGACTGCGCATGCCCCTCTACGGGTTAGCGTTGTGGCACAGGGTCCAGTCGACATGGGCTTGGCGGTACCGGGACGAGCGAGCGAGCTGTAGCTCGGGCGCGTCTCAGCACGAAGTACGGTTGCCGAGCAGGCTCAGGTCAAATCCCCAAAACCCAAGTCCGAATCACAAAGCTGATGGCCAACCGCATAATGAGCGCCCGAGCACCTTCCCGCACACAAACATTAGTCTGGGTTATGTATGGCATTTTTGGGCCTTTTGGATGTTACGAAAACATGTAAGGTGCTGTATCTGTATACTCTGAGGTCAATAAAGGTAGTAGCGGGCCGAGGACCATTATCTGACCCAAACTTATCGAAGCGATAATCAAGCGCCCAAAGCTTCGATTATCTTATCTAGAGCCTAACCCTAAGTCGGTAGCACAATCTAGCGAGTACGGCATGACTTGTTCTCACTAGGTGATATTGATCATAACTAGGTTAGCAGCTGATAATATATACATTTAGTAAAATAGCTACACAGGAGGGCAAGGTCAAGCACACCTGCAACGACTCCGACGGCAAGGGAGGCCCAAGCCCCGACGCGCTGCTTCTATGGAAAGTGGGCGCCTAACGTCGCCATCGCTGTTCGCCCCACCGCCTGCCCTGCAAACGATGATTGACATGCTTCATTTGACTTCTAACCTCGTATACATGCAATATTAATCGACTATTTATGCTGAAAATACTCAAATGTTCAGAGTAAGAGGCGCCAGTGCACTCGGAGGTTGGTGGTGTATGGCGGTTATCCGAGCGCTGATGGTATCAGATTTGGGTTTCTGACTTGGGTTTTGGGAATTTGACCTGAGCCTGCTCGGCAACCGTACGAAGGGATCTTTGGTCGCAGCGCACAAACTCTCGATTGCACTCAGTCTCCCTTCGAAACGTAAATAGGCTTACATATAAGACATGGGTAGCCTCGACATGTACAGTACGTACACAGAGAATGGAATATCCCCCCAGAGATAGAACTTTGTCCCGTACGAGACGCGGAGAGCACAGAACGAGTACCTCGTGTTGCCAAAACCGAGGTCAAGCTGCCTGGAGGGTCGCGTCTTCGAAGTCGTCGAGCTCGCCCAGGCTGTCATGGCGTTGCGCAGAGCAGAAATGCGTGGGGATTGCATGGATAGCACTCCTAGCAGTCGTATGCGTAGTGTCAGAACGACGACATACGACAAATGGCGCCCTGCCTGGTGGCATTGGGCGGTTCGTGCTCGACCGGACGGACTTCACTTCGCTGTCGCAGATTGGAGACTTGGTTCGCGCCTTGACAAGTCACTTCCAACATGCACCTGGAAGCCATGCATTTAAGTTTGCCGCTGTGGGTACCATCGCCGACTACGGGCATACAAGGACGCATCGACTGTACAACGCGCGAAAGGGGTGCTTGCGTTTCCCTCTGCCGGCCTATGCGACGTTCCTGAGTCAATTCAATCCATATTTCTCAAGTCGCCGGCGCGCATAGATGCTGTGTCTTCGCGGGACTTACTAGGAGCTCACGCGTCTCGACTCTCGAGCGCTCTGGGTCCGGACACTAATCCGCTCGGCGAGACCTACACGCCTTGGAAGATGTGGCCAATAGATGATTATGTAATACGAAAGCGTGTAGGGAGGGCTCGTCATAGACTAGGTCATAGATGACGACGTTACGATGTGGGCGCCTCGCGCGGCCGGAACCAGGACCGCAGCCCGCGTGCATTAATTCTAAGGACAGGGAGAGGACAGGGACGTGTCTCAGTTCTGCTACCGCAGGTGCTGAAACAAGCCTGGGTGCGCACCCAGGTATATAGCGCACAACGAGGGGGACGTTGCCTGGCGTTGCGTTGCGTCCTGCTCTGCGCAGGGCCGCGGACGAAGGGGGGCTGCGCCACGAGGCTGCTCCGTACGGGGGCACAGCGTTCCCACGCGAGGGACCCAGCACCCAATCAGCTCCACGCGACGCGCCCTGGAAGAGAAGCATCTCAGATGGGCGGCGGGCGAGGAGGCCAGTGATTGGCCAGGCGCCGCGCGCGGGTTACGTACGCCGGTGTCTTTGTCGGAGGTACTGCAGCCCACTCCCGTTCGCCTGCCACAGGGTCGCAGAAAGAGGGCGCATTGGCGAGGTCGAGACCACCAGCGAGACTGGCGATGTGCGCGGACGGACGGTCGAAAGAAAGAAAGAAAGTGGTGCGGTCGGTGGCTTCGGAGAGCATTGCCGAGCAGAAGAGCCCGAGAGCAAGCGTAGCCGCCATTGACACTCTGCAGCGCGCGCGCGTAAACATAGAAGCAAAGTACCAAATTCCAGCTGGCCAGCCCGCAGGCGCCTATTTGCAGAGGCAGGCAGTGCACTGCCGCGACGCCGACAGCAATAGGAGCCTCTCCTTTCTCGTGCGCGTCTCGGAGCCTCCGGGCGTCCCAGAGAGCTTCCACCTCGGTGGTGCAGCCCCGTCGGTGTCGGTCATCTCGCTGTGGCGAGCAGTGACGTTGGCGGAGCGTGGGCGAGCGCAAACTGAGCGGGCGAGACAGAAGAGGCGCACACATAGACTGGGTGTGGGGAAAGAAACCCGCTTTTCGCGCAAGCGCAGCTGCGTCGATCGACGATCGCGCGTCCTCAGATTGATCATGCTCCGATGCGGGGTAAGCGAGACGTGCGGCGGGGGCGGCGCGGGGAAACGTGGGGAAACAGGGCGGGACCACGTTGAGCCCGGGCACGACCAGACCTTCCTCACTCCGCGGCGAAAACGCACCAAGATCCGAAAATGGGCAAGTGCACGCGGGACGTCTTGTATTGCGCGCGTTGCCATTGGCCAGCTCTCGACACAAGTTCCCTACAACCGTTGCGCGGCGAATCACTGAGCAGGGCAGAGCAGAGACTACGTCCGCATTTTGATCCCCCGTTCTCTTTCGCGTTCTCTTCTACGTCTGTGCTGCCACGGACTTGCGAAGTGTCACCCTCTGAAGGGCCAGGGGGCCGACGCGCCGCCGGAAGCAATGCGCGGCCCCAGATGGCAGCGGTGCTTCGCAGGCTTCGATCCAGGACCATTCGCTTGCGCATATGGTGCCTAGAGGCCAGAACAAAGTCCCGTCGGGGATGACGGAGCGCCGGCTCGGAGCCTGCGCCCTCCGAGCTGTTGCAATTCCGAACCTTGCTCTGCTTCAGTACACTGTGTGGCAGGCTGCGGTCTCGGTGAACGTGTGAGGTGGCGAGCGATACGTTGCTATCGAACGCCACATATGGGCACATCGGCACACGGGAAAGGCATCTGGTCTTCATCGGTTTCATATCTCAGTCGCACCTCTCCGTACGACGACAAATATGCATCATAGAATGAAGCTTAAGCTCCCGCAGACCGACGTCACCAGTGCATCTTTCCCCACAACGATTATTTGCCTTGGTCTCGCGCCCAACATGCGACGAGCCCGACACGCAACGCACACACCGTTTCTCCGCAGGTGGTGCATCGCAACCCGACGCTTTGATAGACGCGCGACGCGCTGACCCCTGTCTCGGATCCTGATCGCACACCGGGAATCAACTCATCCTCGCCCCCAGAAAAGTTATCGCCGAATTGCACAGAGCACATCCGGACTTGGGTTTGGGCGCACGGACGATGCGTTCATACAAGCACAGGCGTCGACCGTGCGCCATGACGACGGACAGGCTACTTCGCTGCAGCGTGCAAGTGGAGGCAGCGGTGGGCCGTCGAGATGTAATGTCGGTACGAGCAATATAGCAATTTGATATTGCACATAGATGTTGTAATATGTAGGGCACAAATGCTATCTGAGACGCGCCCGAGGCGCAGCGCGATATACCATCACGGGCACGGCGCCCGCTGTAGAAGTAGAAAAAAGAAGAGAAAATGTGAACTTACCCTGTCCCTCCGATACACTGCAGACGCCTCCGAGGCCTGCCGGCGCTAACGGAGCTTTGCGCGCGCCGTCAGGACGCTGCAGGCCGGCGGCCAGAAGGCGCAAAAAAAAGAGACAAATCGTGGTTCGAAACCGCGAAGACACGAATGGAAGACAAGCTATAGCCGAGCACAGCGGAATCGGCAATAGACAGCGCAGCAAAGCGTCCGACGGCGAGAGGGCGGGACAAGAGAGTGTGGCATGCCCATGTGTGGCGAACAGATCCGGCGGGACAGGAAAGCTCGCGCCGGCCAATGGGAGGCAGGCTCGGGCGGAGAAGCCAGAGGGAGCAAGGAACAGGGGGGACGGCCGGACGCTTTGGTGGGTCGCGCTTTCTGATTATCGCGCTACCGCGAACGAAGGTTCCTGCGCTTTGGGCTGAGCCAAGGCGAGGGACAGCGAAGTCAAGGTCGTTGTCCATATGTCGGTGAGTTGCGGACGAGAAGGCGAGACGCACGCCGATAGATGTGATTCGTCGTGGAAGACGGATGCAGATGACGGAAAACGTGTGTTAAAGAGCACCCGTTCTGCCCTGCTTAACAATCGTGCTAGGCTCTGGTGCGGAATGCTCTGCAGACGCAGTGGACAAGGTTGCATATCTCTGTGAGAAACGCTAGGCGTTGCGCTTTGGGTTGGTGTGCGTACGGCAGGGCTCCGAAGCGATACCTAAGTATATGCGGGGGCGCATTGGGTGATGACAAACGTTATCTGCGCTCGCCACGATCACTGACGGTGGCCCATCTGTCCATGATCAAATTGTACACGGTGGGCGAGCGCAGATGCAAGGGGAAGATGTGAGATCGGATGAAAACGGTATATCAGAAGTAGCGGAAGGACGTACTGTGGGGAAACAGCATGGGATGACTTCATCGCTGTGTCGCAAGCGGTGCTCGCTGTGACAGACGGCGGACCAGGGGTCGACAAGCGTCGCGGTGGGTGCTGACGAGGGCGCAATATGTCGTGTCTCGGGCAAGGAGGCCAGAGACAGCAGGAAGGACAGGTCGGAAGCATTCTGAGACTCTGCTGTGCGGGGTTGAGAGAAGGCGATGGCTGGAGTCTGGAAGAGCGGCTGTGTTTGTTCCTGTTTGTGGGGTATTTGGGGCAATTGATGGGGACCGAAAGAGTGGAAACGCGGGGTTGGAATGGGGAAGCCGGTTGGCCGGGCCAGCGCACAGAATTGGAAGGAGGAGGGCGTCCGTAGGCGCCGCCCCCCAGAGCGAGAAAGTGAAATCAACGCTTGCCTTGGCCTTGTCTTATCCCAAGGGTCTCACTCTATTTACACCGCTTCATTCCACTCTCTTACCTCGTTCCCCTCCTGCCCCGCCCGCGAACGACCGTCCACGACCGTCAACGACACCCACGACCACGACAACTTGCGATGGCGACCACTATGTACTCCAACTACAAGCCCCATCGCCAAGAGGGCTTCCATCTACCCTCCCCTGCCCCCTCGACACCCCCAAGCAGCGACGGCACCCCCGCCAACGCCGGCAGCTCCTTTGACACCAACAACCTCTTCATCTCTCCGCCATCATACCTTTCCGTGCCAGAGACATTCAGAAAATTCCCCGCCGGCGATCACGGCTCAGGCGGCGCCGGAAACATGGACTTCACCGACGAGCTCGCGAGTCTCATCACTCATCCACACCCCTCGTCCCACGAGCGATCCACACAGAGTCCTGTTAGCCCGTACGACGACTACCGGCCCTCGACAACCCACAATATCTTTGATATCTCCGCCCCAACGAGCCATCACCATCACAGCTCGAGCCATGGCAGCTACGGCACCCCTGGCGCGGGCGGAACATCTGCTTTCTCGCTCCCGCCGAGCTCATCCCTGCCAATGCACGCGCCAACGCATCCCCTGCATGAATTCACCACCCACGCACACTTCAACAGCACCGTCCCCGCAATCGGCTCCTCGATGCGCTATGAACCGCCGTCGTCCTCGCACGGCCATTCGCAAAACGCACAGTCGCATCCCTTTGCGCTCAACACGTCTTCGAACGGCAACGGGTCGCATAACGGCAGCAGCGGGAACAGCGGGGAGCCCTCGAGTGTGAGCTCCTTCAGCTCACACCTGTCCGGCCTGTCCAGCTTCTCCTCGAACACCACAACGACGAACGCAACGAACCCGGGAGACTTCCTTACCAGGCAAACTCCTTCTCCGTCTTCCAACGGGCCGCCGACATCCTCGCACGGCCGTTCGCGCTCGCGCAGCCGCTCCTCCATCCTGTCCGATCCACATCCACCACCAAGCACGAACGGCGGGCCCGCGCGGCGCACGCGCCCAAAGCGTGGAAGCATCTCGAGCGTGTCCCCGCCCCCGCTGCACCGCGGACACATCACCCAGCCGCTTATCATCCCCCCGCCGTCCTCGTCGCAGAACAACAGCGCACGCTCGCCTCTCGGGGTGCACCACACCTCGGGCTGGTTCCACCCGGGCTCGTCGCTCGGCACGTCGTTGCCGTCGATGCACCATGGGCACGGCCTCCCCGGCAGCCTCTCGAACTCGCTCCAGACGAACATGGGCATCGGCTCTATGGGCGAGTTTTCGCTCCCGACACCTGACAGCGTGCACGGCGGCTTCTCTGCGTTTGGAGGGGGCGGCCTTCCGCCGATTGGACTCGGTGGGAGTCCGAAAGATATCAACGGCATGGGTATGGGTATGGGCGGAAAAGAAAGCCCGACGAGCGCAGGCGCACCGGGAACAGTGGATCTCGCGGCGAAACAGTGAGTGTTTCTCGGTCCTTTATCCCTCTGAAGCATGACCGAGCTGTGCCCGCAGAGCTGCGATCGCGAACGAGAAGCGGAGGCGGCGGAGAGAGTCGCACAACGCTGTCGAGCGACGGAGGCGGGACAACATCAACGAAAAGATCTCGGAGCTGGCTACGCTCATACCAGAGTGCCTCTTGGATCCCAACGGTCAGTCTTCCCCTTCCCGTCGCGGCCTTCGTTTCCCGCTAAACTCCCGTAGCTGCCACGATGACCATGCCCGCGTCTCTCTCCACAGCGACCAGCGAAGACTTGCTGCTTGCCAACGCGACCCCTCAGTCCCCGAACCCTGCGAACTCGCCAACGGAAGGACCAGCAGAAACTGTCACCAAAAAGGAAGAGGGCGACGAGAAGGACGGCGATGCCGGAGGCGTCATTAAGGCGAACAAGGGCATGATCCTTAGGAAGAGCGTCGAGTATATCCGGTGAGTCATGGTTTCACACCTCGTCAGGGCTGGCTAGGAGACGAGGAATATCTCATGGCGGCATCGTTCCGCGAATGGATGGGGGAATATGTGGGCTCTAGCTTGCATGGTGGTGGCGCATAAATGTCTCTACGACTACTTCGCTGGAGCCTTTCGAGGTTTAAACCTCGGGAGCCGATGTGTGCATGTGAGGGCAAGCGCCGAACACGTGAGCTGCCTTCTCTTGATGGCATCCACCGACGCCCTTCCCGCCTGACCTCGGAAGTGTATGCGCCCCGCAACAGAAGCGGCGGATGTCGAGGGAGAACATCGGGCGTGGCGCGCGAAAACAGGGCGTTGGAGTGCTAGTCGGATGAAGGTGGTGCATGTATACGCGGGGCATTCTTTTTATTCGGGTTATCGGTCCTACGTGATCATACGATGTACTGACGAACAATCTCGCGTTCTATAGGTATCTTCAACAGCTCGTGTCCGCCCAAGCTTCGAGGAACCGTGACCTCGAGCAGCAGCTCCAGCATCTCCGTGTCTCGTCGGGGAGCCAGGCTGGCGATAACGGCAGCGCGAACGAGGATGATACTCTCATGCTGCACGAGGAGGTCGGCGACGATTTCCTCAACATGAACACTCCGTCGACAAACGGTGTCAACGGACATCGTAGACAAACGTCCACCAGCAGCCGCTCCAAAAAGTTCACTGGCTTCGAGCTCGACACTGTTGCAGAGATGGACCAGGACACGGACAATGAGTACGACAGCTACAGCTACCACCGGCATGGCCGGTGCGACGCCGACGAGGACCAGGAGATGGACCGTCCAAGCACCGCCGGCACCGGCATGGGTGCCAGCCCTCTCAGCAACGAGAGCGCGTCAGACGAGCTCGAGGGCGAGGGCGACGACAGGGAGCAGGAAGAGCGCGGCCGCAGGGGGCGCGACGGACGGCCGATGGGCTTGTCAGGAATCAAGACCGAAGAGGGCATGGAGTCTTCGTAAGGTCTGCGCTGAGGACAGGCCCGGGTCTCAGGTGAGACTTCGGGCAGCTGTCCCGCAAAAGGCGGAGCGGCAGGTCTTCACCTTTGCCGTTACTGGTCGAGCGGCGGTCGATACCGCCACGTCATACGTGCTCGGCTGGTCTCCTGCTTACGTCCTTTCTTTATTCTCTATCGGTGTTGTGTAACGCAGCGCCGCCCTGCCGATCTTCACAGTCATCTTCGTCCACCTTACGCTCTCTCTTCGCATCATATTCATTCGTGCCATCCGGCTACATTGAAGTCTTGAATACACTGCCTCTACGCGTCCGCCCTTCGGTTCCCGCAGCGTTTTCTGCCCCATCATTTTACCCACTCCGGTCCAGGCTTTCGTCGTACTCAGCATTCGACTCTGGACTCTTGTCAGCGCAACGCCTCCGTCATCGCTTCTCTTCCTCCCTCTCACGCTGCCACGGCCCTTCCACTGGCCCTCGCGAATCCTCTATTTTCTTTCCTGTACAATCCCTTTGGTCAACTCTACCCGTCCTGCTCTCCACGCTCTTCTCACGTTAATGTGCGATCACATCATTCTCTCGCCTCTGCAACCATTCACCCGTTCGACGCCACTCCGCAAGCAAGCCGTCAATTGTCGATTGTACTATAGCCCCTCGCGATCTTCACACACACTGTCTTCCTTTCCTTCCTTCCTCCCCTGCTCCGTCGAGCTTATCTCGACCCCGCATATACGTTCATCCTCTCATTCCCTTCTTGGTTGTCGGTCGGCGAGGGCGCAGACGAGGGTGTGTAAGCATGGCGAGGAGAGACCAACTCAAATGGATGTCACCGAGTCCTGCAACTATCTAACGAACGTTTTTGCTTACTGACCATGACTCCTGCTTGCCTGTCATAACTTCTTCCTAGTCCGTAGTATTAACTAACTCGATCTCTCCCACACATGTGTAGTATATGATAGCTACTTTCCCTGTCCACTTCCTACAATCGATTCCGTCAAATCACTCGCATCGCCCTGGCGTCGTGCTTGCAATGCCGCTTTTGCGTTCCGCTAGATGTGAAAGATAGTGGGGTTGTATGAATCGCGCAGTCGATGGACGGCGCACAGCCTAGCCTGGGGTCCCGGGCTTCCACGAAGAAAACAGCGTTGCTTGTACGTCAAGATGTTGTAAAGCCTTCAGTCGCCGAGGACAGTCGTCCGCGCGCCGTTCTCTGCTCAGGGTGGTTCTCTCTTTCATTTCAATCCTTTTTCATTTCAAAGAAGTGGAGCGTTAACTACGCATGATGGATCAGACCTTCAGGGGTACAGACGTGTATCCCCATCGCTCAGTCGCCTTGTGCAGAACACGAAGGTAATCAGAGGGCCCAAATGTACAATGTCCGGGATCGGACGCGAAGTTAATTAACTCAAGACGACTGCGTCTCTTTGTAAGGGATCCGAACATAGTGCCCCCGCGCCGTGGGGGTGTGTGGGGAGGAGAAGACATGCGTGCGTGAGGGAGAACGGAACGGGAACGGTGCGCGCTCTCTGAGATGTTGAGTGTGCGAACCCGAAGAACGTCACCGCGGCAGGCCACTGCGCACGGCCTGCGCAGACACAACATGCTTTGCAGGCGCTAGCTCCGCCGTGTCCGAGGCGGGGCGCTGTGCTCGCGCTGCATCTTCGGACGTGCGGCGTCTCGCAGACAAGATTGGATATTGCCGCGGACAAAAGCTGGGGAGAAATACCGGCTGGGCGCGCGGCAACGAAGAAGAAAAAGAACAACGGTGACCTCTCACGTCGTGCAAGGACGCACACGACGTGCCAGGCGTCCAACACGAGTCGAGTCGGAGGTGCGGCCTGCTTTTCGGACGGCGAACACCAAACCCTGGTCCTGCACGCGCGGGCTGAGCCCATGCTGGCAGACAAGGTTCCGCAGATAGCGTCATCGCAGCTCTTGAACTGTAACGCCGCAGAGCAGACGCGGATGGGGGCCACGCGCGAACGAGAGGCCGGATGGGCCTTCGCGGTGGGCTGTGACTGGTACGAAGCATCGAGGGGCCGCTGACGGCTGCTCCTTCCGCGCCGTGGGATGGGAAGAAGAGACCCGGATGGGGAGACAGGGTGGGGGCTTCGAGCTTCGCAGGACAAATCACGTCGTGTCACTCCGCCTTGGCGAGCATATCAACGGCTGATCGGAGTGTGGCGATACCTAGGGGAAGCGCGATACCGGCAAATCTTGCGTCGAAGTCCACTGGACGCTGCACAGCCGAGCGTCCTAGGATGCGCCGCAGAGCAAAGGCATCGACAAAGAAGCTTGGTCTTGAAAAACGAACGCATGGTCCCCTCTCGTTATGTGCAGTAGGGCCGAAGTTTCGTGGTATTATTTCATTTGAGGCAGAAGGTTTGCGAGGAGCTCGTACATGATGATGACCAAATGTTGTCCGTTGCCCATGTAATTGCTATAGTCAGTCTGCAGAGATGCTGTCGTGCTTGTCCTGGGCTGCCTAGGAGTATATCTGTTAGTAAAGGAGAAGACATTCATCGAGTAATGCACGAGCTATGCACGCTGTTCAGCCAAAAACATTACCCTTCATGACCCAAGATCCGTCCAGAAATGCATCCGAGTCGGGTCGTAGAGTTCCTCCCCAGCATGCAGGCGCCACTGAGAAGACCCTAGACATGGTATCAGCCCGGACCCTTTTCAAAAGAGTGGCGTCAAGGAATAGGAAAACGAAGTCCTGGCGGCCGCGCCTACAGCTACCACAATAACAAATGAGCAGCGCCCAACAATCAAGCATGAAAAGCAAAGCCCAAGACGTACCGGTCTGGCATTGCGCGAAGCATCAGAAAGGGATAGTACTCGGAAAGCACAAGGACCTGTTGCAGAGCCCGTCCAGAGTTCGCCCCGCATGTGGCCTTAGGAAGAGATGCTTCCGGTTCATTTTCGGCCAGATCTTCGAGCATGCAGAGATGTTCTAGTGGAGGACGAAGTCAAGAACTGTATCAATCGAATAGGGGGATTGTATGGACACGCACTGAGTTCGACTTCTACCCCGCAATGATGACACAGAGAGAGAAGCAGGAAGGGCGCCTTACCCCGCACTATGCTGCATGTAGCGTACGTCGCTCAGGCCCAGTCGTGGGACGGAGATGGGCCTGACATAACAAGACGGGCGAGACAATGAGGCCTGAAGAGGAAGATCTATGCCAGGATTTCGGCAGAGAACAACCAAGATGGCAATAGAGCGGCCCACCGGTTGCCGGCGGGATCGTTGGACAGTCGGCTATGAGTCATTCATTCATGTGTCCCCTCTCGCCCGAGTACGGCGAACGAGTGCTTGCACCCTGCAAAGCACACCCTTGTTAGTACCTTGCAACGAGCTCCAGACGCCCGTCAGCCTAAACGACACCAGGCGTAAGTGGGATGTCATACGAATAGACCCCGAGATACAAAGTGAAACAACCGTCTACTAACAGGATGTTCTGGAATGCTTTGAGGCAAACCACATCGAGCATCGGGACCGCGAGGGAGGAGGCCGGCCACCAGCCCTGTGCACCAATGGCGTAAAGGCCTTGCACATCGATACAGGCCCAGGCAGCCCAGCGTGTCCCTGATGGGTAAAAGGTAATTGCACTGATCAGCTACGATAGGTAGGCCTTCAAGAAGCATACCAGCCGGAGGCGCGACGGGATTCGCTCGCAGCGGAGTGCCAAAAGCAACTCCACAGCGACGCGGATGGTTTGATATGTACCGCGCAGTTAGGACGATGGACGCCAGAGCATTGTGCGGGCATGATGGTGCTTTGCCGCCTTGTGTAGTTGAGTGACTGCGATTCGACGGAAGCGGGTTCGTAATGTCCGCGCATAATGCATCCGAATTTGACCGGTAACGTTCTTTTGAAAGCCGTGGATCACGAGGAGGCTTGCCTCTACGAGGCAGCAGCAACGAGCTTACAGATCCCGAAACAGACGACATGGTGCGCGATGATGCCGCACAATCTGTATCAGTGAGGCGAAGGAGTCTGTCAAGGGAACCGGACGGAACGGTGGAGGGAAGGAGCTCGCATAAGGAAATCTTGCAGTGTTCCATGGAAGCTAAGCGGCCTCCGGGGCGCTCTTTTTGAAGGTGAGGCGGTGAGCTGTGCAGCTCGACCAAGCCCATTCGCTGTCTTGACATAGGCCCAAAGCAAAACGCTCATGGGATATTATGGATTGTGGTTGAGATTATTGGGATGGTCCACGGCAGAAGCGCACCGACATTGACACAGAAGAGACTTGGATTAATTATTTAACTGCATCAAAACGCTCAGCGAGCCGGTATATAGTAGAATAGGACCGGTCACTAACAAACACCTCCGACTTCGCTAGCAGTGGACTGGGCTAGATTGTAAAGATCGGTCTCGTACAGAACTTTGCCCTGTCTTCCTTTGCCTAGTCAGCCTGTGTGGAATAAAAATGAAGTGGTATTAGTAAGTATCACAATTACAATTCTCAGTTGGAAGGCATGACTCAAGCATTATCTCAATGAACATAGCCGGGCTAACTGTGATGGTTCAAACGGAATATGCCGAACGTACTTGAGACAGAGGGTCCAGAGATGTGCGTCCATCCTTCTCTCAGCGACGTTTGATATCGCACCTTGAAAGAACGGAGAAGCCTCCAGGCGGCGTTGTCCAGCTTCGAGCCAGATGCCCTGTCAGCGAAACCTGATCCAGCTGTCAGTGAGACGTGCCTTGAACTTATGAAATTGCCCGAGGAGTCGCGACTTACCGTTCAAATCACGGCAAGACCCATGCCTCACAACCTGTGCCTGTGCGTTCCTCCAGTAGAATAACCTTCTGCGTGAACACTGCGGGATATAGCGACCGAGTTGATGGATACCAGGAATACTGATACGTACTTCTATCCCGAAGGTCGGTTCGAGCCATGTTTGGGAAGGACCAGGGAAAAAGGCAAAAGGAAGAGACCCGGAGGCCGAACGTTGCTCGGATGCAAGCAGTGCTCCCGCCTGCCACGTTCGCCGACGAAGACCCGGTGGGAAGTCGGCGAAGCTGTCATGGATCTTTTCCAGCCAAGGCACATCCTAGTCGCCGGAGAAACACATATAGTAACGTTTGGGGAGCGACGACTTGCCACTTAAGCAGCAGAAGCCGAAGAATCCTGGCATCCATCGGTCAGTCTTGCACGATAGGTATTCTGGCGGTGATGACACACTTACAATGAATGGAGCCATATTCCGGTATCGTTCACAGCTCTAAAAAGATAGAACGAGGAACCAGTGCGCTATGTTGTTCATATCAATTATATACGGGATCTGTCCGGACGAGGGGTAGTCGCAGACGTGTGATCATGCTTCGGAGTCCGCGTCGCGTTCCGGAATCGCTGATCATCTCCTGCGTCCTCCGCGTGAGCAATTCGAGATGTCGAATTTGATTTCTCCGTACTGTCATGCAACGGTAAATCAAACATGTGCAATATTCCGAAGGGTCTCGGCCCATCATGTAATGCCGAGGCGAAGCACAGGGCCGGGAAGCCGATACCAGGACTGTAACACTGCAGCATCAGCGCTGGGAGCATGCTTCCAGCTCATACCGACTTGAATGCTGTTGGTCAATGAAATCCGCGTGCTTCCATCACGAATTCCCTACAAACTAAGCCCCAGGTGAGGACGAGGGAAGGAACGAGATACACAACTGGACTTACTGGGCGGGCCACAGAGCTTGTCTGAAGTGGGTAAGGGGTGCATTCCATGTATAAGTGTACAGTGAATGCAGCTTAGCTCGGGAAGACGGAAGGCGAGCCATCACGTCCAGCAGAGGTAAGCATGCTTGACTGGTGACAAATAAACTGGAGAGCCGCCTTCAAACCTTTAGGTAGGGGCATCTTCGGATTTGAGTAGTTATCAGAAGCAATGGCCATGTTTTAAACAAATATTAAATAAAGAATTTGATAAGTAGAAGGTATCGGTATCATGATATCATGTATATGTGTAGGAGGTGGACAAGAAGGTGCCCTGCGACAACGAACACTCACACCACACATGACGTAATCACCTCGGAGATTGCCGCCGCCACAAAGTTGGATGCCCTGGATTTAGCATGAAACTGGCGAAATACTTGTAGTCAATTATAGAGTATCATGGTGTATATCTCAAGGGTTGCATATATTACGAGTTTGATTGTATGTGGCGGTAGGGTAACCTTATGTCAGGTCCGTCACCAGCACTCCAGGCATATATAGTGTTTCTTAAAGCCTCGCTCGCGGGACCAAATATTTATTATTTAGTCCCACCGTATGGAGGGATGTGCGTGGAGTAAACGTTAAGATATTCAAGCATATATGTGCCTATCTGTGTCTTCATCTGATCCCTAAATTAATTTAAATTTTGGGGATAATCCTGAGATACTTTTGGATAGTATGATAATGCCTACGGCTTCGAATCGTGGATTATGGATCGGATGCTGACCTCCGGCAGTGCTGCAGCATCGAGGATCAGGAATGTCGACGACCATACCTGGGCATAAAAACATCGATCACGCTCACTTTTTCACTGCACGGTGACTTCAGTGCAGTCAGTGTAGGAGCTATTGTTGACAATGTCGACAATACACAACAGATAGTGGTTCAACAGCAACTGACCGTCGGCTATACAATGGCAGACACGGGTTTGGTAACAGCTGTTGTTGTGCCACGAATAACGGCTCCTATTTCGCACTGTGGCAACCTTTTCCGTCTGACCATGTTATTACCAAGATGAATCTGAATTCAGACATGCATTTGACATAAATCCATGTAACATCTGCAAGCCTCGATGACCAGCTTGTGTGTGAGCACGGGCATCAGCTACTCTATAGATAAGACATCAGTTGCCACGCCTCCAATACGTACTACGGAAGCCACTAGCTTAAGGCGTGACTTTCGTAACAACGGTACCTTCAATCCACTCCTCGAGATCATCGACAATCTCGTCTGCATGAGAGAGAATAAGCCAATGGTCCGAGTCATACTCTTTCATCGTCACACTGTGCTTGCTGAACGCCTCGTGCGCAAAAACCGTGTATCCAATGATGGGAGCGCAGACTTCGTCATTTTTCGTTGCGCCAAAGTAGATCGGCGCGCGGGCCGGCGGGAATTTGCGCTCGGAAGGGATCTCTGCAGCAAGGCCCTTGCATCAGCCGCGCCAGGGGGGGGGGGGCAAGTCTACAGGGATATGAAGACGTACGCTGGTCGTCCTCGGCGGCTAGCTGGCTCGTCACAACCTTGTACCAACACACCGGCGCCGCAAAGCCGTCACGCCTGAACGTCTCCACAAAGTGTTTCGCGTCTTCCTCAGAAAGGTAAGATGGTAGAGGCGCAGTAAAGTCTTCGAGTAGGGTCCGCTTGAGCGCGCCCGTCGGGCATGCGCGATCTCTCAAGATCTTAGGATCGTGAGCAAAACTGATGCTGACAACCGAGTCAATCTACGAAACATGTTAGTAGTTGTAGAATAAGGCGTACGCGTGACATTTACATGTGCCAGTAAGATCTCATGCGCGTCCGGCTCACTCATGAAACTCCAGTAGCCGAACGTTTCATACCCGAGCTGCTTCTTCAGGAAGCCCTGGAGCATTTGAGACTCCTCCGGGGACAACACTTGTAAGAAAGAGAGGGCGAAGAACACGTAGGCGAGTATACGCTCGGGGTAGTAGTTTGCAAGGCGCGAGGTCGCCTGGCAGCCCCTGTAATTGGCGAGTCTGCATCCGATGGTCACCAGATAGGAGGAGCGAGACTACTCACCAGTCATGGCCTACGGCAATAACACCCTCAATCTTCTCGGCATCCAGGACATCGATAATATCTTTGCATATCAGACTCGGGACGTACGCCGCCGGGTCAGTAGGCTTGTCGGTCCCACCATACCCAAGCATGTCCAACGCAAGCACGCCGTACCCCTTATCCTTCAGACGAGGCACGATGTGGCGCCAGTCATAAGACGTGGATGGGAAGCCATGACAGAACAGCAGAGTCGGCTTGGAGGACTGGGCAGGGGAGAAGTAGTAATTGTATGTCAGGCCGCGGGAGATGACGACGTCCTTGTACAGCGATGCCTCCATGATGCGATGATACCGATGGTAGAGAGACAGAAGCGAAGCGACCTGTGTGCTTATGTATCGCAATAGCTGGTGGCTAGCCGGCACTACCTGAAAGTTTCAGGTAATATCGGCTAGCTGCTGAAACTTGACATGAAAATGTCACGGACAGGCCATCTGTTCAGTAACACCCTGAGTTCTGAAACTCGGCGAGTTTCTGAACTCGCGTGACTTCCGGCGCTGTCGGCCCTGTCACCGCGCTGTCACCCGCACATGTAATTACACTTATGCAATATGACAACCATTGTCTGCAGACAAGCCACTGCTGTATCCCTTCGATACTGGTCATGGCGAAGGCTAGGACTGTCCTTCTGGCTCATGCTGAGCAGCAGAGGAAGCATAGACTACTGGCTTTGAAACTTTCCAACTACTGTTATATATTCCCAGGCTAGTCAGTACTTCATTGTGGTAGTATTACTTCAAGAGTGCTTCTACGTCCTTCCCTTTATCGATTTATCCTTCACCTGTAGCGGAGCAATGGCTTCCGCGGCTTCCCGCAGGGTAGCCGCCTTCCAACAGTCGCTGTCACTAGCTTCGGCACAATGAACAATGAGAAAGTTGAGAGAGGCAAGCTCCTCGGCAAATACCCCTTGAGAACATTTTGTAGGCCCCCCAGAAGCTGACTGAGGGGTAGTAGCAGCAGTTCAGCGGGTCATATAAAAAGGAATAGTGTGACGATTCTGACGAAGGTGCTGTCGCCTAATTGCGCGACGCAGCAAGGCAAAGGCTTAGCGCTTCACGGTTGTCACACACAGTCACGAAACGATCACGTCAAAGTCACATAAGTGCTTAGGTCTGAGTTCATCAACTCGCGCGAGTTTGGAAACGTGTTCGGTGATGGCGAGCTCAGCGCTCGCCCAAGGTGCGATTTCCCCCAAGGAGAAGATACATAAGCGTGAAGTTCTGCGACAGTCAAACCTGCTGCGGACTGCTGTACACAGCGCTGCAGAGCATTGTACCAGGTCTCAAGGCATGTTGTGCACAAGGTGCGCGGCGTGGCAAGGCAGGGCGCCAAAAGGCGCGCGTCTACTACTAGGCTCCTGTCCACCCTCCTAACCTCAAATACAAGATACCGATTCCAGGGGAATCGCAACTCGAGTGTTACTGAACAGGGCCTTATTCGTATAAGTGCAGGAAAAGGCCGCAGAAGGATACATCGGCACTCAGCGCGGGCGACAATGCAGGTCCAGAACAGACTGCTGAGACCAAGGTGTCGATTTGGTTCCTCCGGCGCCCGGCGGGCGTCCAACGCCAGCTTGCTAGACGCACTTCACGACCTCCATTATCCGCCGCCGCTCAGATTATGGCTTGCCGCTGTCCTGGACGCTCTCCTACTTGTGTCTGCTTCCTATCGTCTGTGCGCATTCTCTCAAGTCTCGGATAGTGTATTGCAGTCATGGTAGGTCCAACTCGAATTAAACCCTGACCTTGCAGTGGTACGTCCATTTCGTGCGCGGTGCAAGCATAGCTCAACATTAACGCATTGACAGAATGTACATACTCGATGACTCAGTTACGCGTATACTGCGCGGGCGCTTTCAAAGTTGAACAGGGCGGTCGAAATGGCGAAGAATCTCGACGTGTGTTTCCATAACTTTTGTGTCTTACGATCTTGCTAACTGACAAGTTCAGCAGCTCTATCGACTCAGTCGTCTCTTGACAACGTTCAACTTTGACACAAAAGCATCTGCTCCTTCTGCCCTTCTGTTCGGCGAAGCCTTACGACATGTTCTGCCGACGTGGTTCTCGACGTTTCAGCCTGCTCGCTGGTGGTACGCCAGAACGCGAGTGAGTTCCGCTGTCATATGCCCTAAGTCCATTTTGAACGAGCGCGGCTCCTTGAAGTGTTGGGCTTGCTCGTGTATTTCAACATCGTCGCCGCATGTGACAGCTTTTGCTCTACCGCTTCGCCTCTATACCATATCCAAACGGACAACATGGCGCAAGAGCATCGCGCGATGTCCACATCGACAATGTTGTGCACTATCGTCCATCCCGGATGCATCTGCACTGCTGAAGTCCAGAAGCATTGAAATGCGACTCCACCGGCCGAAGAAGAGTATGTGAAATTGACCGTCTACGGATTCGGTGGAAGATCTATTCAGCGCATGTAGCGAAGACCGTGATAGAGTATGCGCGCCTAAGAAACTGTATATGTGTTGTAGATGACTGTTCCGGCAGATGTGCTTTTCCCAGGCAACACACATCTCGTTCGCACCGGTGACAGGAAATCCTCCGTCCAGCCTTCACAATCTCACTACCGTCCGAGCCCCTGCGTACGACCCCCGATATTGATCACACAGATCCCGTGTGCGGATCATAACAGAATGGTTATGTTTGGACCGTCGATGCACGCAGAGAGGAAAATGTGGAATAACAGGGATAGTTACTGGATGGATGGGGCCTTGTGAGGTGAGTCTTGCGTGAAGTAGAACAGGATGACGCTGATAGCGAGGCTTGTTTCAGTGTTCCGGGTGTGGGCATTCTCTTTCGATCCTGCGCTGTGTGATATAAGTCCCTACATTGCCCTAAAAAATCTTGCAGAAGTTTCGATGTATACACGCACGCAAGCATCTTTCCAATTTTAGACCAGTTCCTATGGTTTATGTGTATCCCAGACCTCCTGTCCATAGCTGTGCGTGTCTACGTGATGCCCAGTTCATAGCTTCCGACGCGCCCTGCACTACGAGTGCGATGGGGAGATCGCCGCGGTGTGCCCGCTTCTGAATATTACGGTGACCCATTCATAGCGGTCGATGATTGCGGGAATGAATAGAGTTTGGGCATGCATTCGCATTGGTGGGTGGGCCGGCGGCTCATGGCCATCCCCGTTCGCGGATTTGCCCGGCATTGCAAAAATTGCTCCTCGTTGCGCGGTCTTTGCGCCCCGTTTCTTGTCCACGGCGGCGCTGTGAGCGCGAACACATACAGAGCGGAGAGGGAGGACGCATAGATCCTTGGTTAAAGTACGTCGTTTTCCATCTTGACGCCACCCTAATAGTATGTTGGCGCAATTACCCCGCGGCTCTGCGATATCGCGCTGTCCTGGCTCTGCTCGCTCGGACTGCCGTCAGGTCACGGCGACCCATGCTTATTCGCGCTACCGTCTCATAAGGCTGAACGCTACGCAGAAGGATGTCTATAAATGATCCCCATGCACCGCCGCAGCGTGGAGGACAAGCCGATAGCGATCCAGGCGATGGTTCTCACTGCACCTGGGCCAGCCTTCTCGCTTATTCTATTGTTGTTGCTGCCGCCATAACGGTGATTACCATTGTCACTTCAAGTTTCCTAAGTCTGTTGCTCCTGAAGACATACCATCCAACGTCTGGTGTGTCTCCCATAGCTGGGTAGACGACCATGACCTCGTCAAGGTATCGACGAAGATTAACGGAGAGCAATGGCCTGTCTATATCCCAGGTGATATTACCCTCGACCACGTTCGCATAGAGCTCCTGAATATGGGCGCCGAGTACGTCTGGTTGGATGTGTTATGCTTAAGGCAGAAAGGACAAGCCAAGGACGAGACGCAACGGCATGATGAATGGAAGCTTGACGTTCCCACCATCGGCTACACCTACGCTCGTCGCTCGATACTCTGCATCACCTATTTCAATGGGCTCGGTCTACCTCTCGATACCTCGCCAGCCATTATGCGTTCGACACGACAGTGGTTCAATCGCGTCTGGACATTGCAGGAGTCTCCTCCCAGCTGGCTTCCGGGAGGCTTATCAACCAGACCTCTCGTAGATGCTCGTACGTTCTTCGACCGTCTTCGCGGTACCGTAACGGCGGTAAACAGCCGTGACGATGGTTTTAGTCTTGCCCAAACTCTTCGCGAACGCTCATGCACCAAGGAGATCGACAGGATCGCTGGGCTGGCGTACATCTTCCGGTGCCGCACGCTGCCTATCTACGACGAGAATGTGGGTCCGGAGGTCGCGTGGACCCTGTTACTCAAGCACATGGACCCGCAGCGGCGAACGGCGATCTCTCTCCAGTATCCGCCGTGCAGTCCTTTTGGTTTATGGGGATCATGGGAGAGATTCTTGCATTCTTCGGAGACCTCTCACGCCGGTGAACTCCGCTCTTTAGCGGGAAGCTCCGAGGACGGCAGCCTTAGGCTCGTGGATCCCAACCAACTCTACACTAATGCACAGGGCGTATACTGCCATTCTGGCTACGTCACTGAATCATGCCATATCTTACTGGGCGGTACTACTCAAGCCGGAGTGGAAGAAATCAAATTATCCTGTGGAGATTAGGGGAAGTCTGTCAAGCTCTCGATCCTCAGCAAGCACGGGATCCTCCTAGACGGCATGTCGTACTGCTTGATCAAAGCCAGAGAAGGGGATGTGGGACACTGGGTTTTTGGCGAAGTACTAGCTAGAGAACAGATTGTAGACGAAGAGGGGGAACTCTCAGTTGCAAGATGGGCGGTCATCCGGGTCGATAAAGACGAGGGCCAGCGACTGGAGACACATGTAGCCGCCAGGAGGCGACGGAGGCGGATAATATACTCTACCGTGGAAGAGGCGGCACATCGGAGCTCAAGGGTACACGACTATATTGCAGTATGTGATCGCTATGTTACGACTTGACTTGCAGTGTAAGTGCGATTGACCATAATCTCATATCAACAGGCATTCAGTAAGCTGGCTGAGCACGAATTGGACCGCGGCTTTGCGACACCTTTGGTTCGTATACAGCTGTATGATCATTTATTGCCAGCGTGATTGACACATGTGACGGTCAGCATTACATACTCTGCTCAGTACAGAACAGGCCCGGCTGGTGCATACTGGCCGACCCACCTTGGAAGCCCCAATATACTCGTCCCGCTGTGGCACAAGTAATAATCCCTGGATTCGTCGAGCAACGGATCAAATGTGGAGACAACTTCGCCGACGGCAATCGAACTGTCGTTTGGGTCCTGGCTCAGCTGGCTTCAGTGGACGGGACTGCATCTGCTCGTGATCTTTTTCAGTCCTCGGGAAGAGGCAAATGTTACACTCTCCAGCCTCCCTCTCCCTCCATCGTCCCTCTGCAGCGAATACACATTGGCCAAGGAGCGATACCCAACGAACTCGCGGACATCCCTTCTGATCACCTACCAATTGACGATCTGCTCGCCAAACTCAACGACGTCCTCGGGACATCTTATACGCTCGAAACTTCCGGTGTTCGTGGCTGTTTGGAGTATGCTGTCAGCACTTCACGTGATTTCGGGGAGGTGTACGGCACACTACGCCCACAGTGGTCAAACCGGCGGCGGCCCGGGGACCTTGCCACAGTACTTGCCAGGATTAAGGATCGTCGCGACAAGGTCGAGCAAATGCGAGACGAAGCCATTCACGATCACTCCATCCAGAACTCCCGAATCCCTCCTCGACGTGTCTGGGACCTGCTCAGCAACCGAGTCCTTCCCTTCTATGTGATGCCTTGTGAAGATGGAGAGGACCCTAGTTGCTTGCCTGCTGACCTATGGACTGTGTCGCACTCCTGGGTCCGCGAACAAGAGCGCGTGCTCATCATGACTCCAATCAACGGGTGCAGATGGCCTGTCCCGATTCCAAACAGCACATCACTCGACCACGTCCGTATCGAACTGTTGAACATGGATGCCCAATACGTCTGGGTTGACGTCCTGTGTATGCGGCAGGAGGGCCAAGACGACAACGACGACGACAGAGTCCGGGTTGAGGAGTGGAAGCTCGACGTACCTACAGTCGGTCATGTTCACCGAGCCAACCCGCGCGGAAGACCGTGTATCACGTATTTTAACGGCCTGGGCTTACCGTTTGATGCGTCGCCGATGGCTCTCGAATCGGACCGGCACTGGTTCAATCGTCTATGGACCATGCAGGAAGCCACGCTCAGCTGGTTGCCCGGTGGACTCACTGCGACATCTTTCTCCCATAGCCCAAATTTCTTTTCTCGACTGCAGGACCTCATCTCGAGTATGTCTCAATGGGACGGACTCGCTGAAGTCATTCAAGCCGTCAGCAGTCGCCATTGCACCACAGAACTTGACAGGATAGCCTGTCTTGCTTATCATCTGCAATGCCCAACGCTACCACTCTACGCTCTATCGGCTTCCTTGGAGCCCGCATGGACGTTGCTCATCAAGCACATACCTTCACGGACTAGGACGTGTTTCTTCTTTCAGCACGAATCTGACGTGCCGTTCGGATTGTGGATCTCGTGGAGGGGGTTCCTGACGTCCCCACGAGCGTTACTGCACCTTAATCAGACACTTGACGCAGAGGAGCTGCAGCCGGTGGATCCTCTGCACGTCTACACCAATGAATCCGCACAGTATTACCACGCCGCATATGCTACTAAGCGATGCTACATTGTATCCTTACCCGACGACACTCACCGAAGCACTAGTGGGCCGCAAGTGTTCCAACTGCGCTTCGACGACTCGGATCGTGCTGAGCCTACCACCGTGGAAATCTCCGCTACCAAAACGCATGGATGTCTAATCCAAGATGTTCCGTATCTCTTGCTCGGCGTCGGAAACCCCTGGAAGGATTGCTGGGCGGAAGCTTCCGCTCGATGTGTGCTGTTGGCAGCCGGATCCAAAGCACCTTCAACTGCACCTTTCGCTCAACCTGATCGCGGTAACATCGGTAACCCTGGCACGAAGGGGGGCAGCAAGGAAACCGACCTTGGCGCTCATTGGATTGCCGGTAAGCACCCTTCAACACCTCACGAAAGGGTTACCGCTCAGCTCGTTCTTAGCGAGTCCATAATCATGCCCCATATCTAGGCCCAAACGTAAATGCAAAGTCTGCTTGTGACCATCATCTTCTTTCACATCTTGATCAATTGCCACGCCGCGCACGCCGTCATCTTCGAGTCCTATAGTCGCTCCTCGACAATCTTCCGCACCGAGTTGTGCACTAGCGTACGCCGTGTTATTGGTCGTCGTGACACCGACTCGTTGCTCGTGCCTGTCCTGCCATGCTCGCCCCACGCAGGACAGAAGTACGCGGCCTGGTTCGACGGGACTACCAACCAGGTCGCCTGGTCGCACAGAGTCACCCACGCGCCGTCCTCGAGATGAGGAACACCCCGTGCGGCCGAGTGAAGGCCCAGGCAGACGCGCTAACTCGCCAGCCTTTAGGAAGAGCACCGTACAGCCGATGTCATGAATCTACTCGAGTTTACTTGACGAGGTGCGCAGATCGAAGGCTATCGTGAATAGCTAATCTGATGCTTTCGTTGCACATACACGTAAAGCCAGCCTGTTAACGAACTTCGTGATCGAGGTATCGGCAGACAGGTCACGGGAGGATTAAAAAGGGTGGTGTATCTCTTCATTTGGACACTGCGGATAAAATAGAGCTCGGCTTGCTATATGTAGAATAAAATCTTGACCTATACATACTCGCCATGCATCACCAAATACAGGGATACCTTACAACCATTTTTTTTTTCACTTTTCACTTTCCCTCGCCTTGTTAAACGCCTTCATGTACTTGTTGACATGCCTGCTCTTAGCCCTGGCCTCCTCGTCGCACAAATACACCACTCTCGTGTTGTCTCTCCCCAGTTCCTGCCCGACGAAATTTCGACCCTCGTCCTCGTCCATATAGATCACACCCCATTTGATCACCTCAAGGGCTTTCTCACCTTGCACGTCCCGCTCCCCGGCCATCTCAACTGCAACCGAAGCAGGGTGCAACGCTACGCCATGGTCCCAGCCGATGAACAAGAGTCGGTAGGGATGAAGGGGATGGAAAACGGGCAAAGTCTAGCGAATATGAGAGAGCAATGGAGATAGCGGGTCAAGTACGAGTGGGACGCCGTTACATCTGCTCGCTAAGAAGCGGTGCGCCGTTGCCTCTGGGAATAACGCGGTTCCAGAATTGCCGTGTCGATACCTCGATAACTGTAGGCATGTCCGTGACAAATCCGCCCACAGTCGTGTCCAAACCGACCTTGCGCATGTGTGCTACGAAGTTGTGAAGCGGACCATCGACGGCAGCCATCAATTTGCGCGTCGCCTAGGGCAGGCTTGTCATTTCGGATATGCAATGCTCGATGACAGGTTCGAATGCGTGCACCCAGGCTATCGGCAGGTTGCGCGGATGCGTCTAGTCTTGAACACGACCTGGTGATGCGGGCGAGCGGCCGGGTCGGTCTTCGTGGCCAGCCTGTGTGCAAGCATAAGTATCAGTTAGCCAATAAACATGGCATTAGTCACCATATCTCCAATACGTACAGAGATCACTAGCTCAAAGCTTGGCTTTCGTGGCAACGGTGCCTTCGATCCATTTCTCAAGATCGCGGGATATCTCGCCACCATGGGAGAGAATTAGCCAGTGGTCCGCGCCGTATTCCTTCATCGTTACACTGTGCCTACTGAACACCTCCCACGTAAAGGACGCGTATCCGATCTTGGGAGGGCAGGTATAGTCATGCTTCGCCTCGCCAAAGTAGATCGGCGCGCTGGCTGGTGGGAACTTGCGCTCGGGAATGATCTCTGCAGCGAGGTCTTTGCATCAGCCATGCCAAGGGGGACGGATCCACACGGATATAGAGGACTCACGCTGGTCGTCCTTGGCGGACAGCTGGCTCGTTACGATTTTGTACCAGCACGTCGGCGCCGCAAAGCCGTCGCGCCTGAACGTCTCCACGAAGTGTTTCATGTCTTCCTCAAACAAGTAAGATGGTCGAGACGCAATGAAATCTTCGAGTGGGCTCTGTTTGAGCACGTCCGTCGGGGCCAGGCGCTCTATCCAAGTCTTAAAATCGTGAAAGAAGGTGACACCGACAAACGAATCAATATGCGAGACGCATAAGTAGTTGTAGGACGAGGCTTGCGCGTGGCACCTACGTGTGCCTGTATGACCTTGTTCGCGCCCGGCTCACTCAAAAATTTCCAGTAGCCTAACGTCTCGTACCCGGGCTGCTTCTTCAGGAGACCCTGGAACACTTCGAAGTCCATCGGGGGCAGCACTTGTACGAAGGAGACGGCGAAGAACACGTAGGCGAGGATAAGCTCGGGATAATAGTTTGCAAGGCGCGAGATTGCCTTACAGCCCCTATTGTTGGCGGTTTAGCATCGGAGATAGCCCCCAATGAGGAGGATCGGGGCGAACTCACAGGTCATGGCCGACGGCAATAGCATTGCCAAGCTTCTCAGCATCCAAGATATCGACAATGTCTTTGGATATTAAACTCGGGATATACGCCGCCGGGTCTGTAGGCTTGTCGGTCCCGCCATAGCCGAGCATGTCGAGAGCGAGCACGCCGTAACCCTTATCCCTCGGACGAGGCACAATATGTCGCCAGTTGCGGGACGTGGATGGGAATCCATGACAGAACGGCAGGGTCGGCTTGGAGGACTGAGCAGGGGAGAAGCAGTGATGGTATGCCAGGTCGCGGGAGGTGACCTAGACCTTGTAAAGCGATGCGTCCACTAGATGATGACGATAGAGAAAGTACTGTAATGATATGAGGTCGAGCTGGGAGAAATGGCTCATTTCTAAGCGCGGATGCGCGCCTTGAGAACCTCTTTCGCTGCAAAGCCTGCCAAAAGAAACGCGTTCCTTGCGAATTATTTCGCAAAGTATTTTGTGCATGGTCTCCGAATTTATCGCACCTCGCGCATTCTGCCTCAAATCTCGTCCTTAGGTCATTTCGTGGTCTTCCAGGCGATGTTTGGGCATTTATGCTTGGAGATGGGGTCTCTGTAGGGGTCCTGGGGAATATGCCGGGGTCCTGCAGTGAGCCAGCACTCAAGACCTCCCGTGTCCTTCAGTTACGCCTTCTCAGCACTGTCTCTCGTCTGCAAAGGTGTCTGCTCTTCTGACTAATACGCTGCTGGTAAGCCATCTCGTGTAGCCGTTTCTTTGAGACATCATAGGAGAACGGGGTTATGAAGACGGATCGCCGAGGGCACGCTTGCGGAGATGCGCTCTGTCTCAACAATCTTGACAAGTGTGTCATGCCGGCATGAAAATAAGCGGAGGGTAGTAGGGTGTGCAGTTATCGAGCGTCCAAGTGTAATGTTTTATTCTGCAATGACAAGATATGCGCATCATCTTTCAGAGTATTTTTACTTTGAATGTGCAAGATAATTGCTGAACGAGCATACAAATGTGCAGCCAGGTCTACGCATCATTCCTTGAAATGTCTCTTTACCCACTTCTCACATCGCCGCTTCGGAGCTTTTGACCTGGCGTACCGCTCACTCGTCCATATCCTCCGCTATAGTCTCCTCCCAACAGCATCGCAACCTCCTCAGACCCCATGTATGCATTACAATCTATACGGCACATGCACGACGCGTCCTCTCCGCAATGTCTATGCAAGTTCGGGCCGCGGCTGGGTTCGCCGCGCGGCGGGTTCCTGCACCCCCCACCGTTCTCGCTGATCCTTGACAAGCCCCGTATACCACGGGTTGGTCTCCCTGCCTTTACCGCAAACCTGGCGCTTAGCGATTTTGCTCAGCACGCTTTCGTGTCAGTCTTGCACCTAGGCCCAGTCAGATGGAGGCGGGGACAGAGCTAATCGAGCCCGGTGACTCCAGATATCTCTATTTCATTTGAGCTCTGTCTCACGGCAGTTGCTGTAGGCCATTCCAGGCATCGAACATAGAGGAGTCGCCTGCCGGGCCTGCGAAGGGCCAATCTTTGGCCCAGCCTGCGTATGGTAATGCAAGTTACGGGAGCCGCGGCCGCTGCCAATGAGTTTCTTGGTTCCGCCCTCCAGTGCGATGGTTGGAGACGATGCCGCTCGCCACAGCTCAGCGCTTTTCCAGGGACAAACATCGCCCACTTGGGGACTTCCTGAGACGCGAGCATCGTGAGTCTTGTTCGCTCCAATTTGTTGTGGTTGGAGCCTTCTGAGACTAAATTCTGCTTATAGTACAAATACTGCCAGCGTTCCTCTGTCATCGATGGTCCTTTTGGTTTCTGCTTATTCCCGGGCAGCCACGCTGACCACCTGTCTCCCGGCGGAGCGTCTTCGTGAATCGTTTCTTGATCAGCCTCCGACAGCTCTGCCAGCTAACCGACCCCAGCTCGACGTCGACGACGCAAAGCACAGGCGGGCGTACAAGTGTCGCGCCTGTAACCGAAATTCTAGGGTTTATCCGCTGTCGATTATAAACTTATTTGTGCATAAATGCTCCGCGTAGTGCGTAGCATTATAACGCGCCAAGTCAGGTCAAGCGACTGGTGAACGTCAAAGGACCGCAGTACTTACTTACTTGCGGGTTTCAGCCATACCCTTAGGCCCACCCTATTCCTATTAATGCCCATCTTACCTGCCCATAGATATCTCATGCCAACGATAATATGTCAGTACTAGTGTGTCTGATGTTATTGATTCCAGCCTCGCATCGGCTTGCGTCTTTGTTTGGTGCTGTTAGAATCTGAAGTCTCCGCCTTCCTGTAAAGGCACATGTCATCTCTTCCGGCCTCCTCCACCCTGCGTACCGAAGTTGGGGGACATTAACGCGAAGGCTTTTGTTGGTTGGCAGCCCATTTATGTTTAATATCAAGCAAAAATTGGCGCGTTCAGGGGCAATAGCATGCGGTGTGCCCACGATCGGCGCTGCGTGAGTCGTCCGCTACGCATGTTCGGATCGTTTATTCGGCCTCGTTTTTAACGGACTTGCAGCTTCGCTCTACTTGATTTTGGTAGTAATAATGAATGTACAATGTGGGCTACTTATGATTAGCAGCTATTGTTATTTAAATTTTATTTCATCTCATTTTATTGAGGATCTGGGAACGCGTATGAATGGCGGGAAGACCGAAAGGTGTATGGAAAGACCCTGCTCAAGCACGCACGCATTTACCATGTTTTCAAGCCGTGAACTCGAACGCTACATGCCGCGCTATTACCACAGATCAAGAGGCATTCCCTCGAGAAGCCTTTGCACACTACTGCGCCTGCCTTTGAGATCTCGCAGAGACCTGACCTGGGGGTCGCTCTCTCCATCGCTTCGTAACTTTTGGTCGTACACTACCTCGGTCTTACTGCGACCCAAGCCTCGAGCGACAAGTCTTTGAGCTTGTTGAGCCTCCATATGAGCTATTCCCCATTCAACCACGCGCAGTCTTCCATCGCGTTCGCCCTCGGGTGCTCCGGTAGTCAGGATCCAGTAGCGGAGATCGCCTAGACCCAAGAAGGAATACGTTACGTCTGGCCTGACCACTCCCCACACGGTGATCTTGACTCGGGCAAAAGTATTCGGAGGAAACCATAGCTCTACAGTTTCTTCTTCCCCCTGCCATTCGCGCCTAGCCGCTTTGTTCGACGAGGATAAGATGCGACACGGTCTCAGCATGTAAACGGTTTGGGAAAAGCTTCCCGGACTATCAGTGTAAAGCTGCTCCCGGTTTACCAGCTGCAGCTTTTCCCCCTCGCTGAGGTCCCCTAGGTCGTGGGGACAGCCAAGAAATAGCCAGGTCAAGAATTCGGGGCGAAGATTCTTGAGCAGCAAGTTTAGCTTCTCGACGTACACAGGTAGGGTTGAGTGGGGGGTCAGGTACGTGAGGCCCGCGATCCGGTCTACGTCGTTCGTGCAGTGGCGCTCCCGGATGATTGGCCACAGCTTCTTGGCGTCATACTTGGCGTCCTCTATCGTCTTGCGCAACTTCTTGAGCCGCGTGAAGAGGGTGCCTTCGTACACGGTCGAGCTCCCGGTCAGGCCGCCGGGCAGCCAGCAGTCGCAGAGCTCTTGGAGCGTCCAGACGCGGTTGAACCAGTGCCGGTCCGATTTCAGCAGGTCCGGGGATACAGATAGGGACAGCCCGAGCCCGTTAAAATAAATGACGCAGATCCTGGACGGTGCGCTGTAGATGTTGCCTATGGTGGGCACGTCCAGCTTCCACTCGTTGGTGCGCGTGTTCGACCCGGAATCCTTGCTCTCGTCGGCTTGCCTGAGGCACAGGACATCCAGCCAGACGTATTCAGCGCCAAGATTCAACAACTCGATGCGCACGTTAGAGAGGCTCGTTCGGCGCGGGAAAGGCACTCCCCACTGCCTCCCGTTAATCGCCGTATCCACCGTCTGACGGTCCTCTTCGTCGACCCAGCTATGCGAGATTGCCCAAAGACGGTCGAGGGTCCTAACGTCGCCCGTACTGTTTCTGAGTCGCTCGGGCAGAGCAAAGAAAGGGAGTACACGGTTGCTGTACAGATCCCAGACGCGTCGAGGGGGCACATGTGGATTGGTGACGCAATGGTCTTGCACGGCCTCGTTGCGCTCGTCCTGGTCATCTTTCTTGCGCTTCATCATGAGACTGCGCACGTCGACGGCGGTGAAGTCAACATGCCACCATTGGCGTAGATACCCGTACAGGTACCCGAGGTCCAAGTAGCCTGCTTCCTGCAACTCGTCGCGGACATACTCGATGCAGTTTCGTAGATGCGGGGCGTGTAGCGAATAGTCGGTACGCAGAAAGGGATAGAGCATATCGAAGAGCTGTTGAGTACTTGTATCCGCGCATGAGATATCCGCCAAAGCGTCAGGAATAGCATTGGGACCAGTGTGAAAACTCTGTAATGGAACTTCGCAGGGGCCGGGCCCGTCAGGTTCCAGAGTAAACGAGCGACCTGGCGCGTGCAGCGTGAATAGCGTATCGTTGGTGACGTTCCCGTGTTTCGCCATCATGACTGTCCCCCACAGCATGGTGCGACGCTCGGCGATATCCTCCTTGTGCATTCGTGCTTCGACGCAGGAAGGCAGGCCAATGGGTGTGTTGGGGAGGTTTTTGCGATTCTCATGCTCCCACGGCGCAATATCACATCGGAGAGTCCTGTCGCCTAGGACGAAGTGCCGTTCGCGCAAGTGTGGCCCGCGGTCACGAAGAGACGTGGTTGAAAGGGAAGAATTAAGCAGGCCCGGCTGAGGACGCGGTGGGACTAGGCCCAACGCAATGGCCCACGTGTCGCTCGCACATTCCAGAACAAGCTGCTGCACAACGTCGAACCGCGATCCGGGGCGTATCTTAGGCTCTTCAGCCACGCGGACGACATGACGAAACATGTGGAGGTCTCTCGTCATGGTGTTTGCTAGGCCTAGAAGGCCGAGGGCAGAGATAATCATGGCCACCAGGAGGAGGCTGCCGAAAATGGACGCGTTGAACGCGAGGATGGTGGAGAGGTACACAAAAAGAGTGGCTACGACCGTCGCACAGCTCTCTTCGTCGCTCATCTTCTGCAACCAGCTCCCAGCGGTTACATTCTTGACGTCGTTCATAGCTCCTTGAATCCGAACCCAGCGATCGCGGGAGAGGATGACGAAGAGGTCGGCATCGCCACTCTCGAAGGCGCCCTTCCACCCCAGCACAGCCCGCCGTTTGACGACAATGATGTTGAGCAGCCGTGCAGCCATAAGGGCGAAGACAGCAGTGAGAGCCCACCAGTCTGCAATTGCAGCCAGTATGCCGATGGTGCCGATGGTGAGGGATGCGCAGCCGATGTAGAGCACGAGATCGAATGAATCTGCACCGAAGGTAGTGCGATGGGGGAGGGGAGGGGATACATGGACCTTCGTTAGGAATCCTGTCTTGCTAATGCGTAGTAGGAAGCTGATGGTTGCCGGATTTTGAATGAGAAAGACGTAGCCGGAAGACATATCGCAGGCTCTGGGATGCTCGCCAACATTGATTTCGGAAGCCATCTGTTGTACATGGATGCCAGGTGCGAGGATGAAGATGTCGAGATAGGACGCGCTTCCGGTGAACATAGCCCGACGTGCAATAGCTTTGAAGTTCATCGCGGCCAGAATCCCGGCCGCACAAAATGGATTGTGGATCCTGTTCAGAACAGAAAGAAGCATTAGCACCAGATTTCATGGTGAGCACTAGAAGCGTTGCACCTTAACATCGAGGGCCAGTTGGTAGTTAATAGAAGTCTGTGAAAAATTTTACGGTGCGATGTCTAGTTACACCGTTACAGCGTGTCTGAGGCGGGACCAAACGAATAGACGATCTGCGGACCCGGAGGAGATCGGTTTTAAACAGGTTCGCGGGCTGGTGGGATGGACAGCAATCTCAAGAAGCGATTGACGGTGGGCAAGTAATCAAAACCTAGCAGCACAGGAAAACCGCAGAAAAAACTTCGATGTCACCTCGTGGTCATCGTGGTTGGCGTAACTCAACCTCGCCGCGCAGACGTGTTCTAGCCATCGGCGATCTCCTCTTCCTGGAATCCTTCCCACGGAAGCATCATGAAGCTTGGAGAATTCCATGTTCTCGTGTTTCGTTCTCGTGTTCTGTCTAGAGGTCGCATAGGCGGCTTTGGCTTAAGAGGAGTCTGAGGAGCAGCCAGCGGTTGCGTCTGGCATTATCTCAATCTTGCCATTTCAGGATATGTGATGGCATCATATTAGTGGTGATCCGGAGCTCTCAGCTCGGTGCTGGCTTGCGCTCATACAACGTTTTCTGCAGAGCTCTTATCCAGAGGGCTCGATGCCATGAAACCACTAAGGTTTCGCGGTGAAAACATGAGGCTGGGACACGGATCATGCATGCTTACTCACGCTTCAACTACAACAAGCTCACGACAGACAGGCTCTGCCAGAAGGCAGTACCTATCCCCTTTCTTCCTGCTTCCCCAATGTACAATTTTTCCGCTGGATCCATTTACACAGGTAGCGATCCTCAGCAGCTCTACCTATTCCAACAACAACTAAACGGCAACTAGATCTCCCAGAGGGATGGAACAGCATAAATCGCACTGATTTCCCCATTTGTGCAGCGACAGACAGGGTATTCACTAGCAGGTATGTGCTACGAAGCATACTGAAGGTGGGACGCTTACGATGGGCCCCTAGTGCACGAAACCCGCTCCACGCAGCCGGTCTCATCGCGACGATCGACGTCAAGACCACTGCGTATCGAACTGCTCTCACAGGAGGTGCATCGTACTTCGACGCCCTTGTACTTACTCCAGGCATCCATACTCAGCAAGATGCCGCAGAGCTCAACAATGGCGAATATCCTATCGCCAGTGCGATGGCGCCCGGAGAACCTAGGATTTTCCGCATAGAGAACCAGGCGACCGTCGCCTTCTTGCAGAGAATCAGCGAGACGGGCCACCTCACGAGAGTCCGCGTTTCCCCTCTGTCTTCCGCCACACCCTCCGCACCCATTGATCTACAGGCGTCGCGATACAGTGCCTCGCTCACCATTGCTGCGGTCGCGTTGTCGGCGGGGATGGAGGACTGGTGGGCCCTTTCAGCGATCGGTGCTCTCATACTGGCTCGTCTTCTGAACATCTTCGTCCTCAAGCGGCGCGTCCTGTGGGATCAGAAGGATACAAAGGACGCGAAGGACGTCGGCGGTGACGATATTATCGTGCTTCTATCGCAGGACCGCTGGGTGCGCATGCAAGGGGCTGTCCGCGACCTCACAGCCGTGACGGCAGGGCCGTGGCTGCGAGACATGAACGCCGCGGAGTGCTGTGCTGTAAACTTTGCTACAGTGCTGACACACGTGTCCGTCGTTCTCGCGTTCAACGGATCCCCCACCGGCAGCATGCTCCTGGCTGGCATGCTAGTGCTGTCGCTCGGCCTTGTCGGGCGCGCCAACGCGACCGCAAGACATCTTCGCATGTTCAGTTGCGTTTTGGGGCAGGAGGGCCCGGCGAAGGGGTATGTACGCAGGAAGGACATGGCGGAGGAATTGATTGCTGAGCACGGCAACGAAGAAGGGTGGGCGGTCAGACTGGGACTAGTGCTTGGTAAGCGGAAAGGGTCCACGGCTGATCAAACTTTCCAGTCGAGTCTCGCTCCGGCCTATGTCGAGCTGTGAGGCCTCGTTGTGATGGCTTAACAAGCACCGGATGGTTCAGGTTGAGTACGGTTATAAATTCAGGCTTTATCGGTCGTCTCTGTTGCCGTCTCCACCAGGTATTGTTATGTGCAGCCGTCGTGGTGTTTAAGTGCATAATTAAAATCTGCATCTCGAGAGTTCAGTCTAATAAACCTTGTCCTTGAATGGAAGATCGCGGGACTTGAAGCTAGCTTGAGCGCTTCTAACTTCCCGGATCTGTGCAGCGCCTATTGAGGCACATCTGAGATCTCGCAGCAGGGATCCCCAACAACCCCAGCTACACTGCAGTGGAGGCCATCATTGCCTAGGCTCTGAGGGCTTTTCTATGCTCTAAATTTTGAGGCTTGGGTGGAGGTCGCGGCTGCTCATTCAATTCTCGCGAAAGTCACTAATCCCAACGAATCCGCAGCTGACCAATACTGGACCTCTCACGTCCATGTCGGTCTCGCGAACAGCCCCGTGTCAAGCCAAGCCTACAATTGAACGAACAGGTTCCGCTACCAGGATGAACGTTGTGCACAGCGGGACGTTCGTTGTCAGAAAAGAGATGCATGGAAGGCCTGAACGCATGGAAGGCCTTGGGTGTGCTCCAATGCCAGACGCTTTCCGCGCCTTCTCAGGGTTCTCGACCGCACCGGTTAACTCGGCGGCGTGCCGCAGCTGCACGGCCCTGAGGGCGTGTAGAATTTGCATTGATTCCATCAAGTCCAGATATGAATTATATTAGTGCCTGCGTGGCGGCAGAGGAAGATGTTCATCCTTTCGCACACGAAGACAGGTATGAGCTCGCCACCGTCGTTTGCGGTGTCTCTGACGATCCTCTGCAGATGTTCCACAGACCGACCATCTCGGGCATTCGCCTCGATGCCGCTGGACTGATCGCTCTCGCTGACCTTAAGACGATCGCACGGCGGACGGCCCTCATCGGGAGCGCATCCTTCCTCGACGTTCTCTACCTCTCACCCGGCATACACTGCCAGCAAGATGCCTCAGAGATCAACGGCGGAGAGTATCCTCTCACGGGCGCGATGCACAGCGCCGGTGGCTGGGTCTTCCGCGTCGAGAACCCGGCTACCGTCAGTTTCCTCCAGGGCGTCGGGAAATCAGGCCATCTTACGACCGTTCGCGTCTCGAAAGAGACCAAGGAGGGAACTCTCGGCCTCTTCGGAGAGCTGCTTCGCACCGAATTCTGGGCCTCTATCCTCTTTCTTATCGGTGTCGTCACGAGCGTCGTGGTCATCGTCCTCCTCGTCACCGTTTTCCGCGATTGGTGGGCGCTAGGCGTGCTGGGCATGCTGATGGGCGCGCGCGTACTGAACGTGTGTGTTATTAAGCTACGGCAGGACAAGCATGGGTTCAAGGGCTCGAAGGAAGGCAATGTTGAAGGCGATTTGCTGGTCATCCTCAGCCAGGATCGCTGGGTGCGCATGCGAGGAGGAGTGGACGACATCAAGGAGGTGACGGCCGGGCAGTGGCTGCGAGAGCCTGAGACCCTAGAGAGCTTCGCTGTGAGTTTCGCGACTCTGCTGGTGTACTGCTCTGCGGCACTGGCAGGGAACACCACCACCGCCGGCAGTCTCCTCTTGGCCTGCCTTCTTCTGTTCTCCGCCGGTATCCTTGGACTGGCGAACGCCGCGACGCATTCACTTCACATGTTCGGTCGTATGGTCACCGTCGAAGACGAACCTCTACGGTATGAGCGCAGGCTCACTATGGTCAAGGACATGATCCAGGAGACCCGACATACGGAGTGGGCTTTGCGTATGTCCATGATCACCGAGCCGGAAGTTGCCGATCTGAAGAAGGCGATTGAGCGCGGTAGGTGTAACAACGATACGTATCCACACGTCACTTACTGCAGCTTTCAGATTCGGAAGCGACGCCAATACAAACGCCAACAGGAGCACAAGACATGGCCACGCTCGTCAATCGTGGTTCCCGCAGCAATCCCGCGCTTCCACTGAACAGTGCGGTAGAGCCTGAGTTACCTCCCGGAGGCATACAGCTGGGTCTCAATAACGGGTGCAACCTGGAGCAAGGGCTGTCTGCTCGTCCTAACAGTGAGCGTACCATAAGCACAATCGAGGTAGCGGATTTGCCTTCATCGGGTATAGTATAGTTTCTTCTTTCTCCATATATGTTTATTTTCTAACCAAGTGTCGAATACTTTGTACTGTATCTATACCGCTCTGCTATCTGTTTGTTTAACTACTGGTACACAAGTTATATGATCCGCAGTATTGAAATTAGGACAACTGCCCCCTGGCTGCAACTTTCTTGCGGGTGGTCGCTCTGCATGCCATCGCACAGTGACTACAGAACCCCGAAGATACGGACACGCATGCTACTATCAATAGTGCGATACTGCACGTGTCCCTCAAAGCGAGGTTCAGAAACCGAGGAGATAGCACAGCGAGAGTGCCATCTCGCCGACCTCGACGACGGACAAGACCGTGAGCTCGATGCAACCAAGACGCGACCACGGTTCCTCACCTGCCCCCAACATGGTCTCATATTTTGTCCGTACTTACTGTCTTTAGTTATTATTTGATCCTCCTGCTTTGGCAGATGATGCACTATTGGTACTCAGATGGCGGTAAGTCCTTTTCATACCCGATCTCAGCTCAGAGTGCCGGTGTCTTGTTCACAGCGGCTCGTCTCATGAGTCATGGCTTGGCCTGGGGCGCGCTCAATTTTTGAAGTACCCATAACGGCAGGGCGACGTTCCCGAGAGAAAACCCAGGTCGAGATGCCTCGCGCCTTCCTTGGACAAATAAGATGGGAGGGGCCGGTGCGACAGTCACGCCGCGGTCAGCTCGGTAGCATCATGTCCGATGTATTCTAGCTCGACACATTTGGGCACTATACGCATGTGAAGCATAAACTTGAGCGTTACTGAATATTTACGTGGATTTTTAGCCCATTGTGCGACTCCGGCGACGGTCTCAGCATTACTCAAACTGGCGCGCTCGACAATTTTCGAGGCTTTCTGCTCCCCCACCTATGCTACAATCACCGGAGGAATCTGATTTTTGATGGCACATAGATATAGATGTATTATATGCAGGAAATCGGTGGCGATAGGCCTGACATGATGTGCAAGGGCAGGAAGTGGCGTGTGCCAAGGAGCGCATGTGATGGTGCTGTCCCAAGATGTGGTCTTACCGTCGCTGTAACCATCCGAAGCTTCGCCACATCGTGCTCTAGCCGCATCCACCGCGCACATTTCTCGCTAGCAGCGTTTTGCTGAAACCATCCCGAGATCATCGGATAGTGCTTCGCGAGGGGAACCTTTCCCCCCTCCTCTTAAGGCAGCAGAAGGCTATCGAACCTATGACAAATGCCAGCCTGAGCTGAAATGAAGTTTCTTATCCCAGCATTCAAGACATCTATCCACCCGCCAAGCTTTCAGGTGCTGCGAGCAGCGGTACGGGGTCTACCGGGTCCTTAGCGTCAGGAGACCTTCGATGCGAAGTAGTAACGTGACGTTATGAAGTGGTCTTTACGGTGGAGTGATCACATCAAAGCGGAGTTGAGCCATTTGTTACGGTGGTAAGTACCAGTAAATAGCGTTCGTTAAGGCGGGGTCTAGATTTCCGTCCCGGCGCTATTTTTTATACAAATGGGCCGCGGCCCGCCATACGGTCCCGCCATAAAGCTTAAAGACGAGTCGACTTCGTATTAGACCGCGCTCATTCCATTCCGCTGCCGCCGCCCGCCAGCGAAAGTCACCGATTCCAATGGGCCCGCAACTGACCAATGCTGGGCCTGTCCACTCGCGTTCATGTCGGCCTCGTGAACGGCTTCATGTCAGGCCAGGCCCGCAATTGGACGCACAAGTTCCGCTGCGGGATATCCGTTGCCGAAGAAGAGATGCATAGAAGGCCCTAAACGCATGGAGGGCCCAATGCCAGACGTTTTCCGCGCGTAGCGCGCCATGCCTCCCTAGGGTCCTCGACGCCCGTGAGAGCATGTGGAATTCGCGCTGATGCCACCAAGTCCAGATATGAACTATTTTAGTGCCTGCACGGCAGCAGAGGAGGATCTCCATCCTTTCGCGCACAGCGACAGGTACGAGCTCGCGGCCATCGTCTGCAATGCCTCTGACGTTCCTCGCAGATGTTTCATAAGGGACCTCTCGGAAGCCTCCGCCTCGATGCCGCTGGACTGATCGCTCTCGCTGACCTCAAGACGATCGCACGACGGACGGCCCTCATCGGGAGCGCGCACCTCCTCGACATCCTCTATCTTGCGCCCGGCATCCACTGCCAGCAAGATGCCTCCGAGATTAATGGCGGAGAGTACCCTCAGACGGGCGCGATGCACAGCCCTGGTGGCTGGGTCTTCCGCATCGAGAACCCGGCTACCGTCAGCTTTCTCCAGAGCGTCGGGAAACCAGGCCACCTCACGACCGTCCACGTCTCGACAGAAATCAAGATGGCTTCCCCTTTTGGCTTCTTCGGAGAGCTCTTCCGCTCCGAGTTCTGGGCCTCTGTTCTCTTTCTCATCGGCGTCGCCGCGACCATCACGGTCATCGTTCTGCTAGGCGTTATCCGCGACTGGTGGGCGCTGGGGGTCCTGGGCATGCTGATGGGCGCACGCGTGCTCAACGTGTGTGTCATCAGGCTTCGGCAGGACAAGGACGGGTTCAAGGGCAAGAAGGAGGGCGACACCCAAGGCGATCTGTTGATTGTCCTCAGCCAGGATCGCTGGGTGCGTATGCGGGGAGGGGTTGACGACATCAAGGAGGTCACTGCCGGGCAGTGGTTGAGAGAGCCAGAGACCGTGGAGAGCTTCGCCGTGAGTTTCGCGACTCTGCTGGTGTATGGCTCTGCGGCACTGGCGGGGAACACTACCACTGTCGGCAGCTTGCTCCTGGCCCTTCTACTCCTGTTCTGTGCCGGCGTCCTTGGGCTGGCGAACGCCGCGACGCGTACGCTGCACATGTTCGATCGTGTCGTTGCCGTCTCGGAAGGCCCCAAGAAGTACGGCTGCAGGCTCGACATGGTCAAGGACATGATCCAGGTGACCGACAGGGAAGAGTGGGCGTTGAATATGGGCCTGATTACTCAATCAGTGCTCAATGACGAAGTAAGGCGCGGTAAGTGTACCGAGGACATACAGGTACATGACCACTTACCCAAACTGCTAGCTTCTACGGGAACGCAAGATATGACACTTGTCCACCGTGGTTCTCATAGTAGACTCCCGATTCCATCGAGTGGAGCACCCGAGTTGCCTCCCGGGGGCACAGATCTAGGTATCAACAACGGGAGCAACTTAGAGCTAGGGCTGTCTGGCAGTGGTAAGAGCGCAACCTCGAGCGCGACTGATGTAGCGGAGTTGCCCAGAGATATAGTGTAATTCTTTCCACGGAAACTGTTTGTTCTCATCTGCACCGACTGTCGAGTACCGTGTACTGTATCTATACCACTCCGCATATATCTGCGTGGGTAGCTATCTATTTGATACCCTAGTACTTCATTCTAGCTATAATCGCAATCCATACTGGGACAAATAACTTCCGGCTGCAACTTCTTATGGTTGGTCGCACGATATCTGCAGAACCCCGGAGATGTTATGGCCATGCACGGTACTATTAATAGTGCAGTGTTATACATGACCGCTGAAGCGACGACACACGAGATTCAGAGACCGAGAAGACAGAACGGCGAGGGTGCATTGGCGAGCACGAACCAAGACGGGCGGCGGGAGTGACGTTGTGAGCACTCAAGCGGCGCACGAACGGGTCTGAGACTTAACAAAGTCAGCACGGTCTCACGCGAACCACGGGTGTTAGGTAAGATGAAGGTTAAAGTCTGCTTAGCGAAGTACGAGGAGGAAACATACTTTCGCCTAGTCCTAAGCAGCTGTGGATGTGGGCCCCAGCCTCGCGTCGTAAGATCGGTTGCTCTTGGTGTCCGCCATTCTGCCCTGCAACTTATCATCGGTGTCAAAGAAACTAGTGCAAAGCCGTGGCAGCACGAGCTGCAATCTGAGCTAACTTCCATTCTACAGGCATCGGCAAGAGGCGCCTCCGGGGATGCTATCTCGAACAGTACTGCGCAGATCTTCGTGGAGAAACCAGCATGACAGCGCGTGATCCCTATATCAGCGCTCCCCCCAGGCTTGACATATAATAGAACGGTTTGTGTCAGGGCCTTGTTCCTGAGAGAATGCCCCGCCCGCATTCTAAGGCGAGCCACACGTCGGCTGGTCACTTCATGTTTACTCAATTCGCTATCGGAGGCATCTCGCTCGACGCTGCGGGCCTAGTCGCCCTCGCAGACCTCGACACCATCGCACGTCGGACGGCGCTCATCGGCGGAGCATCCTTCCTCGACGTTCTCTACCTCGCACCTGGCATTCACTGTCAGCAGAAAGCAACGGAGCTCAATGGAGGAGAGTACCCGACCACAGGCGCGATGCACAACGGCTACGTCTTCCGCATCGAAAACCAGGCGACCGTCAGCTACCTGCAGCGCGTCGGCAGGCCTGGACACCTGACCACCGTCAACGTCTCGACGGAAGAGCACATGGGCCTCGCGGGCTTGTTTGGCGTGCTCTGGCGCACCGAGCGGCTCGCCACCCTACTCTTCTTCGTGTCCATTGCGGCAAACTTTGTGGTCATCGCGCTGCTCGGCAAGATCCGCGACTGGTGGGCCCTGGGTATCCTCGGCATGTTGGTGCTCGCACGTCTCCTGAACGTGATCGTCATCAAGCTGCGGCTGGACAAGAACGGGTTCAAGGGGGCGAAGGAGAAGGGAGACGAAGATGGTGACCTACTCATCCTCCTCAGCCAGGATCGCTGGGTGCGCATGAGAGGTCGCATCAACGACATCAAAGTCGTCACGGCAGGGCAGTGGCTCACAGAGACCGAGAAACCGCAGAGCTTCGTCGTCAGCTTCGGCACGCTGCTGGTGTACGGCGCTGCCGCGCTGGCAGGCAACGCTTCCACTGTCGGGAGCTTGCTCGTAGCCTTGCTCTTGCTCTTCTCCGTTGGTGTGCTCGGGCTGGTCAACGCCGCGACCAAGACCTTGCACATGTTCGGCCGAACGGTCGAAGTCGGCGATTCAACGCGCTACCCTAGGCGATTAAAGATGGTGGAAGCGTTGCTAGTGGACCATCCTAACAAAGAATGGGCCATAAACATGGGTCTGATTACGAGAGATCAGCAGATACCAAGTGACGCACCAGCACCAGGTAAGTCTACAGAATAGTACTATAGCGCGACACTGATTAGTCTCCACAGACATTGTTGAGGTCGACGTCGATGAAGGCCCAGTGCTTAAGCTATGCCGCAGGTTATTCTCTGGGCTATCTGAGACGCGCCCCAAGCGCCGGTTAGACAAGGACAGGGATGTCGAGGCAGGGTTGGCCGGTACTAAGGGCGAGGTATTTGCTATGCAGGAGTATTCAATACCGGTGCTAGACCGAGAGAGGAGAGCATCCTCACATCGCGTAGACTCGTCGGATGCATCTGATTTCAAATATAGTTCCTAGTGTCTTACCGTATGTACTTGTAGATCGTTCGGAGACTCATTCTTCACGCCATGTAATTAGTATACCAGAATCTAGCTGTTCCTGACCATACAAACCAGGTTCTGTACGAAGTGTCAATTTGAGCACGACTACATCTTGTACACCCTTCGTTCTGGTGCATGTGGCTGAGTCAGCGTAGTGAGAGCTCAGCCGCATCCATCAGAGCGAAGCTGCACGTCTCAGCCTCGCACTGTGCGTCGAGCTGGTTAGTAGATCTGATCTGGACGTGAAGCAGACCACCCTTGATTCCCACCACATCCTGAATTTGTGGAGTAGAGCGACGACAAACCGGGCACCCCGCGTTAAGGCCGTTCGAAGTGAGGCAACAGAGGCGACAACTTCCATCGTATATGATGCACTGAGCCGTGTTTGTCGAAGAGATCGTGGATCAAATTCCTCATGAGGGCGACACAATAGCGAAGCGCCAAACACGTAGAGAATCAGCGAGATGGGAGATAGACGCCACAAGCGGAGGTATTCAGCGTGGAATACAGTACATTTGGAAAGGAAAAGCGCAGCGTCGTCTGGTGTACGTCTTGAAGCAACGCGAAGATCGATCTGTGCATCTCATTAAAACCGAAAACCTGCGGACTTGACGGGAGGTGGTGTTGTCCGGTGCAAGCGGTAACAGAGGGTAAGTCACATCTCTCAGTGGTATGTCGTCAGTCTCCGCTGCCAAATATTAGGTACTCGATTTGTAGTAAGCTGCGTGCCTTGCCTGGATAGACTACCAGGAGGCCGAACGAGGCATGTAGCCGGACTAGACGCCCGAGGCGTCTAATCCGCGGAAGAGACTATGGGCATGTGGAAGTTCCAAGGTGTTCAGGCGTCGGTAGGACAGGGTCATGTGCAAACACAAGCATGGCCTTTGAAAGGCGAAGACGGTGAAGGAGGGCATCCACTGAGTACCGATCGGGTGACGGTGATTTGGCAGCTATCCCACCTCGTGCCTCGCAGGCACGACCATGCAGCTTGATACGTGTGCAGGTGTCGAGCCTCTAGGCAGTGGGGGAGCAGAACGAAGTTGGGCAGTGTGTGGGTATGTAATGAGGATATGATTGCAAACGATGCGTCGAAAGGAAACAACATTTATTCGAATTTCGTGCTGCCACGTCCGAGAACGAGTAGCTTGATGTCGGGTCAAACAACGAGAGCGTCTTGTCGTCGATTTGGCTTGGTAGGAGAATCTTGCGATGCCAAGGTTATTAAGGACTCAGAACAATTCTACTTACTCGAAGGGCTCTCGTCTCGTTTTTGTCCTACGCCTCCTTCCCCTCCCCCTGCTTGCATCCAGCGCATCCATCTCGGCGACGTACGTAGTCTCAGCGGAAGGACGTGGTGGAAGTCCGACGACCTCCGGAAGGGTGCGTTTCGCGGGGGACTCCACCCTTTCTCGCAATGTTGGTAGGGGGAGAGGAGCCTCAGGCGGAGAATCGCTCAGGTTCAGACGGTCCAGCAACGACGGCCCACGACGCACGGGAGGTCTTTGCAACTCGACGTCTTTCCCAGCTGCGTTCTCTGCGATGTACGGAGCGTCCTCGATACGCCCTCGACCAGAGTAGCTCGTAGTCGTCCGTCTCTCATAAGGCAAAGGCTTATGGGGCGGTGGAAGTTGTGAGCCAATAATATGAACGCGATCAGGATGTACGGGATAGTGGCGGTCCACAGGATTCTCCATCGATTGGTCCCATGAGATGTCACCGTCGTCTCTGGGTCCGCGACTCCAGTTCCGTCCTGTAGCGGAGCCGTCGTCGTTGTAAGGAGCGCCTCGATCATCACGTCCCCTTGGAGGAGGTCTACGAGCGTCGGGTGGAGGGTCGTACTGAGACATGCGACTATCATGACTAGATCGCCCATCCAAGCTTGCGGCTCGGTCTGTCATCCACATATCATCAGAGCTATTCGAGCTCCTGGCGCGTGGGGGTGATACGGGTTCCACAGCGCGGCTGCGCCGAGGCCGAACGTCGTCGTAAACACTTCCCGGAGGCGGCAGCGCTTGATAATCGCGCTGGACCTCGTATCTTGATACGGTATCGTCGCGAATACCATCATATCCACGATGGCCTCTGTTGGGCAACGCTTCCCTGGCCGAACTCCGCGAAAGTGACTGAGACTCTGCACGAGTCAACCAGATACGAGGCTCGTCTGGAAGTAGCGCTGTCGAGGTATCCGGTACAGGTCGCGGCTATAACGGGGACGTTTAGCAGGGACAACGAGGACTCGCATCTAACGTACCTGACGCCCGGACCTAGGCCCTTGCCCACCAGGCTCGTCACGAGGACGTGGAGGAAGAGAATTTGGCGGTGGCATGCTGAACTGGGGAGACGACGAGGGGGGAGTGGGCTAAGCTCCAACGTTAGCCAACCCTTTAGCAAGCTAAGGTGCACCACATACATTTCCTCCCCCTGACACAGACGGTCGGCCGTGCTTGTCGTAAGGTGTCAGACGATCATCGTAGGCAGGGTCTGCGTCAGGTACATAAGCTACTCTCGTCGGAGGCTAGCCGTCGTTATTAACAAAATGTAAGGCGGCAATAACGAAAGCGAAAACTCACTGCTCTAAAAGCTTCCGTGGTATACTGAGGAGGCACTCTATCCGGTACTACTGCCGGAAGTCTGAGAGGTTGCTCGACGGCCGCAGAGTTTGGAGCGTTCGTGCGCTTTTGGCTGATCGGTACGATGTTCAGCCCAGATAAGTTTAGTCCCGCTGAGCTCACAGGCGCGCCTTCTTCGCGTCGGCTAGAACGAGAGGGTGGATCCTTTATATCCAAAATTAATGTCCGGGATTCGTAACTCTGTTGAGCATACGCACCCGGTGCCTCGGCTCAACGAAGTCTTGGGACCTTCCATGCCGTCTACTGTCAGGATAATCACCGTAGCCTCGAGGCGCCGAGGGAGGCGCCGGCCCTCTGGACGCAAGAGCAGCGTCTGTTTTCATGTGAGGCGGGGGCGCACGGGCCATCCTTCCTGTTGGCACCACAGGCTCCGGCACACGAATTGGGTTGGAAGGAAGTACAGGCGACATGGAAGGCGGCGTCTGCGAGAACGACCCATGGCTCGTGGACATGGCGCGCGGTCCTTTTGGAGGGACACCGCTTTGCATATCCAGGTTAGGTCGGTCAGAACCACGAGGGCGAGACGGAGGTATTTCGCCACGAGACTGTCCACCTCTGGATACATGCGGCGCGTAGTCAACATCCATCGCGTCATGGTGGTGCTCATCTTGACGAGTGAGCAGATCGTCAAAACGTGGCCGACCATTATCGCGACGGTCAAGGTCTTGCTCTCGACCTGGCTGCGCAAAAATGCGACTTCGAGGCGCAGAAGGTACATCAGGATGACTAGCCACGCCTCGCGGGCTAGAGTAGCTGTCCATGGCTCTCAGTGGAGGGAGCGACGGCGCTTGCGATGCCACCTGCGATGGTGCTTGCGATGGCGGCTCAGCCACTGATCTTCCCTTGGCCACTTCACGGAACCTGTCACTCTGGGGTGGAAGAGGCACTCGTTTCCTAGAGGCTGTACGCGGGGAAATTCCAAGAAGATAGACATGGTCGGTGAATGATGCGTATGCAGGTGTGAAAGATGCACGTACTCGGAGGTTCGACGAGAGGAGTCTGGAATGAAGCCCTGTCGACTACAGGTGATATGGTAGACAGTCTATCAGGAGAAGATCGTCGTCTGTATGAGTCATCCTCCACGCGCCGGCGCTTCATATCGCTCTCATACTCTGGGTCGTAGTCGCGCGTTCGTCTTTGAGGTATGTTGTCAACTAAGCCGTAGGGATCATTGGCGCGTGATCTATGAGATGGTGGCGAAGCTGGACGATCAGCACGAATTCGGGCATGTTCCTGGTCGTAGACATCCTGTTCCGAGTGTCGTCGAGGAGGCGATTGTTCGTGAACGTGTGGGGGCGACGACCGGGGCCCTAGACGAAAGGACAAAGAGGGGTACATTTAGAACACGGATCACGCATGGACACATTGAAAGTAAAAGGGATCCATGATGACGGGCCAGTCGAGCAAGGAAGAGAAGGGGGTGTATAGCACGGCTCTACTCCCGAGGCTTCTCGAGATATTCATGAACACAGTATCCACCTCAGGAGGAGCAGGCACGCCGGGATACGATGGATCGCTGAGAGGTAGGAGGCGGACAACGTACTGGGAGCCGACTTCGGATTGTATGCATCACGAGCACCTTGGTCAGAACGCACATGCTCTGACGGCGGATCGTCGCGTAATCGGCGGCCTCGTGGTGTGCCCAGCTCAGCGGAATAGCCTCGTCCACGGTCTTCGAGAGTGACCACGTTACGAGACCGATCCCATTCTCTATCTTGCACGGGGCTTCGTCGCTCTCGGGTGGATAGATCGCGTTCTACGAGCGGGGGTATATCCCTACGAGAGCGAGCGGCGAGTTCTGAGGTGCGCGCATCACGGCGCGCTGGTGGCGGTGTGATCGAACGTGGACCGCGTCTCTTATCCACTGTCCGCGGTGAAGATGGTCGCGGCGGTAGGCCCGCAGGCCTAGCGTAAGAATCTTGCTTGTTGTTTGAGGTACTTGAACTGTTCGCCAAAGCTAGACCATCAGGGCGATAGTGGCGGTCCTCGAACCTAAGAGGGACTCCAGGAGAAACGTGTTTTTTATCCTCGTTCCTAAGCTCATGAACGTCGCCGTCGACAGTCCCGCGACGTGGAGAACGATCTACGCCACTGCGGATGTCTTGTCCTCGCTCTTTAGCAGGAGACGAAGGGCCAGAGTCTGCAATGCGCGGTCGAACCCAGGTCGACTCGTGAGTCTTGAAATTGTAGTAATACGGCTCCCCGCCACCGTTTCTAGGATACCTTTCCTCCCAGTCAGGCGGCAGACCGCCATCACGGTCATGAGAACCAGACGATGGTTTGGGATGCCCATTCGAACGCCTCTCTCGAGGAACCATAGCGCTTGCGATGGTGCTTGTCTGCGTGGATGTTGAAGGTATGAACGGCGGAGGGGCGATAACAGGCTTGGGTGGTAGTGCATGAGTCATATGTCCCGTAGATTGAGATCGACGGAGCTGAGAGGAGTCAGACTGTCGAGAGGAGGTATTCTGAGATGTACCAGAGCTATCATGTTGCCCCTCACGCCTGGCGTTCGTCGGTAGTGGAAGAGCGTGCGAGCTCCGCGGCGTGCTCTGTTGGGTCATGAAAGGATCCTCCGGTTGGACAGTCTTGTATGGGTAGATTTCATCGTCTTCGTCGCCGCCGAGCGAAACAGCATCCTCGGCGTCGTCTTGGCCGTTCTGCGGCAAAACAGAGCGGTGAGACTCCGCTGCCTGAGCTTCATCATCCTCGTTCCCCCAGTCCAGGATCTCAGAGTCTTCCTCCATCGGGGTCAGCGAGAGCGATGGTGAGTGTCGTGGTAGGTGTGATCCAAATGGGAACATTCGGACGTTCAGCGAGAAAGTTGGGTCCTGCATATTTTAAAGCTCCGCACCAATACTAGGCATTTAGGCGCTTATTATTTGGGCCCCGATTGATGGCCGCTCCACCAGCACCGCGCGACCCATACACAACGACCCGGACGTTGTCAGCGACCGTGGAGACACCACATGAATTACTCGTGACCTACTGTTGCCTTTGAGCATTCAATCTGCCTTCCAGTCAAAAGTTTCTTCTACGGCGACCTAAGGTCCTTGCAGAAATGTCAATACTTCCGCTGGCGTCCCCTACGCCTCAGTCGAACGGCTCCGCTGGCAGTTTCCCTCGTTCATCCTCTGCAGGATGGTCCAGTCGTGTGCCTGTAATATTCAGGCGATTGCTAAGGTTCCACCAAATGGTATGTCGTACCAGGAGAGATTTTGCCTGCCATGTACGATGATTAGAAAGTAGGACTTCGAGCTAGCCGCATGGCAGCTCACGTATTTGTGTCTTGCGCCGAAGAGAGTGTAAGCATATATCCCTGAACTATTCATGATCATCGCTAACGCTTCAAGCTCAGTTATCGTAACGTATATTTTCACAAACGTAGGTGGCCGAGCTTCCACACGGGGATTTTTACTGAAGGGCGTGCGCAGAAACCAAGAATACGTGGGCACGGGACGACCCTGCTATACTTCTCCTTATTGCTGCCTGCCTAATAGGTATGAAGCTATTGCATGTGTCACCTGCATACTCCACTAACACACAGGACAAGTTTCCGCAATTGCATGGTCAGTCGTGTACTCGTATGGAGCCCTGCAAGCCATTCAGCTCGCAGTTCTCATGATCTTCCGGGACTACCTTCTCGTCGGAATTGTTGTCGCCACATCCCTGTGGTAAGCTTCCCAAGTACGCACACTTGCCTCTGTCTGAATGTTTGGCCAGGTTCTTCTCGAATCGAGTACTAGTTTCCCCTCCGTCGCACGCTACTCCGTCAGATTCGCAAGTAGAGTGGGCCTACGCTTTCGACGTCCACACGAATGCGTTCTTCCCATTCTACCTGACCCTCTACTTGGCACAGCTATTCTTGGTACCCATTATCCTCAAAACCCCCTGGATATGTTTGTTCATATCCAATACGCTCTATCTTGCCGCGTAAGTTCTTTTGACACTTCGTGCCAGTCTCCCTTAGTAGAACTCATCTCTATCTTCAGCTTTGCGCAATATATCTATGGTATCTATCTAGGACTAAACGGTAAGGCGGACGTATTCGTTCTCGTCGGCGGAAGTCTCACAGCGACGTCATACAGCTTTACCGTTCCTTATCCGCTCTGAATTGTTGCTGGCGCCCTTATTGCCGCTGTTCGCGGCCTACGTAGTATCACTTCTTGGCTTCAACGTTGCAAAACATGTTCTGCCCGCATACTTCGGCTCATAGCAGTACTTACTAAAACAATAGATGTGTTACTTATTATTTGTTGTCGCGTAGTTCACCTGTAAGCTGTATCAGCTCCGGGCTGAAGCGCTTTTGATCAAGGTAACAACGCTTTGAATCACGATAAGGAGGACAATTGAAACCCCGCGCAATTGCGCGTGTGCGATGCGACTGGGCACTTCTGCTTCGCTCCGTCCTTCACTACGCCTCATCTTCGTCCTTTCTCTCCGCTTTCTCCGATCTAGGACGCAAGCATGAGTGCCACACAAAAACATATTGAGAAGGCGATTGGAGAAATCAAACGCAAGGAGACCATTCCGGAGATCGACTTCACGCAGCACCAGCTCGAGAATGGCTTCACGATCTCGACACAGGAACGTGTAGTGAAAGAGGTGCAAGTGGTCCTTCACTCGTTGGCGTGATTTTCTCACACGTTGCCATTGCTAGGTACAAGCACCCGCTATGACTGAACCCACCGATGAGCAGTTTTTCTCTCGTGAGGACCCGACAAAACCAGACCATACTTTCTTGAAGAATCACTTCTACCGCGAGGGCCGTATCAGCGAGGAACACGCAATGTACATCCTGGAGAAGACTACAGAGTTGCTGAAGGCGGAGCCTAATCTACTCTACGTTGATGCCCCCGTGACTGGTGTGTTCTTTGCTTTCAAGATACCATGCCGAATATTGTGTTCTCATAGCTATTATCATTAACAGTCTGCGGTGATATCCATGGTCAATATGTGCGTTGTGCATAGTTGACACGATCTCCGACGATGACGTTGACCTCGTACCTCCCCTTTAGTACGACTTGATGAAGCTGTTCGAACTTGGCGGTAGCCCAGCGAACACTAGATATCTCTTCCTGGGTGACTACGTTGATCGAGGGTACTTCAGTATTGAGGCGAGTCTGTGTGCGTCATTGTAATCGGGCATCCTGCTGATGGCCTAATCAGTGTGTTCTCTACCTGTGGACACTCAAAATGTGGTACCCCGATACCCTCTTCCTGCTTCGAGGAAACCACGAATGCAGACACTTGACCGATTATTTTACATTCAAGCTCGAATGTGAGTCTTATAATTGTATGTCAAATCCTCTGCTGAATATGCATGGCAGGCAAGCGCAAGTACTCCGAGCGAATCTACGATGCCTGCATGCAGTCGTTCTGCGCTCTTCCTCTTGCCGCTATCATGAACAAGCAGTTTTTCTGCATCCACGGCGGTCTGTCCCCTGAGCTCCATACACTTGACGATATCCGTAACGTGCGTCGCTGGCATCATGCCATTTTCCGCTCATTTTCCGCTGACCTGGTGTGTTTAGATCGACCGATTCCGCGAGCCTCCGACTCAAGGGTTGATGTGCGATATGCTGTGGTCAGATCCAGTTGAAGATTTCGGCCAAGAGAAGACGTCGGATAGCTTCGTGCATAATCACGTCCGCGGTTGCTCATACTTCTTCACGTGCGTAGTCCGTGTTATATAAAGCTTTCTTCCTCATTATGTCGTCAGGTACCAAGCTGCATGCCAGTTCCTGGAGCGAAATAAGCTCTTGTCTATCATCCGAGCACACGAAGCCCAAGACGCTGGCTATCGCATGTACCGCAAGACGCGGACAACTGGCTTTCCTTCCGTCATGACTCTGTTCTCCGCTCCCAACTACCTCGACGTGTACAACAACAAGGCCGCGATCTTGAAGTATGAGCACAACGTATTGAATATCCGGCAATTCAATTGCACACCACATCCATACTGGCTGCCCAACTTTATGGATGCTTTCACGTGGAGTCTGCCTTTCGTCGGCGAAAAGAGTGAGTAACTGCCGCTGTTTCTAAATACTAAATACTCAATCCTCTGTAGTCACCGATATGCTCCTTGCCATGCTCAACTGCTGTACGAAAGAGGAGCTTGAGGAGAGTTCAGACGAAGAAGCACTTGTATCACCAGCGCCCTCCGAAGACTCGGCCGAGCGCAGAAAGGTCATCAAGAACAAGATCTTGGCTGTTGGGAGGATGTCTCGCGTATTTGCCTTACTTCGGTATGTTGACGGCGTTCTAAATGTTGAGTTGTGCTGATCAAGCTTGCATTTTAGTGAGGAGTCTGAAAAGGTTTCCGAGCTCAAGAGCGTGTCGGGGTCCGGCAAGCTTCCGTACGGCACCCTTGCGCTTGGCGCGGAGGGCATCAAGGATGCCATCTCCGGATTCGAAGACGCGTCAGTTTCTTATCCACTTGCATGCATGTAGCACGCCTTCTGATCATGTCTCTCATCCTCAGTCGCAAGTCCGATATTGAGAACGAACGTCTCCCTCCGGAACTCTACGACGCAAGCTCAGAAGAAGGCAAGGCGCTTATGTCGCAGCCCGCCACGCCAGAGGCTGTACCGACCGCTCCGGTTCCTGCCAATGGTGTCGCCGAGGCGTTGGAGAAGATCGCGACGGGCACTGAGCTTGCTTCTCCAGCGGCAGCTGGGTCGCCGGTATCCCCGACATCCCCAATATCGTCTGTGCCCTCACCCTTCCGCCGCGGACACGGCCGCCAGGCCAGTCTCGGTACGACTATGACCAGCCCCAGTACCCGCCGGAGAAGCTTGGAGAGTACCATGTCACTCATCAAGGAAGTCTACGATAGCAAGACTCCTGTTGCTGACGTGGAGCTTGACAAGCTTGCGGACCAGGTTGCAGAGAAGGCCGCAGGGAAGAATGGCACGACCGATTCAGGACGGTCCTCGCCGGGGCCTGCGACCACGTCTGCGCCCGCTATGAGCTGATTATGCACGCTTCAAGAAGGGCGCTTGCGCTGGAGTTTTGTGGCACTGGTTAATATAGCGATTGGTGGGATGGACGTACATTATGGATAGAGCGGAGGTCCATTACGGTCTATGTAATTGTTTCTCTTTGAGCTCGTTCTATTTCCTCTCGAGATACCTGTAAATTCTGCATACTGGACAAAAGGACATACACTGATGATTGTTGGTTCTGTGCCTCGTGTAAGCTTCAATGATTTGTCCAGACACTGCGCGGTTTACATAGTTCGATGCATTATTTTCGGTCGTCACCGTACCAGGGGTATAACAGACTAGACCAGGAAGACCAGGAAGCGGACCACTAGCGGACCACCAGTGAGGAAATAAGCATCGCTCCGTACGGCTCTTGCGGGACCGCCTCCCAAGTTGCAACCTGGCTTAACACTCACCCCGCGAATTTGGGCGACTTCAATGGCAGAAGAGGAGGGTGATGGCTGTGTGGATCAATGCCTCTGGTGAGGATTATATATTTGTTCTAACAGCGTGGGCAAGGCAGGGTTATGGCCACCGCATATCATTACCTCCACAGCATCTCTCACTCCCAGAGCACCTTTTATAGCGAGTCGAGCCCTTTTAAGTCCTCATGCGTTCATTTTGAGGTGCACAGCAGACCGTCGAACATTCTTAGTTTCACCAAGATGACGATGTCTTCTCTGGCATGGAAAATGGGTATCTATAGAAAGATGGCACACTCTGCAATAATGACAAAATACTAGAAAATATGAAAACACCAGAAAACAAGAGGTTATGATGCGGAAGACTGTACGTACACTTTCGGGGGGACAAGCTAGACTTGTGGTGCCTAGGTGGGTGTATCATTGTGGTGTGATTTTGACGGTTCTTCAGACAACGATTTCAGACGTCTTGTAGACAAGCTGACTGCCTTCTCCGGACATTCAGAGTGACTACAATCCATGCACAGATGTCGGGCCTTGAAGCGTACGGGATATCGGAGGCGTGTGCTTGGTAGAGAGGATGGAGTTGCGTGCAGAGGCATGAGGGACATTCCAAAAGAGGCAATCTGCAGATACCGTGACCGTCGCGCACAAGTTCAGCTTCGATCTTATCTTGCTGGCATCGGGTGGCTTTCGAAGTTCGCAAGGTTATAGATAGCATTTATGTATATGGTTTGCCGAATTCTAATAACGACATAAGTAGTGCCCGTAGGCACGAACTACAGAACAATACCAAGTGTTAGTGGTCTGCAAGTGCTTCCCGATACTCCCACGAGCGTTAGCTCAGACGCTCGGCCCAGCCCATAGTCGGCGGCTGGAGACCGGCCGGTCGCCAGTAAGAGTCACTAGCAAGAACACTGCAGCCAGAGAGCGGCCGTCCCAGTTGGATATAGCTCGTGTAAGTACTAGGGAGTTAAATAAGCAGCAGTCTATGTGACAGGTACAGTTCACAGCACTCGATACTTGGTCGGATGAGAACAAATAGTGTGTGCGGAGAAAGAAGAATGGAAGAAAAACTATACTGCACATGAAGGCAAGTCCGCTACGTGCTTAAATTATGCTCGCTGTTAGGGCGACTGGACAGGCCTCGTTCCAAGTTGCTCTCGTTATTAAGATCCAGCTGTATACATCCGGAAGGCGACTCGGGCTGTACCACACTGTCCACACTGTCCAGTGGAAGTGCGCCTGCTGGCGTTTGTATTGATGTCGCTGCTGAATCTAAAAGCTGCAGTAAGTGACGTGTACCCGCGTGTCATCGTTGCACCTACCACGTTCAATTGCCCTCTTTAGTTCAACAACTTCCGACTCGGTGATCATGGACATACGCAAAGTCCATTCCGTGTGTTTGGTCTCTTGGATCATATCCCTGACCATGCTGAGTCTATGTTCGTACCGTACAGGTTTGCCTTCGACGCTGACTATACGGCCGAGCATGTGAAGTGAATGCATCGCGGCGTTCGACAACCCAAGGATACCGGCAGAGAACAGGAGAAGGCAGGCCAAGAGGAGGCTGCCGGCGGTGGTGGTGTTCCCTGCCAGTGCCGCAGAGCAGTATACGGGCATCTTCGCGAAAGTCACGGCAAAGCTTTCCAGTGTCCCAGGCTCTCGCAGCCCGGCTGCCACCTCCTTGATATCGTCCACTCCTCCTCGCATGCGCACCCAGCGATCCTGGCTAAGAATGATCAGAAAATCGCATGGACTATTACCCTCCTTCTTGCCCTTGAACCCGTACTTGTCGTGCCGCAGCTTGATGACACACGCGTTCAGCACGCGTGCGAGCATGAGCATACCCAGCACGCCTAGCGCCCACCAATCGCGGAAAACAGCCACGAGGAGGACGATGGCGACTATGCTCGCGGTGATGCCGATAAGAAAGAGGATAGAGGCCCAGAACTCGATGCGAAGTAGCTCTCCGAAGAGGCCGAAAGACCCCTCCCTTATCTCATTTGAGACACGGACGGTTGTGAGGTGGCTTGATTTCCCGACACTCTGAAGGTAGCCGGGATCTCGATGCGAAAGATCCAACCGGCGGCGCTGTGCATAGCGCCTGTGAGAGGATACTCTCCGCCATTGATCTCGGCGGCTTCTTGCTGGCAATGTATGCCAGGCGAGAGGAGAAGGACATCGAGGAAGGAGGCGCTGCCGATGAGGGCCGTCCGTCGTGCGATCGTCTTGCGGTTAGCGAGAGCGACCAGTCCCGCGGCACCGAGGCGGATGCCTCCGATAGTGGGTCTGTGGAACATCTGCGGGGGCTCGTCAGAGACATTCAGACGACAGTGGCGAGCTCGTACCTGTCTTCGTGCGTGAAAGAATGGACATCTTCCTCTGCCAACATGCAGGCACTAAAGCAGCTCATATCTGGACTTAGCGGCATCAGCGCGAGTCCCACACGCCCTCAAGACCGTGCAGCTTCGGCACGCCACCGGGAGGACCCTAAGGGTGCATGGTGCTACGCGCAAAAAGCGTCTGGCATTGATTGGGGCACACCCCAGACCTTCCATTAGTTTATGCCTTCCATGCATCTCTTCTTCGACAACGAATGTCCCACTGTGCACAACCTATCTCGGCAGCGGAACTGTGTGCGTCCAATTGCAGGCCTGGCTTGACATGAGGCTGTTCACGGGGCCGACATGAGCGGGAGAGGGCAGGCTTACTTAGCATTGTTCAGTCGCAGATTCTTCGAGATTGGTGACTTTCGCTGGAATGGGACTTGTAGGAGGAACCGCACTGGCAAGGTCAGCCCAAGCCCAAAAAGACAAAAATCAAAGCCACAGGGAAACGAGGGGGAGAAAGAAAGAAACCTTCTGAGTCTGGACAGCAGTGGCCTTTATTGCAGCGAAGCCAGTAAGTGAAGACTGTTGGGATACTGAACAAGAACACCTCCTACATCGTCGATGGGCGTTAAGCTGATCCGTTATACAACCTCCTATCCGGAGAATCGCAAAGTAAGTCTGGCTGAACTCTCGAAATGAGGATTTGAACAATGCATTTGAACACCACGACGTCTGCGCATAACAATATTTGGCGGGGAGTGCAGAGAGACGACCAATAGAGCCTGAATTTAGAACACTCAGAACCGCCGCAACAGAGTTTTCGGCCAGAGGGAGACTGCTCAATTCGGAAAGGTTGATCAGCCGTGTGCCTTGCAGACGCTGCGAGATTCTTGGCAGCAACCTTACTTCGCACCACGCGTCGGACGCACGGCTTCATGAATTCGCCAGCCGTCTCTGAATTAATGACAGGTGTGCATGTTATGCTTCACAGCATGCTGACAAGGAATCACCATGAGAGTGTCCCAGGTGCTATGAACATGCCTTACATACGTGCTCGAGGCTAGCAAGAGCAGTACCATGCCTGCGACGGTCCGTTTCTCACTGCATCTCTCACCACCTCTTCCACTAGACTCTCGTAAGCTTGACGTTTTATTGTTGCACCAAGGATGTTGCAGCAAGAAACTCCGGTATGCTCTGCGTCATGAGTTCTTGTCGGACCTAAGAGGATAAACGTTACAGCCCGCCGGAGCCGTGCGTTAGGTTGAGACTTCTCCCCCGACAGGCTGGCAGACGATGGCCAAGACTGCGCGTGAATACGACGAGGAGAAGGTTCGGGACTGCAAAGAAGACATCGACAACAACTTAGTATTCGTGAGTTTAACAGCTTAACTGTTCCTGGCTCCCATCTGACCACTGTCTCACATAATCCGCGTCTGGCGATAGGCTTGTCTGTACTCAGCCGTCCTGTCAGCCTTCGTTGTCGAATCGTACTCGGACCTCCAGCCAGAACCGAACGCCCAAATAACCTTTCTGCTCGAACGTATCGCTGTACAAACGCAAAGCTACACCATCACGTCTGGAACTCTCAACTCCACCGCCCGGTCGCTCCCCATCCCTCCTCCCTTCACAGCTCCGCTATGGGCCGTTCGTGTGAACGGCCTCTGGTTTGCAAGCCTCATCGTTAGCCTTGCGACTGCGTCGTTCAGCATACTCGTTAAGCAGTGGTTGCGGGAGTATCTCGCGGTCGAGTACACCGCGCCGCAAGAGCGTCTTCGCACACGGCAGGACCGGAAGCCGGGGATCGAGAAGTGGAAGGTGTTTGAAATTGCGGCTGTACTCCCTATCCTTCTGCAGCTCTCGCTCGGGCTGTTCTTCATCGGACTCTCCATCTTCACTGCGAATGTTGATAAGCGGATGGAACTCACCTACGTGCCGCTCGTCTCTGGCTGGGCGTTCTTGCTCATTGCGGCTACGCTTGCACCACTCGTCTCACCGCGATGCCCATACAAGATGCCGCTGCTTAAACTTGTGGTGCGGGCCGCGAGGACACATACGATGAAGATACGCCGTTCATTGACCAGGAACATGCGCCGCTCACTGATGAACATGCGCCGCCTATTGACCTTGATCCTTGCGAGGGCGATCACCATGATTCGGCCCTCGCTTCCGTATCCCGCCACCCACTGGCAGGCTCTAGACGAGGACCAGGAGAAGACCGACATCACGGATGACTAGGAAGAAGATCAAGTTGTCACTCGTGACCAGGACGACAAAGACATTTTGTTAACCATGGACGCTATTATCGCAGATGATAATCTGCTTTCGACAATGTGGAACATATTCCAGCAGCGCTCCGAGCCACACGGTCCAGCACAATCACTTTCGTTCATTGTCGATCTTATCTTGAGTCGCTCTGGCATCGAGAAGGAGCGCCTTCATCCAGTCAGGCTACAACAAATCCCGGACCTCACGTTACTGCCCCGACGAGCATGGATTGCATTTATGAACATGCTCGCCGACCTGGCCGGCAGCCGTCAGTCCAGCGGGCCATTGCTCGACTCCAGCCCTGACTGGCCACACAAGACGACGCTGCTACTTCTCTTCATCTCTCAGTATTCACTCCCCAGCTCCGCACTTGCATGTCTTTGCAGCCTTCTCATCGGTACATCAAATTCGCTTGCTGAAAATAGTGCAGTCGTTCAGTTGATAGCCTCACGTTCCAGCAAGCCGGAAATTGACCTTCTTTCGTTGTTCTATCGGCTGCACATAGTCTGCGGAAACGATGGCCAGGACGATCGGGACATGCCGCTGTCCAAGCTTGCAGCCATGACGAGCGATGACATTCTTCTAAAAGTGCTGGATATGTTAAAGCAGCACGTACACGACCCCGCCCAGTCGCTCTCTGTCATTGTTCACCTCATCGTTTCCCGCCTCGGTACTGTGAGTGGCCTCCACGCCGACGACCTCCTACCGGTCAGGCTGCGCGCCATCCCGGACCTCGCCTCGTTGACTCGTCCGGTATGGAGCATCTTCATGAAGGCGCTCGTCGACCTGGTAGACCGCTACAACCCCAGTGGCCTCCTGCTCGTCTCCAGTCCCGATTGGCTGCACAAGACGACATTACTCCTTCTCTCCAGCTCTCTATATCCCCTTCCCAACTCCGCGGTGGTCCGTCTGCGCGGCCTCCTCGCTGATGGACCCCAATGGACAGCGGCGCGCTCGATTGCGAAATGGATCGCCCCACGTGACAACGAGACGCCATTCGGGTTTGTCCCGCTATTCGATCGACTACGCCCGGTGTACGAGGACGGAAACCACGACAGCGGCTGTCTATACACGGTACTTTTCATGTATGCAGAATTTCTTCGCCCGCACCACTCAAGCTTTCCCACGGTCGAGCCGCGCTCGTTGTATGCGGTGTTGTTCCAGAAGCCTGCCCTCTTCGGGCACAAGAAAGCACATCCAATATTGACTGACATATGGAAGCTCGTCTACTCTGTGTTACAGTCGGTGAGCGAGTCCGACGCTCTATGTGCCCTCGAAGGCCGGGATGAGTCTTTCCACATTCTCTGGGAGTTATCAGACATGGGCAGGAGAAATGATGCGACTGCAAACCTTGCCGCCTTTTGGAGGAACCGGCGTAACACTCACCTCACATTATCACACACGTACTCATCGCTACATCACCAGACACATACTTCACGCTCGGATATGCTAAAATTGTGCATGGATGCGTTTGCGCAGGCCGATAGCCATGGTGCGCTCTACGCTGCTCATTCACAGTACTTCAATTCACTTGCCCTGCTTAGACCGCTCAGACCACTCCGACCACTCCGACCACTCAGATCGCTCAAACCAGACAATAATGATAGAGAGCTCAACGATGGTTGCACAAGATTATGCGGACGGCAAGTTTGACAGCACACGAAGATTCAACCCAATAGACATGATCCGCTTCTGTTACCTCCACATCCGGCTCGCCAAGGGGGCCTCGGAGGCTTCACAGACTCAGATAGCGCCATCGAATCCCGGTGCCAGACCTCCAAAGCCAGCGCCGCCTCCATCGAATCCTGGTGCGAGGCCTCCAGAGCCAGCGCCGTCTCCGTCGAGTCCTGGTGCGGGACCCCCAAAGCCAGCGCCATCCATGTCGAATTCTCCAAATCCGGCTAGTTGGACGAGCCTCTGGAACGCAACACACGCTGCCTTGCACAGGTACTTCACCGAGGGAGGGTGGCACGCTAAGGCCATGAAATACTCCTGGTCCCTCCCTGCAACTCTCACTCCGGATGAGCTGCTTACCGAGGATCGAGAGCTCGCCGGGAAGTGTCTCGTCCTCATACAGTCGTTCGAGCACAGTGGCAACACTTCGGGCTCCGATTTTATCCACGCGCGAACCAGTCTTCCCAGACGATCTCATCATCGCGCTCGGCTCCTTCATCTTACCAGAGGATGTCTCGAAATACCCGAAACTCGCGAAGCTCCGGGAGCAGGAGCGATTTAAATTGCGACAGCTCGAGCCTGGCCCCTTTAATTCTGCGTATACGCCGTCATCGGGGGATATCGCTAAGCCTCCGACGTCCTCGCAATCGACGATCCAGCCAGCTCAGGGCAACTCGTCGCGGGAGAAGCTGTCCTCGGCGGGGCTGGGGGAGAGGGTTCGTAGCAATGACCAGGACCCGAAGGAGTCGCATGTAGGTGTGGGCGTTACAGGGAGGCGCACAGACGTGAAGGAAGGGTCGATGAACGAAGGACCGCGCGCAGATGATCGTGACGCCATCACGAAAGGCAAGAGGCGCTTCGATGAGATTGGGGACGATGCAAGTAAAGGAGATGTTGCGACTGAGGAAGGTGTGAGCAGAGGCGGTGCACGAGTGGACGAAGGGGACGTTGGTATCGAGGATAGCCCTGGACCGCCGGGTGGAAGCGAGGTTGGAAGTTACGGTGGGGACAAGAATGCGCATGAGCAGCCAGGCCGAGAAGGAATTGAGGTTGGCGACGAGAGGGAGAAGTCTGGAGAGCAGACATAGGCCGCAATGTACGGAGACGGAATCCTTAATTAATGTTTATTGCCCTCAAGTTGGGCATGTTCTTCCGTTCCGTCCTATTGGCGGCTTCAACTTCGAGCATATTGATTGGTCTTCGGTAGAGACGTTCTTCTCCCAGCTGCGTACTACGTCGGTGGGAGCTGGCAAATATATACAAAGAGATTGTGATGAAGGTACATCGAGGGTTCTATCCGGACAAGTGGCGCGCGCAGGCACTGGGCACTCCTTAGCGCGATGTTGGACGGCGATCACCCAGATATGCTGGAGGTCGCAGTGCTGGTGGTATTGTGGCATCCGTGAACGCCGTTTAGGGGAGAATGCCCATGAATCTCTGCTTGAGTGATCAGTCATTCATGACGAAACCTTTTGTCATGAGTGGTCGCTGTCGGCATTTACAGCTCGTACATCTCGAGTGCCAGAGATAGGTCTCTACCGCTCCATCCCAGCAGCCTGGTCTAGGCACTGGTATGCTATGCTTATAGTATATGAGATGCATTGGACATCCGCCAGTATAGAAATATCACTGTGGGGCACGTTGCGCGACAGGTATACCGTCACTAGGCGGTCGAACGCTGAACATCGGCAGGAAAAGGAACCCCTTCCAAGGCCCGCCAACGTTTGGAAGGCATATTAGTAGGTGCTCATGTACCAGGTCGTACGCACTAGGAGAACATGGATTAATTTAATAAAAATAAAAATAAACGTTTGGAAGGTGTTACCTTACAGGCGAGCGCTTGCAGTATCAGAGCAGGCAAAGTCGGTCTGGGTCCCAAACACAACAAGCCGCGCGAGGCCCGCGCGTCGTGCCCGGCGGTTTTCTGCCCTTCGTGCCTGTTACTCCTAGAATCCCTTGCGGAATACTCACGAGACTGTTTACTCCCGAGAAGAACCCTTACATGCCCCATGGCCAAGGACTTTCTGGACGCGCCACACCCTCTGCTCACTCAGCCGACGCTGTATCTTGTCGATGTCCCAAAACACATTGCCTGGAACAACATTGAGCCACTCTTCGAGAAATATGGGACGGTGAACTCTGCAGGACGTAGCGGCTGTGCGGGTGCCAGCGGAAGGATGCGGTGGACAGTACACTTTGAGAGTATGTTCTACGGTGTGTCGTTCTTCAATATGGCATGTACATTGTCTCATTGATACTGGCAGCCGAAATGGCACTTGCTACCCTTCAGAACGTAACTGTGCCCAATGTAGAGCCTGCCCATAGCTTGAGCATCTCACACTCCCCCAACCTCGAATCCTCTATACCTCTGAAGCGACTTTACCCTCAGTATGTGAAGAGTAAGAAGGTGGTGAACCACCTTCTCCTCCTTTGCACTGCGCAAAAGGTCTTTCAGTGGTTTAGACATGCCGGACCACTGGTATCGGTGCGAGTTAATGTCGACATAGGGTTTCCGGAGCCAACATGCGTTCTGGAGTATTGGGAAGAAGAACATGCACAGTATGCGCAAACACACCGTCACGCTCTCCACCGTTCTCTCAAGAGTATGCAACCATTTATCCTGCGAACCATTAATCCTGCGAGTATTATGTGCTTGGTATGTTCGTTTCGAAAAGTCTATACCGCTCCCTTACTGTCCATGTCCAGAACCTTGGCGCTTCCTTTCACGAGAACGATATTCGAGGCAGATTTAAGCGGGTAAACGTGCATCGTGATTCATGCCCTCGGGATACTCACTATGTGACATCTGTCCACGATTAGTTTGGAAAAATCGTCAGGTGAGACTTTCTTGTACCAACTAGGTCATCGTTGTTGACGCTCGCCCAGTATGAAGGTTGTGCATCCCAGAACAGTCAACTGTCACGCGTACATCGTGTATAGTAAACGAGAAGATGGTAGTGGTGACTCCTCCATTCCGCTACCATTCGTGGCTCACCAACATGCTCAGCTGCCTCCGCACTACAAGAGATGAAGGACAAGCTATTCGGGTCGAACAAGATATACGTCCGGTTTTTTGAACCGACCGATCAAAGCACATTTCGCTTCGGTGCCAAGCCAACTCCCCAAGCTGAGCAGGAGCAAAAGCGCAACGTAAGGATGCTGAGCGCTACGTGAGTTTGAGGAGGGCTGACGGCATGTACAGCAATCGGCCGAACAGCGCGAGCAAGCTAAATCAAAGAGCGCCCAGTCTGATCCCGACAAGCAGGACGGGTCCGTGCCTCAGACTCAAGCGCAGCCAGATTCCCAACAACGCGAGCGGAGGCGTGCGGAACGCGATGAAGAGGTCCAGCGGCTCCGAAGCGAAGCCCAGCGCCTGCGAGCGGAAGCATCTGCCGTCATGGAACGCAATGCCAAGAGGAGAAATGCAGCCATGCGTGCTACGAAAGCGGCCGAGGAGGCAGAAATGAATGCCCGCTCGGTGCGGGAGGCCAAGGAAACTGGCGAGATGCTTGCGAGTAAGGTCGCGACGGAGGCGGGGGAACGCCACGAGGGGCTCAAGGGGCGCATGTCTGAAGCCGATGCTGCCGTGGCTGAAGCAGAAAGGTTGCTCAACGAAGCAAAGCAGCAGCGAGCGGAAGTTGCGCGAGAGCTCGACGAGGCAGGGGGAGAGTTGGAATCGGCTAAGAAACAGGAGGAGGAGTTAGCTCGCCGTCGTCAAACAGCACAGTCGGAAGAAGTCCGTCTGCAGCGAATACGAGAGCAGTCACAGTTGGACGAGCAGAAGATGACCGAAGAAACTCAGGCAGAAGAAGAGGAGACTTCTAGGCGCGCCGAGCTGGCTGAGTCGATCTGGAAGATGAAGGAGCTGCACGCTCAGGAAGAGAACGATCAACAGCCTCGAGACAGCGACAGCACAGGGGATGGGAGAGGGCGTTCAAATTCAGATAAGGACCAGGGGATTGGGGAGGAAGAGAAGCGACAGCGGGCGTACGAAGCTGCCTCCGCTAAGGAGCGAGCGAGATGCAAGCAAAGGGACCAGTTATCGCGAACTTGTCAAGTCAGTTGGGGTCCCAAGCACGCCATCAACAAGTTTAAGGTAGTGAGCTTTGAGTTTGACGAGATCAAGTTTGGCGATGTCCAGCCACTCACGTTCGAGAGCGTCCCATGGCCCGACCTCCGCCACCCCGACGAGCTCAAGTTCGAGCACATTGACTGGTCTTCGGTAGAGACATTCTTTTCCGAGCTGCGTGCGTCGGTGGGAGCTAGCGAATATAAAGAGCTTGTGGTAAAGGCGCATCGAAGATTCCATCCGGACAAGTGGCGCGCACGGGCACTGTTTAGCACGGTGCTGGATGACGATCTCCGAGACAAGCTGGAGGCCGCAGTGTTGGTGGTGTCGCAATCGTTAACGCCGCTCTGGAGAGAATGTAAATAAATCACCGCTTGATCAATATGTTATTCATGACGAGTTGTCTTGGTCGCTGCCAGCATTTAGGGCGTGATTGAATCAACCAGGATTAAACGTAGAATCCGCCGGCAGTATCCACTCATACCTCGAGTGCTCCTACCTGGCCATCCCAACAGCCTGTTCTAGGCATTGATGTGCTATACTTACAGTTCCTTAGATAGACGTTTACCGGCATCCAGCACTAGACTGATGTACGTGCACGTACGTGCACATACATGCGCGCAAGTATACACTGATAGCAGTACGTTATCGACGTTCACGCGAGTCCCAGATTTTATGGTGATTGAGAGATTGAGTATTATGACGGCGCATATGTGTATATTTAAGTGCACATAGGTGCATATATATATGCGCGTCGGTGCACATATGCTCGCGAACGCGCACTTATTATACATCAGCATTTGTCTGCCTGCTTGTGAGTATAATCTCACTCTCTGAGAGATTTCTCTATTTTGTCCAATACCAATCGTGAACCTTCATAAGAGCATTTAACTTACAGGCCCACTCTTTCCGATATCATAAGTAGCCTCGAAAACAAGGTCAGGAACCGGAACTGTTGCTTCAAGCGGAGCGTTCACTATTGGCGGTGCGCCCCCACCGCCCCACCATCGCTCGCTGTCACCAATGGCGTTGAATGCGGTCGTAATGCAGTCACGTGCGGCAATGACACTTGCAAATGAAAAGCACACAAAGTGTCACATGTCACTGGCAGTAAGTGAACCAAGCATCGCAATTTCGTGTGATTCTGGGTTTTTACATCAAAAGCATCAAACGCAGCTGCTACAAGTACAAAAATCATTCTCGAGCCATCCGCCGACTTTGTGTCAGCAACCTACAATCCAACTGGACTGGGTTACGACGAAGCTGAGGAGACAGACGAGAGGAAAATAGGTGAGGAAAGACCAGCTCGAGTCTGGCTTGTTATTGAGCAGTACGAGCTCCTTATATACATGTCAGACTGAGTATATAGAATATCCTACGAATATACAGAGGTGTATAGAAAGTAAAAGAATACCATGGAATCTGGGAGAACCACCCGGAATGCATAATATTCATGACATTACCCCCCCGTCTAGAATCGTGTCCTCATGATTATTTACCAGTCGATCCAAAGCCTCCTGATCCTCGTTGAGTTTCCATTAAACTTGACTAGTGATGTGCGGGCCGGGCCTCAAAGCCTCCAAGCTCGCCAAGCCCGGCCCAAAAAGCCTGGCCCGAGTCAAGCCTGGCAGCGGGCTCAAGGCCGGGCTCAGAGCGTAGTCAAGCCCAAGCCCGGCCCGGAAGCCCAGGCTTGGGTGTGCTGGCTTTGTTACTGTTCCCTGAGTTCATAATAAGGAGAGAGCGACCTAATATGCACATAGAAGACAAAATGTAGATATTCTAGATGTAACGGCTCCCGCCGAGCACGATTGTGCGTCACCATCTGGTGCCTGCCGTAGGCGCACACTCGTGGACTTCACTGCGACTCGACTTGTTCCACAGGTGTAGATCTTCTGGAGGTTATAATTTAGTGAGTACATGCAGTATTAATCTACTACACCCAAATACATTCCCTTTTGATAGCACCGGAACACTCGTTGTATTGTGAGCAAGCCCGGGCTTAAGCCCAAGGCTTGGGCCGGGCTCGGGCTCGGCTCGGGCTCAGGGCTCGGCTTGACGTCGCCACAAGCCCAAGCCCGGGCTTTGAGCCCAAGCCGAGCCCGCACATCACTAAACTTGACACCTCCTCGATATTACATGACGCAATGCGTTCCAAAATGACTTGTGCGATTCGATTGCCGGCGCGTACCTGAAAGGATTGACTGGTGGAGTTGATCAACACTATGCGCACTTCTCCGGTGTAATCTTGGTCTACGACTCCAGCACCGACGTCTATCCCTTTGACCGCTAATCCACTTCGTGGCGCAATTTGTGCGTAGGTTCCGTGAGGGGCACGTATTGCTATGCCGGTGCCGACAATCTTGCGATCCCGTGCCGGTATCTGAACGCTTTCAGCTGAGTAAAGATCAAACCCCGCCGACTCTTCAGTCCCTTGCTTCGGGAGAATTCCACCCATTCGTTGTACCAAGAGAGTGGTATCATGCGTGAGTATGTGAACGGGTCTTGTTAATAAAGGGGGAATTCGAATCGTCATAGGCGCGGGTTTGTCGGGACGTCTAGCATGGAATTCCTGAAGGAGTTCTTGACAGTTGGTTAAGTTCACCCGTGATTCCCAGGAATGGCGATCGCCGTGGGGGCTGTTCTTCCAGAGCACCTGATACTCCAGGTTTCCATTTCGATCACGACGGGAGTCAAGAATGTCTTCGACTTCCCATTCTTCCTCGCCATTTACGAGGTCAGGGATTATCGGCTCTCGTCGTTGCAAGGGATATGTGGGTTCTCGGAAAGGACTAAGAAGGCTTTCATTGAAAACCGGGTGTTGTTTCCATTGACGCGGGAGTTCCAACTCATAGGCAGAAGCACCGATTTTGTGTTTGACCTTGAAGGGTCCATATCGCTTATCGTTGAGCTTTTTCATTGGCCTGTCAGTTCGGATGTTTATCCCTTCTAGCCAAACTTTATCTCCTACTTTGTACTCCGGTCTGCTCTTCCTCTTCCTGTTGTAGAAGCGCTTCATGGTTTCCTGGGCTAGACTGATGGCCGCGCTAGTGTCTTCGCGAACTCGATCCATTTTGTCGACAAACTGTTGGACATTCTCGCTTAATCCTTCTCGTACTGGTTGGGTTCCCTCATAAGGGTGGTACACTTTATTGACAAAGAACGGAGTATACCCGGTAGACAAATAAACTTTATTGTTATAAGAAAAGGCTGCGAGTGGCAACCATTCGGCCCAATCTGCTTGTCGGTAATTGATAAACAATCGGAGATATTGTTCTATCTCGCGATTAATGCGTTCCATTTGTCCGTCTGTCTGGGGGTGATACGCGGTTGAAGGATTAGCTTCGATTCTAAGAGATCGGTACAATTCGGAGATGAACTGATTTTTGAATTCAGTTCTCCTATCGCTGATGATCTTTCGGGGTAATCCATGATGTGCAACGACGTTGTCTCGGAGTGCCTTTGCCCATCCTTCGGCGTTGAGCTCAATGGTACTTGGTATCGTAATTATCTGTTTAGAGTACATACAGACAATCACGAGGATAGCGTTGTATCCGAAGGATTCCGGTAATACACCTATCTTGTCTACGGAGATTACCTCCCAGGGTCGCGAAGGAATTTCATTTGGGAATAGAAGTCCGGTAGGTCGTGTTGTATGAACCTTGGTCTTCTGGCACTTCTCGCATCTGGCCACGTATTTCCTGATATCTTCTCGAATTCGGGGCCACCAGTAGTTACGCGTGACCATTTCATGCGTCTTGTATTAACCAGGGTGTCCAGCTAATGGGGTATCATGGTGATGAGCAATGATCTGCTCACGGAGTTTTCTATTTACTGGCACGTAAATACGGTTCTTCTATGTTACGAGTCCGGTACTATCTTCGTTCCAGTCTTTGTCCTTGTTCTGTAAAGCTACGGTAACTAGCGAATCCTGGTTCTTTTTGTATTTTTTAATTTCTGTAATCCAGTCCTGGTCGATTCCTTCTAAACTAAATATGGTACTACGAATTAAGGCACGGAAATGTTCTGGTTTTAGTAACATGATATCTGAATTGTCCTCCTTTCCTGCATTGTGCCTCTTTTGGCGAGATAATCCATCTGCTTTGCCATTAGATTTACCGGGCTTGTGATGCAACGAGTATTGGTATTCAGCTAACTCGGTTACCCATCGGGCCTGTTGCCGGTTGAGCTTCTGTGGTTTCCAGAAGTATTCTAGATTCTTGTGATCCGTCCATATTTCAAACGGATGTATGGCGCCCATGAGGTACTGACGCCATTCATCAAGACTGGTCATGATCACGAGAAGTTCCTTGTCGTAAATCTCGTAATTTCTTTTGGCAGCTGTCATGGCTTTAGACAGGTAAGCAACGGGTTTCCATTTGCCATCTTGCTTCTGAGCTAATTTGGCTCCTACGGCAAAGTCCGAGGTGTCGCATTCTACTCGGTATAGATCGTCGTCGTTGGGTATAGCTAGTACTGGCGCTGTGCAGAGGGCATCCTTCAGGCTTGTAAAGGCTACTTCTTGATCGACAGTCCATTCAAAGGTAGCATTGCCTGTTAGTGAGCTGAGTGGTTTTGCTATTTTGCCATAGTCTCGGATAAATCTTCGGTAGAAGTTGGTAAATCCGAGAAACGCCTGGATATCTCGTTTGCACTCGGGCCGTGGCCAATTGACAACTCCCTCTATCTTGACAGGGTCCATGCGAACGACTCCTTTTCCTACTATCATCCCAAGGTATTCTATCTCTGCTTTCTCGAACTCGCACTTTTCCGGTTTCAGATAAAGTTTGTGTTCTCTTAAGATCTGAAGAACTTGCCGCGTGATCCGACAGTGTTCTTTTAGATTTTGAGTGAAGATCATGATGTCATCCAGATAGACTACCACGTGTCCTTGACTGATGAGATCTCAGAATATGTCGTTCATCATAGTTTGGAATGTAGCCGGAGAATTGGTAAGACCAAAAAACATGACAAGTGGCTCGAATAGTCCTCGATTCGTTAAGAATGCTGCCTTTTCTTTGTCTCCCTCTTTGATGCAGATGTTGTTGTATCCCCATCGGACATCTAGTTTCGTAAAGTACCGCGCCTGCTTCAATTTGTCCACTAGTTCCTGTATCAAAGGAAGTGGGTAGCGGTTTTTAATCGTCAGCTCATTCAGCTTTCGATAATCTTGTACGGGTCGAAGTTGTCCATCTTTTTTCTTGACGAAGAAGAACGGAGAAGCCCACGGAGATTTTGATGGTTGGATTCTCCCGGTTCGGAGGTTCTCTTCTATGAACTCATCAAGTTCTTTCTGTTCGTTTACAGAGATAGGGTAAACTTTGCAACTGATCGGTTGCGCGCCTGGTGTGAGTTCGATTGCATGGTCCCACGGTCGCCTTTGTGGTAAAGAGTCGAAGTCTTCTTTGCTAAATACGTCGGAGTAATTGTGATAGTGACTTGGGACGGTATTTTCAAAGGTCTTGGCTTCGTGTTTCAGGCTTTCTTTGATCGCCAGGTCCATGGCTGTGGTATGAATACATGCTGCTCCTGTTGCAAAGTATGTTTCGTGGTCTAGGATGAAGATTCTATCCCCTTCTTCTAGGCGAGCCTCCAGATCGCTGGGCTCTTCCTGATCGGCATCAATATCAATTAATCAGGCGGCATATTTGCAGGTAATCGGGCACTGATCAAACTGAATGACTTGTTCCTGCCAATCGATAGACGGATTATGAATCTGCAACCACTCATATCCAAGAAAGATTGGAGTCTTCCCTAGATTAGTAACTGCAAATGGAAGTCGTTCTATATGATCCTGAATTTCCACCCTTAATTCGACGAAGTCGGTGATAGCGCCGCCGGCGTTATGCGTGCCATCTGCATTATAGACAGGGATCGGTGATGGCAGTTTCTTTGTAGCGATGTTGTTATCGCAGACAAACTGCGCATCAATGGAAGATCCAGTACATCCTGTGTCTAATAGCGCTTTGACTGATAAGCGTTGCTGTGTGTCCAGGGTGGTTATGATCATGGAAACGTCCATCTGTGTCCCCTTCCTTCCTTGGATGAATCGAGGCTGCTTCCTTAATTCATTTAAGAAGTCTATAGCTTCTTCTTCTTTCATCTGCCTGATTTGGTTCATACAGGCTTCAGAGGCATCAACACTCTTCTTTGAGTGTACCCATTCAGTCAGCAATCTAAGCGCCGAGGCTTCTTTGCTGATTATCCATTGGCGGATCCAAGCCGCTGTCCAAGGTGTGTGGCACTGCCACTGCATAGATTCGGTCTGATGTTCTGATGTAGGCAATAATTTTTTATTCAGGGGAATTAAGCAAGAGGATTGTGCCTCTCCGCGCCGCTCTGCGGACGCCCCTTTTTCTGGTATATACATAGGTACACCGAACCAAGAACACAGATAGTTTGTAAAATTACATTTGGTCAACTCGGCTACGCGCCCGGCTGACCGCTTGCAAAACCCTTCATAGCCGTGCGAATCTCTTCGCGAATTGCCGCCTTCCAGTCAAATGGTTCTGCCGTCGCGGCAGGGGCTTCGTTGAGTGACGCTAGTGGCATGAATGTATTGGCGGTGGGAACTACTGGGGTTTTCGTGGCTCGTACTTGCTGAGCTTGTTGCCGATTAGGACAATTGCGCGAAAGATGCCCCTTCTCTCTGCATCGGAAACATAGACCCAAGCGTCGTGCTTGGTCTAGCTCCATTGGCTGGCCTCTGCCACCGAATGTGACGCCTGTCCCATCGCGACGTGTCTGCACTGGGGCACTTGCGGCTGGCGCGGCTACGTTAGCCTGTGCTCGTGGCGCACTTTGTGCCTGCTGCTGCCGAGGTTGAAATTGTCCTTGTCGCTGGGACTGTGGGTTTCGCCGACGGTACTGCTGCTGATTTAGGTCGATGTGCGCAACCTGTTGTTTGTATAGCGCGTATGTAGCGGGGAGTTCCTCTGATGAATTATACAGAAGCCGAATAATGTCAGCCCTAAGTGCCTTTTCTAGAAGCGATTTCAACTCCTGGAAATGTGCCTCGAAGTCGTGAATGTTCGCCTGGAAGGCGCATAATTCAACTTTCGAGAAGAACTCCTGTGCTGACAGTGTTCCCATCTGCATGGCTTGCAGTCCATCGTACGCTTCTGCCTGTTCATCGATGAGGAAGTGTACATCCAAATCTTTCCACAGGTCATTGGTAGTCTGGATCACGGTATCTTCGTCTGTGTCGTACTTTTTCATATACGTAGCTACGTATTCGCCAGCGTGTCCTCCTTTCATGTATGACAGGATCATAAAGACCCTATCAAATTGCTCCGGCAGTCGCTTTCTCTGCGTGACCACATAAAGCTTCATCTGCGTTTTCCAAGCGATGTACTTGGATTTGGTGCCATCAAAGGCGTCGGGCTTCATTGCGCTTCCATTTAGTAGCGCGGCACTATCTTGATTCTCGGCCATTGCGCCGGGATCAGATGGAGATGAAGGTGGGGTGGGAGAACGTCGGGAAGGTGGGTCCTCGGCTTCAGAATCTTCTAAAGCTTCTTCCACAGGGTCTGGTGGACCTTCTGGTGGTACTTCGGATTCTCCGAGAGCGATTGAACGAAGATGTTCGGTGACTGAATCGAGTGTGTCGCATCTTTCTCTGGGTTCTGAGCTAGACGCTATGGGTTCGGGGTTGGAGAGAGACTCGCTAGGTTCTCCGCGTAATCCTTCTTCACACCATGGGCAGCGAGTACTATTGTGTGGAGAGTGTGGACACGGTTGTTGTACGCAGTACCGTACGGGGTCTCCGCATTTGTAGATAGTCCTCTCTCCTAGTACTCGATGTTGATATCCTTGACAGTCACAAGAGAGCGTTGTCATGAGCTATCAGGTCTGTGAAGCTGATTGCAGCAAACCCTGGGACCAATCGTGTTGTAACGACCAGATCAGGGGTAGAGTTCGCCAAAGAAAGGAATTTTCAAAAAAGAATCAAAACGTCATTTTAATACAGTTCTAGAGATAGTATAACAGCCCAAAGAGCGATTGCTTCTCTTCGGTCCGACGCCCGGAAAGGGATCGTCGATCTAACTGTTATCGCTTTTCCAACGCCCGGCCACAACCGGTTGCCACGTCGTACTCAGGAATATCCGCTTGCCTGCTGCAAAGCGTGTAAGGCCGCCTATGGTAGGGCAGGGTATGATTCTAATTGGACGGAGCTCTGTCTAGCCGCCTAAGGGCTAGTGATTACAGAGGGGACTTCGGGGTGTGATGTGGTAAAAGTTGTGCAAATGCACAGAGAAGGGTTCCAGGGGTCCAGGTTTTGATGCGGTAGAATTCGGTAGGGTTGGGAGTTAGGGTGAGAGTTGGATGTGTGTATAGGGTGGATCGTCATGTGGAGATGGGTGATGGTTGGAGTGGGAGTGATGAGGATCGTCGTAAGGCAGTTGGTGGAGACTCGAGCTAATGTCAGCAACCTACAATCCAACTGGACTAGGTTACGACGAAGCTGAGGAGACAGACGAGAGGAAAATAGGTGAGGAAAGACCAGCTCGAGTCTGGCTTGTTATTGAGCAGTACGAGCTCCTTATATACATGTCAGACTGAGTATATAGAATATCCTACGAATATACAGAGGTGTATAGAAAGTAAAAGAATACCATGGAATCCAGGAGAACCACCCGGAATGCATAATATTCATGACACTTTGCTGGCAGATCGTGAGGTCAAATCCTACACAGCATTATAGCAACAAAACAGAATTGCACTGGACAACTCACCTGAACAGCAAACCAGCGCTTCACTAGGTACTGAGCTTCCAGACAAGGTACAGGTACATCTTGCCGCGTCCTTTGTTGATATCGATCGTGGCTTCGTCCCAGCCAAGAGGCGGCATATCGACAGATGATTCCGAGCGGAGCAGGGCTAACGCGGTGATCTTTCTCTCCTGCGAGATATCCGTGTTTACGATGAGGTAGCGATAGTCGCCGCCCGCACCCTTGGCGAGATCCTTCAAGGACGGATCCTCGGACCCCTGGATGACAAGATCGAAGCCGATGGCGCCGTTTTCACGCTCGTTAGTGTAATCTGGAACGAGCCAGACGTAACTGAATAGTTTGGGTGCATTAGTCAGTACTGAATATACGTGCTGAGATGCAGGAAAACGCGATAATCACCTGCCGCCAAATTGGTAGTTGATGTCGTCAGACTGACCGCCCAGCTCGTGGATGCGGTTAGAAGGAGCCTGTGAGGGCTCGTCGCCATATACGACCTGTGAATGCAACGGTCAGTGTCAACTCGGGTAAATTTAGAAAGGACGGTAGCATCAAGCTCATGCTGATGTTGGAGACGACGATAGTGCCACTAAGTTCAGCCTTGGAGGACATAGTTCGTGAGCGAAAGTCAAGCTGGAAATGTGGCTATGGGCCTGAGAACTTCACTTGCGGCCGCGGTGGGTATTTATATGTGCAGAAGACGCCACCAATCGCAGTAGTCGCAAGCCGGCGCACGGTCACATCATGTTCACTGAACTCTCCCCGCTGGCAGGTTCAATGGGATCTATCTGAGGTCGTACTGCTATTCACTCTGGCAGACTTAGCATCGATGAACCCTGGTCAGCAGACTATTCATCTGTCTGTTGTGGCGAGGCACTCTGTCTTGGTACTGTACGCACAGCATCACCTGTTCGGCATGAAGGCGCTATTAACGATACAGTTGAATAGTGGACAGAAGCCACCCCAATCGACCAGAGCTAGGCCAATTGACGGTTCCGCAAGAGTCAGACCAATATTCGACCAGGATTAGAGTAGACGATCAGACTGGCAAACGACCGTGAGTGCTTGAGAGTTGGGGGCACGAGGCTGAGGTAGACATTTGTTCGTGGAGGAAGCCGCGAGCAAAGCAAAGACAATGCTGTCCGTATGGATCTGTTGAACAACATCAGTGACCACAAGGGTTATGGCTTCAGAGTAAGACTGCGACCCACGTAATAGAAGACTGTTGGGTATGCCTGGCGGTGTACGCGACGTCGCGGGTCAAACCTGCTGAGCACCTAAATCAGTTCTGTTAATGTGTCTTTGCAGTCCAGTCCGTCAGCACTAACGAACTCGCCAGTCAGGTTGCCGTTTTTCATTATACAACCCGTTTCGGTACGCTTACGTAAGCAAGTCCCCACTTCCTCATTCGTCGGAACTTCTTGTGTACCACGGGCTCGAATCGTTTTCAGCGAACAGAGCTGTTTACTGCTCTGTCTCACCTTCGGAGCGATCTACTGCCCACAGCCGGCCAGGTTCACATGCTGTATAGGTGGGCGGGATGTCCTAGACAGTGGCGCATGGGACATCTCAGCTTGCATAATCATATCATAATGACAAGAGTGTGCAGTCTCCAAACGGGATGCTAGGAGCCAGTGTTGTGCCAGTCAGTGACTGGCCAATTACTGAGTCATCCCAGTCACGGTCGATTGACTGACAACTGGTCACTGATGAATCAATGACCGATTTATAGTCAATGACTGGGCGGTTTCACGATCCCGCGATGCCAATGGGTGGCAGGGTCTGTTGGGACCTGGAAAACCGGTCAGTCACGGTCATTTCTGACTCGGCCATCGACCAGTAATTGACCAGAGTGACCAGTCACTGACCGGCACAACACTGCCGGGCTCGGAGTCGTACTTACTGTGGAACGCCGTCGGGCCCTGCCGCCAGTGCTGGATGACGATCTCCGAGACAAACTGGAGGCCGCAGTGCTGGTGATATCGCAACCGTTAACGCCGCTTTGGAGAGAATGTAAATGAATCACCGCTTGACCAAGAAGTTATTCGTGGCGAATTATCACGGTCGCTGCCAGCATGTAGTGCGTGAATAAACCAGGAATAAACGTAGAATCCAGTATCTACCCATACCTCTCGAGTGCTCCTACCGTCCCAACAGCCTGTTCTAGGCATTGATGTGCTATACTTACAGTATCTGAGGTGGACGTTTGCCGGTATACAATAATCGCCCTGTGTACACCCATAGCTAAACGCAGAGGCTTTCAAGGAAAAATCGCCGCTAAAGTCAGGCGCGCACTGTGGCGCAAGCTGCTGCCAATAAGTAGGTAGATAGAAAAGGAGGTGTGAACGACCTTCGTAAAATCCGAGATGACCACCAGCTGAAGGAGGCTAGTCGTAGAGAAGAGAATAAAATGTGGAAAATCACCACCTTCCTGACCGGATGCTTACCTCAGCAACTATCACAGGCCTCTTCGTCGGCAACGTCCGATCAGCACTGTAAACAGCAATAGAGGCGGCAACTGCTCTTGCTGTGAGCTCATCGTGTATGACGACGAGCGCAGCCATGTCGACCTCCACCGATGCCCCGGTTGAAATCCCCAAGCCTGAGCGTCCTACGCCTGGCGCGCGCATGCCGTCGCTGAACCAGTTGGCAGCCCGCATTAACCTCAACCCGCCGGCGACATCCTCGTCCTCCGCGTCACGACCTCGCCTCGCCGCTGCGCTCCTGCGCACCGGCTCCCAGGTATCTCTGTCCTCGAACGCGACATCTGTTGCGGACTCGACTGCTGTAAACGCTCCGAGCACGAGGTCGACGTCTCCCGCCGCCCTCTCGACGTCACCGCCCCACAGCACGTCCCACACTCCAGTCGGTGACAAGGGTGAACCTTTGACGGCGGAGAAGCTCGAGAAGCTAAATGAGGAGGTTCAGCAGGAAGAGGTAGATACGGCTGCGTCAGAGTCCAAGAAGGTCAACTATCCGAGGGGGTACAAGAACATCCCCAGCCTGGACGCCATCACTGCTCGCCTGGCGAAGGCAAGGACTCTCAGTGTCGATGGCACAGCCAAGCCCCCCGAGCCCGAGACGATAGAGGACCCAAAGACACCTGGGTTACGTGTCAAGGCTCCTGAGCATCCCCTCGAACATCCATGGTATGTCGTACACGCTCGTATCTGCACTGCCTCTCATCGCGTGCCAGGATGATTTACCACGATTGCAAGTCCAAGATGCCATTTACGCCTGCAACCGCTCCGGGCGAGAATCCCCTTCCTTCTGCGCACCTTGCTGCGGACACCGACGAATACGAGGCCGGTCTTACAGTGATTGGCGAGTTCGACACTGTTGAGTCCTTCTGCCGGTACTTCAACTGGCTCAAGCCCCCCTCAAAGCTCGAGCGCAATTCGAACTATCACCTCTTCAAATCGGGCATCAAGCCGATGTGGGAGGACGACGCCAACACGAACGGCGGCAAGTGGGTGCTCACGATGAAGAACAATCCGCAGCTGCTTGATCGCTGCTGGGCCTGGCTGGCAATGGCACTCGTTGGCGAGGACCTCGACGAAGGGGACGAGATCTGTGGTGCAGTTGTCAGCTTGCGAAGCAAGGTCGATCGTATACAGCTGTGGACGCGTAGCAAGGACGACGTCGAGAAGATTAATGGTATCGGTAAGAAGATGGTCAAGCTTCTTGATGTTTCGGAGGCGGATGGTATTGGATTGGAGTTCCAGGTATATATCTTCATTTTGCTACCTATCTCGTGCACTGAATACCAGCATCGCACTATAGTACAATACGGAAGATCGTCCTACCCCAAACAAGTTCCTCTCGATCCAGGCACTTCCGCAGACGGCATACCGCAGTTCGTTCCACGTAAAGCCTGGCTTCAGCAGCCCCGTCTCCGCAGCTGGGGAAGGTCCCGGAGCCGCTCCTGCCGCTGCTCCTGGACCGGGCGGTGCCTTTGCCGGCTTCGGCGTGGGAGGTGGAGGTGTACTCGGCGGCAACGGGTGGAGGAGCAAGCGGCCGTGATCTGGAGACGACACGAAACGAAGGGCTGTAATCGCGTGTACCTATAGGGATCTCATGAGCTCAAATAAGTTGTACTATACTCGTCGTGTCTACGGGCTCGGTCTGGATCTACGCATCTCTTGGCGGAAAGATCATACTCTGCGTTTGTTTTGTGATGCGACCTGACTTTTCCTTAGTATCGATAAGTAGTTCAAATGCACGTGCGCGCAGGCGACAGACACTCACCCAAGCTGGCCTTGCCGTCAGAACTGGTCCCAGAAGTCTACAGAACCGTTCCAAGGGCCGCTTATAGGTATGTCCCTATCAACACGCCAGTCGGAGAACCATCCATGACGATAATCTTTGTGGCAAGTGAGCTCTACTTGCAGTTCATTGAGGCTTTCCCTGAACGAAGGGCTCAGGCCCCGCATTGTCATCGCGGGCACCTTCAGTGTATGCAAGGGACAGTCAACGTCGACCCGGTGTCTCACGAACGCGAGCAACGGATGCTCGGGAATGTCTTGGTGCACCGACAAGGTCCGTAGCAAGGGCCAGGCAACGATTCCAGAGGACTCGTGCATGTGCCGCACTGCGTGTAGGAGCTCCAGCAGTTGCGCGCCGAGCAGCTCCAGCTCCTCGAGGTTTGGCAACGTGTTGATAAGTACAGTGGGTGAGTCTGCAGTGGACAGACAGTTACTATCGTCCCACAACGTCTTAAGGGTGGTGCATAGAGGCTTCAGATGACCTGGTAAGGATGCAACGAAAGGGAGGCGAGTGTCCACGGTGATCAGTGTGTGAAGCGCGGGGGACCCGCGCAAGATCTTCACGATAACTCTTGAGGCGATTGCAGTCCACGATTCTGTATAACTGCATAACGCGAGGCACCCGAGTCGGGGTAAAGAGATAGAGGGTAGATTGGCCTCTTCCTGATTGGCCTCTTCTTGATCGAAAAAGTCGGTTAATCGTATGTGCATCAGGGAAAGGCTCGTGAGAGTACGCGAACAGAGTCGCAGGATGCGCATCAGCTCCGCGTTGGAGTATCCGCGACCGCCCAGCTTGAGTTCCGTAAGGTTGCTGAAGACACCTGTCACCGGGGAGCCGGCATACAGATTCAGTAGCTGTATACGAATGAGGTTCGGGGCGAAGAAGCCGATGCTTCGTCCCTGGCAGCGGGACGGGAAGGATAGCGAGTGCGAGAAGGACTCCAGACGTGGAAGAATACGTCCCTCAAGAGATTGAGTCAGATGTGCTGCAACATAGGCCGAGGAGCAGTGCAACGCGCAATTCTTCCATCGATGCGCCTGGGATAGGAGGAGTGTCCAGGTGGAGCGAAATCGCGGCCAAGAGGATTTCTCGACGTCCTCTGGTTCCTCGATATCTTCCATGTTCTCGGTATCTGCAGTATCTTCAGAGATAAGGTCAGGTTCATCATCGCTCTCGATAGATTCGCTTGGGTAGACAAAGAAGATGGAGAGTGCGCGGCCCTTCGAGCGTTCAAGGTAGAGCTCGGCCATCTGTTTATATCGCTCTCCTTGATCCTGCGTGGCATGTATGCAGGTCCAGAGGCTGGGCAAGGAAAGAGCCAGGTGACGCCACCGACGACAGACCTGTGCGAATGCGACGGGCGAGTTGGTGTTGTAGTGGCCTCCATCAGATCTGCAATGCGGGAAATGGTGTTGATACGCCGTGAGTAGGACCTCAACTATGATGTCGTCCGGGAGGACGTTGATAGGCGCAAGTATGGAGAGCCTAGTTTTCAATGCAGCGATGGACGCAGAGAGGCTCTGCAGCTGGGCTTCGAGCTTTGCCTTTTCCAATTACATCTGTACCCATTCTTGCCTCACGGCGTCGGATTCGACGCGTCGTTTCACGCTAAGCATCGTGTTGTAGTGCCTTGAAGGTGCTTGAGTCGTCATATTACAATCTATGAGCTAAGTATCGCGCGCACCGAAGAGATGTAGTGAACCAAACGACAGCTCCAGCTGAGGCTCGGCGCTCAAGATTACAACGACTGATGGAGTAGCGCGGATGGTAGATCTCAACATTTCCACGCTATGCTGTGTTTCAAGCCAAGCGTAGACTTTCGCAACGTTTGTTCCATTTCAAAGCTGGTAGCTACAAAATCAGGACTAGCGACGAGGGCACACTTTACATTATGTACGAGGACAGCAGGTTTCTAGCAGACAGAGATGCAGAAGGAGGGGAGTGAGGCCGTGACAGCAGACGGGAGATGCAGGAGTGAGAGGGGGTGTGCCAAGACTTGGCAAATTGGAGCGAATGAAAAAAGACTTTGTACCACCGAGAAAAACGGGAGAAAATATATAGAGTAAAACCAGCTACAACAGAGTCCACATTTGCTTTATTCTTGTTCGCGGTCTTTGTTTTTCCCCGCCACCAACCACATCAAGGATGTGGAAAGAGCGAAGAGTTCGAAGAGTAGACGTCGTTCAGATGTGCAGCTTGCCGATCATCTTCTCGAGCGAGGACGCGCCAGGGTCGCACTTGTTCGATACTGGGGTTGCCACGCGCACAGGGCGTGGTGACGGCGGGATGATGCGCTCGTTTGAAGCGGAGGCCAAGGGTTGCTGCATAGGCGCATGCGGCGCGTCGACGTCGACAACACGGAGAACGGCCTTGCCCTCGAGGACCTTGCGCACTTTGTCAGTGTCGAGCTTGGAGTTGGCAGGCGATCCTCCGGAGAACGCGTCCCAGAAGGCGGAGCCAAGCTTGCCGAGGAGCGTTTGTGAAGCCATGCCCGCAAGCATAGCCTGCTGTGGCGTTGGTGTGATCTGCTGCTTGGCGGGGACCTGGCCAGGAAGCGTCGTGTGCGTCGTCGCAGGCGATGAGGGCGGCGACGGGTAAGCGCCCGCAGCTGACTTGCCGGATAGCACCGTGGACAGCACGGACGAGTTCTTCGCGAAGTAGTGTGGGCGGAGGTTCGTTGCGAGACCAGTGAGGTGTGGTGACGGGCTCCTGCTGCCGTCCGGGTGCTGTTGGCTTTGCGCAGCGCGGAACTGCGCCTGCTGTTGTGCCATCCGCGTCCAGAGGTGCATGCGGTAGCTGTGCGGACGATAAGAAACAAATAACGAAAATGTCTAAGGATAGCACGTACGCGTCGAGGGTTTTCATCGTGAACGGATTCATCTCGGTGAACGAGTCAAAGGGTGTCATCGGCATCGAGATTTCCATCGTCTTCTCGGGGTACGCCTGGCCGTTGAGCGTCGGATTGATGTTCTCCTGCAGGCCCATGCTGCGCTTAGTAGCAGCGACAGGCTTGCCTGAGAGCACGCTCGAGAGGTCGGGAACGAAAGTGGTGTGCACAGGCGTGATGCCGCCGAGACCGAGGTTGCCGCCCCAGAAATTGCGGCCGGCAAGGCGTGGCGACATTGGAAGATCCTTGTGTAGGTTGGGCGTGAGCATCGGGCTCTTGGGTGCAGGCGACGGTGTTGGCGGCGGGCTCTTGAGGCTGGAACCAGCAAGTACCGCAGCCGCCGATATTTGCGGCAATGGCGCAGGCGGGGGGAGCACAGGGGTGTCTGCGCGGCCCTCGAGGAGCGCCTTCTTGAGCGCGTCAATCTCCTGACGCAGTGCTTTGTTCTCGTTGCTGGTACTGCGCAGCTCCGTTCGGATGGCATCGAGCAGGCGGTCGCGCTCTGCAATGTCACCTTCGAGGGTGGAGATATACTCTGCATTGGCAAGTCAGAAGACATAACGAATCGATGATCGCCAAAAACATGCGCGCTACTGACCCTTTCGCCTCACACGGAAATTCCTTGCACTGATCTTGTTGCGCAACTGCCGCTTCTCCTTGCTAGACATCTTCTTGTACTCCTCAGGTGTCGGTCGCCAATCGTCGGGATCAGTTGTGGTTGTGCTGAGGATGCCGGTAGCAGGCGACTTCTCTTTCTCCGCGACAGGGCCGATTTTCTTGACGACGCCTCCAGATTGAACCGTTCCCTTGCGGGACTTGCCCTTACCGCCAACTTTGAGGGCGGCGAAATCGTCACCGTCAGGTGTCGCGGCAGCTTCCTCTTCTTCGCGCTCCTCCTCCTCATCGCTGAACTCGCTTCGGGAGGATGTGGCGGGTGTCTCAACGAGCTGAGGGTCGATTGTGCCGGGGGAGTCGCTGGAGCTTTCAGAGCTGCTTTCCTCAAATATAGGAGGGAAGCCACTCAGGAAGCCATGCGATGTCGTGGACATGGGCGCTATGGTTTGAGGCTCGAGCTTGGTGAAGTCGTCCTCGAGATACGAGTCAGTGAAAAACTGGCTGTCGGGGTTGAATGCCATTTCAAACGCGGTTGGGGGCGTCGGTGGGAGCGCGACAAATGATTGCGAAGGGGAGTTCGAGGATGAGCGAGAAGAGGAGGTACCTGGCCCGGTAGACGGCCCAGCGAACATGTCGAAGTTGAAGAAGTCTTCAAAATTGGAGGGTTGAGCGAAGTCAGCCATCATGGCTACACAAGTGGTGGTAGTATAGGTCGAAAATTAGACGGAAAAGTGGAGGAAAGCGGCGTCGAGGTGGTGGAAGTGGTGGAGAGAGGCAAAGAGTTTTAGCGCCCTGTGCCGCAGCGCAACGTGCACTTTCGGCCGCTTTCGTACGCCTTCCGATGCTGACTATGCGGGCGATAAAACGTCCCTATCGAAACAGATTGCTCGCTTTTATCCTTGACGACGTTGCCAACGCTCTGGACCTGCGTAGAGAGCGCGGAAAAGCGTTGGGTTCAGTCCCGACGTTCACGGCCGTCCTAATGCAAAGTTACCATATATGGCAATGTTTACGTCGCAGAAGTCCACTGCATATCAGCAACCTCGCTTTCGTGCCCCTGCAGACATTTCTAGCAAGGCCTTAAGGCTGCTCGCTTCAAGCTTGCAGAATCTTCGCTCGTTTACTCGAGGTCCTCTGCTGGCCGTACGACCCGGAGCGTAGCGAGGGGCGATGCGCTCAACCTTTCCGTCGAATGACCGGTGCACGTCGCGTAAGCAAACAATTTCCGCATTTTGATTGAGTCGCTGGAGTAGCCCGCCACGTTTCACGGGCTAGGGCCATGTATATCGTTTACTCATCCCTAAATTTGCTCAAATGAATGCGCTGTACATTCCATAGCGTCACCCAAGCACTCGGCGGGCATCGAGACCACCCAAAACTTGCATAGCGTTGTGTTTACATTGGATAGGATATGATAGTCGGAGCTTCCGGGTACAATAAGCCACAAAAGCCGTTCCAAAGCCTTAGAGTCCCCACCCAATCACCTCGAACACGACTGGCATCACACCAGACGACAGGATGCCAATCCCGCAATACACGAACACCTTCGTGAGCACTGCGAAGATGATGAGCCTTTAGCTGTGAGGTGGAGAAAGCGGGGCCACTCACCATCCGCATCATAATGCTTCACTTCGACGTCCTTCCCACCAAGCTCTTCCAAACCGAGCCCTATCTCCTCACGTCCGGACGTAGTCACCTTCTCCGCCTTACCGCCCCGTCCTGCACGCAGTTTCAGCCCTTGCTTGTTGCTCTTGCCCGCTGCAGGCGCGGTGCTCACGCCATCCACCTCGAGTTCGAGCATGCTTGGCAGGTCGAGAACGGACGGAATAGGGTGCAGGCCCTTCTCTGATGGCACGCGTTGGTAGTCCGTTGCAGGCGTGTAGAAGCGGCGGTGCGGGAGAGTCATGAGTTGTCCCAGGAACCGGAACGTCGGCGGCAGGGTCCGGTGCAGCAAGAACTTCGCAAACATGCGCCACGCGAAGATGGCCAAGATGCCTGAAGCGCGCGTTACAAGTCAGTCGTTGCTTTGTTGGATGGACGCGGGAGGCAGACGCACCAATGACCGTCTTTGTGACGGCTATGGACCACCAGGCCCACATCTCGGATGGCGTACCAGTAATCTTGCCAGGCATGCTGTGCACGAAGAAACCCTTGTCAAAGCCGTAATTTGCCGTGTACCACTGCGTCAGGAACTCGCCCATAACGACGGCCATAAATGCGATCGCGTCCTCGAAGCATGGACAATCTTCCACAGGTTCAGGGTGGCGGTGGACAAGGAACAGGCCTGTAGAGATGACGACAACGGGGACTACGAATGGTCAGAATTAATTAATTTGTGTTGCCACATGATAGCTCACCAGACCAGCCGGGGGTTCGCAACCACTCGTTGAGTATATCGCCAATAAGTGCATACAACCCCCAAATTGCACTCCCAAGAAAGACACCGAATGCACAGTCGGCGAAGCTGTGCATCCCGGTGTACAGCCGGCCATACACAATAGAAAAGCAGTAGATCACCAGAAGGATGACGGACATAACATAGACTGTGGTCGAAATCATAGCCTGGGGTAAGGTGTCCTCAACGACGTGCGTTGTACTGAGCGTGAGTGGGTTCGAAGGGGAAACTGGAGGCGACAGTACAGCTGCTGGCGTCTTATAGAGGCGATGGACAATTGCGAAGAAAAACAGCGCGATGGACACACTGTTCGTTGAGTGCGTCGAAGGAAAGCCATATTCCAAGTGGTGTGTGCTGATAGCTACGGCGGTGACGTGTGAGCGATGAACATACATGTCATAGTAAATGGTCCATACTGATCCTGGTCACCGGCGGAGCGAAAGGCCTCGGAGAACACATCAGATCCTTTATGACTGAGGAGGCATAAACCCCGAGCGCGAGCACAAATATGAGGCTACGGAGGACTTGTCAGGGAAGTCAGTTGGGCTCAATGATATCATGTACATACCCATGCGCAATGTCCCCGTATCCAAAGAACATGAGACTCGGCAGCATAGTCATGAAGAATGTATGTGTGCCCAGCGTTGAGGTGTTCACGAAATACATGTCAAAGAACGGCGTGCGAACACGCTCCTGTCCCAAGGCAATGAGCTCACCCCAGAGAACTTGGGCTTGACAGACCGCACCTGCATAGCCGCGATGACCTTGGACTCCCAGACGAGACTACGAACGAGCCTTTTCCTGAGAGCGACTCTCCACCAGCTCAGGGTACGCTCGTATACTTCATCCGGTGCAATGCCGATACTACCGGGGGCGACCTCAACGTCTTCACCAGCGGCGTGCTCGCCCTTCTCGTCCCATATTTTCGCGAGTCCGGCAGGTCTGACCGCGACGGGTATCTCAGGTGTAGTTTCAGTCTCATACGCTTCCTCAGAAGAGCCCGAGGAGTTGGTGGACGATGTGCGGGGGTGCGGAAACACGCCTCTGCGCGAGTCTGGATTCATCATGAAGGATGCAAGTGGGGTCGTAAGTTTCCTAGGTCGGTGTGCTAGAGCCGGGATTAAAGGGTCATGTACAAGTAGGGAGAGAGAGATGGTGGGAAGAATGAGAGATGGAACAGGCGTCTCGCGAGTCGCCGACCCAGGCCCGCGTCCCGCCGAACTATCCTACATCGCACTGCAAGTTTCATATCATGATACATAGGGCTACTGGTGATATATCACATCGCGGTGTTTGGGCAACATTGGGGGCATCAGATGCCCACCAACTTGAAGTCAAACGGCGCACTCTCATGCGGACGAGAATACTAGAGTTGCTGGGAGCTTCTAATTGAACCTGTGCATACATTACATCACCACATGATACTATCTACGACAGCATGACACATGTCTACAAGGATACAAGGATGGAGCAAACTTTGCACAAGAAGGTTCGTATCTGTAGAGATGTAGGTCAGCGAAAGAAGTTGCTTCAATAGATGATGGCAATCTCGGAGCCTCAGAGAACATATGTTGTCCTTCATCAAGTTTCGGACATATGCTTGTAGATGATTTCGATACATCACAGGTGACAGGGCAAAACGAAAGGAAAAGAGCACTTACAAAAACGCATGAAGCCAAACGGATGAAGCCCAGTACCCACCATGACTATGAGAAGACCGTCAGCGCACTGATAGAGCACTTTGCAGTGGTAGGAGGGCCCTCAGTGGGTGGTGAATGCTAGCTCATGATCAGGGTCCATGAACAGAGTCACAAAGGACTCGTCGTCCGCTAGAAATCGTTGTCTTAAGGCGGTATAGCTGGAGCTGGGACACGACCAAGGCGTGAGATACCTACCAGGACGGCGTAGCCCGGCATCTTTGCAAGTAGGAAAAATCTGAAGAAGAGCTCGTCAGAATTGTCTCGATTGTTGGACAGAAGAGTGGAGGCTCCGTTGGTGATGCATGTTAGGTGAGTAAGGGCTCATGGTGTGTCGCCAACTCGAATGTTTATGGATAAACTATCTTCATCGCCAACCACAATGTGAACAAATACTCGCCTAGTCTTGAGACATTTTCATCTGGACAGAAAAAATGAGAAAACGGCGCCGAGCGCGACAGCGGCAAATCCACGAGAAGAATGCGAGCGCTAGGATATAAGAGTGTTTGCGGAGTTTAAATTTATTAGCGGAGTTGCTGGGGCTGTATAGCACGCGCTTAAAGCTCTCGTCACCGTGAAACTTCCCGTCGTCTTCGCTTGTCCTCGATATCGTGAAGGTGCTCATCGGTGAGTTTGCTTCTACTGTGAAGGAGAGATATCAGTCTCTGCGTGTGATGAATCTTTCAATCAGTTCTGCTTCCGAACGAGAGGGAAACCTCCTTGTGGACAGCTTTTATACCAAAACTCTCAATCCTGACCTTCATTTGCATCGAAAATTTCTCCCAACACCTGTGCTAACTTGTTCTTCTTCTTCAGACGTGTTATGATTTCCTAGATTGATTGTGGTTAGACTAGCGGCTGGTCTACTCGGTAGTAGGGCGTGGCGTACTGGACAGGAAAGTGGATCTTTAAAGGAGGTGGGTGTCCCGTATGCCAAGTCTTTAAGAAGATGAAAATAAGTTCATCCATTCGTTGAATGTCTTGCGAAGCGTCCCGTATTGTCCTGTCGTCGCTCGCGGCGACTGTGTCTGTATCCACCGTCTTGGTGTACATGGGCCTGGATGATATGGGAATTTTGCGATGCAGGAAACAAGAAAACACTGGCTTCTCTGATGCATCACCTCACTCATGATACCATCGCTCATGCTCATTGGATTTTCGTAGGTTTTGTTCCACCAGCTCACGTAACGGAATACATATCGTCGCGTAGATGTGCACCTTACTTGCAATACAGACGTGTCACAATCCTTTTAGGCGTGTGAAGCTATCCTGAATCCGGTCTCATGCCTCACTCGTCGCTATTGGGAAATGAGGCTATTGTTGTAGTGAGGCTGCAAGATCCTCTTGCGGTAAGGCTTCAAGCTTCAAGATCGGCGGCCGGATACTGCGGATAACAACAGCACACGCGATCATTGGTCAGACAGGAGAAGACACCGCTCTTTCCGTTGACCGGAGTGGCGCGGCGCCCGCAACATTGCCTCCGCGCATTTGCTATGAGGTAAGGTTTGCGCTAACCTTCGAGGCTGTTCACCCTACCGCGCGCAGACGCATGCTGGCGCCGAACGATCGTATAAGAGCTCAGAGGCCGTGGTGCTGCTAGACACTTAACTTACAACCTCCTGCCATCATTTCGCTGCACGCTATGGCCGACTCAAAGAAAAATCCTTCAGAGCAGAAGACCTTCAGGATGGAGTACAACCTAGAGGACGTACCTCCTGCGTACGGACTGGAGCAGAATTCAACCTCAAGCAACCCTTTCCATGCAGCTCCGTCAGACCGTGGCCTCGAAGGCGAGACTTCTGGAGCGAGACGAGGCCCGTACATGCCGCCTGCCGGGCCATCCGAGTCATACACGGACATGGCGCGCCCTGGATACGGATACGATAAGCAGCCATCGTACTACGAAGATCAAGGGGGATCAGGTTCCAGGGGCGTATCTCCTTTACCTCCGTCACCGTATACGACAGCGCTGGGCCCATCGTACGCACACGGCCAGTCGCCGTACGACGCATCTGGCCCATCTCGCGGGTATCCCTCTTCACCCGCGTCGGGCTTTGGCTTGGGAGGATCTGGTGGTGGGCGTATGGGCATGCTAGGTGGAAGTAGACTTGGTGGCCGCATGAATAGATTCGGCAGCGGAGGCATGGGTACAAGCATGGGTGATAGCATGGGAGCGGGCATGGGCGGAGGCTCAGGCGGGGGCATGGGCAGACTTGGCGGCCGGCGCACGGGTAAGGGCAGAGTCGGAATCATCGGTATGCTCGTGAACGCCGCCACCAACGACAGCTCGCGCGACATGGCACAGTACCCGCCGCCTCCGTCCTTCTCGCGCTCGCCGCAGCCGCAGTTCCCGTACTCCCCCTTTCCACCACTCGTCGCGGTCAGCGTCGACAAGTCCCTCGACCACGGCTTCCCACTCGTCCCGCCGCCGAGCCACCTCCAGCCGCACCCATTCATGGCGCACGATATCAACGAAGACGATTGGACGTCCTTCCTCAGTCATATCCGCCAAATCGGTGCCGTATCACCTTCTGGCTCGCCTGGGCAGGCTAATACTGGTATTCTTGGTGTGTGCTGGCATCGATATCTTTCCGACGTATACTAATTTTGTGTGGTTTTGGTAGGCACGCTCGTCTCCAAGGGCATCGATACTGCTTTCAAGGGCGACAAAAGCGGAACGGTAGCCCAGGTCATTGAGCAGTGGAACACAGTGCGTGCACAACTACCACATATACCTCTGTAATGGTCACTGACGTGATTTGTCATATTTAGTACTTCTTCCACCCTCGCTTGACGGAAATCAACCTCGTTCATGGACACCGTGTCTACACCAACTCTGGCCAGCTGCCGCCTGACATTCGCAGCGAGGGCTATTCACGCTCGAGAGATGAAGACTCCAGCGATGATTCTGATTCAAGCTCAGAGGACGACAATCGCGGTGGTTCTTGGATGAGCGACAGGAGAGAACAGAAGTCGGCAAAGAAGCAGGCTAAGAGGGACAGGAAAGACGAGAAGCGGGCAACGAAGAGGGACCGTCGGGATAACAAGAGAAACGGTCGGGACACTAAAGATGAACCGTGGAAGCTGGTCGTTGCCTATAGGCCGCTCGCTGCGATGTGATTCTTGCCTGCTCTTCAATTTCATAGGGATATGTATATATCTATGTACACAGCAAACTAGTGCCAATGCATCAGGCGGTCTGCGCAGATCGTAGGTGCGCTTCTTCGTATTACAAGTTGCTCTCGTCGAAATTTCACCTTGAATGGGTTACAGAGAATAGTTGAGGTATCTTGATACTCGTATATGTTTACTAAAATAACACTTGCTCAGGCCGTCTTTATACTTTCGCTATGCTGAGCGCAAAGCATCGTGCAGAGTTTGAAGCTCTGAACGAGTAGCTGAAGCAGAGAGCAGAAAATGAGCAGCTCGAACGCAAAGTGAACGTCTGAACACCAAGCACGGATCTGAGAGTTCGAAGCGTTCATACTGTCCACAAAAGCTAGCCTCACGATGCTGGCCCTCATAAACACTCCCGGACGATGTCATGGTTGACGTTCTCCAGGCGGCCCACCCCCACCACCCGCATCGCAGGGTCGACGACGGCATGTACAATACCAAATCTCTTATTGCATTCAGCCAAGTGTGCCGCCGCTGGAGATGCCTCGCACTCGGGGTTCCCGCCCTGTAGACATGCATTCACGCCGCAACAGTCAAAACGGCATGTAGAAACGGTCAAGCTCTACATTGAACGCTCCAGGAACCGAACGCGCTCTGTGTCATCGTCTGCAATGTTGAGCTCGTAGAGAACATCTGTGCCTTCAATGCGACGTGGACCGAATTCCGTGTCACGGTCTTACCCCGGTTTCTGTCGAATTGAAAGGTGCTCTCGGCCCATTTCTATCATCCACCATCTCGTAACGGTGAGAACCAGAGTTCCTGTCGCTGCATAATTCCTACTACTCACAAAAATACGTGCAACGAACGTATGGCTTGCCGATTGTATCCCTGCGTAAAAGGTATAGGTAGCTACAAACATGTAAATCTAACTGCCACGCCCGAGGAGTGAATCTGGAGTACTCGAGTGGCGCTTGTTCTTTACGGTGTTGTATCGATATCGAAAGCGAGCCAACCAGCGATTAAGCGATCGCAAGTCTGTCACAGCCTTTCGGTACTGAGCTCCACAGCCTCGGTTGTGGCTCTGAGGATCACAAGCCTGGCGACATCCGCGAGCCGCAGCAGTGCGAATATCGCGTCAAAGGCATGACGGTTCGGGCGCCGGACATAGCGCATATATACATCAGCGCAGGAAACCGCTGCCCAGCACAAACTCAGCTGATCCTACGATGTCCTCCTACAAACATGTTTACCCTGAAGACGCACCTCCGCCTCCGTACACCGCGGATGGACGACAGAGCGCACCAACAACATACCCAGCGCAGCCCTCGCCTGCTCAGCCTACTACGTCCCCTGCCGGTAGCTCTGGCAGTTCTGGCATAGGCGGCCTCTTGAAGGGTCTCACAGGCCAGAGCCCGTCTGATCTCTTAAACCCGCCGCCTCCGTCATTTTCACGTCCTCCGCGGAGAGAGCTTCCGTATACGCCTTTCCCCCCGATGACCGCGATGGGCCTCGGTACGACGCTTGACAAAGGGTTTTCTGCTATACCACCCGACGCTGGAGTGCGTCCGCATCCGTTTGCGACACACGACGTATGCGAGGAAGACTGGACGCGGTTCGTGGGTGACCTCCGGAAAGCGGGCAAGCTCTCGCCGATGAACAGGATCGTCGCCGGCGTCGCACCTATGGCAATGGGCATCGGCCTTGCAGGTGGGCGCCCACTGTCGTCTGCATCTTCGTAAAGCCTAACCTAGACGCACTGAAAGGGTTCTTCGTCTCGAGAGCGATAGAAGGCCGCATGAAGGGAAGAACGAGTGCTCCAGCCACACAGATCGTGGACCACTGGAACAATGTACGTCGGCCGCGCTGTCTAAGCTTTTGCATCTAAGCACGTTTTACAGTACTTCTTCTGGCCGCGCGGGATGGAGGTGGACCTCATCCATGGGCAACGTGTCTACACCGAGCGTGACAGCATTCCCCCGGATATGGCCCGGGTAGGGTACATGCCCAGCGCGGCCAATGACTCTTCTGGCTCAAACTCGGAGGATGAGGACCGTCTTCATGGCGCCCAACCTGGCGCCATCACCGGTCGCAGAGCAGGGAGGCGAGCGAGGAGGGAGGAGCGGCGAAGCCAGAGACAAGAGCGTCACCAGACGAGGAGAGATGAACGCAGTGCCAGGCAAGAGCTTTGGAAGCTGCTTATCACGTATAGGCCGCCTGCGTGACTGTCCTTGAGTTCCGTGGAATAACTTTTCTGGTCAACATACCGCGGCTCCTGACCAAAACACTATCAAGTTGTATACATATACCCATACGCTTGGCCTACATGACCCGAGCTATCTCCATTGTCCATCATTAGTCGATAATCTTGTGTAAATAATTGCGGACATACGCGATGAAGTCGTAGCTAGAGCTAGTCCCAGAACTGTAATGATTCGTCGCATAGTAAAACATTAGGAGCATGTGTGTCTTGGTTCCAGCCATCATTCGGCTAATCGTCCGCGAGGCCGTCTATGACTCCGTGCAAGCGACGAGCTCGACGGGATATGTTGTACGAACTTGGCCTAGACCTCAAGCTCACCATGCACAGTGAATGGCTAACTATCGCCTGACCGAAGCACCAGTCGCTGAGTTCGCCCGCGCACCTTCGCATGCCCGAGTTCACCCTACTCCGTCTTTGAAGACTCGTAGAGGTCGAAGATAGTGTGCAGGATATCGAACACATCAGAACAGGCGAGCTCGAGCCCTTTCAAGTCGGGACGATACTAGTTTTTTCCTGGCACCTCTTGCGACAATGAACCGTACTATAGAGTGCACGCTGAAGCGTGGAATACGACGTCTGCGTTCCAGTGTCGAGGGGCGGCGCTCTGCAGAAGATGTGTGAAATGACCGTACAAGACGGATAAAATTCATGGTACGAGCGCGAGAAATTGGGCGTGGAATGCAGACTGTAGACAGAGATGTCCCGCCAATGGAAATTGCGCTGAGATCCACGACCTTTAGTGTCAGCCGAATTAGTGAAGACGCTTGCTGTGGCACTTGCAAGAGCTAGCTGGGGATGTGGTAAGCTTCAGCGCCGTGTGCCTGCGGAAGGCATCAGCTTCTGGCATGAAGCTGTTGTAATTGATCGCACGATCATTGGTCGGACCCCAGGAAAGGACACCGCCCTCCCGTTACCGAAGTGGGCGCGGAAGCGATACCTGGTTCTGCCCGTCAACGCGACATTGCCTCCGCCCATTTGCTATGAAGGTAGAGTTCTCGCTAGTCTTCGAGGCTATGCTATCCATCTGATCCATAATATTGCGCAGATGTACACCACTGGCAGCGCCCAGCGATTGCATAAGAGCTCAGAGGCCGTGATGCTGCTAGGCACAAACTCAACGACCACCTCACCGTCGTGTCGTTGCACACCATGGCCGACTCCAAGGAGCACTCTTTAGACGGGAAGACCCACCGGATGGAGTATAACTCAGAAGATGTACCTCCTGCGTACGAGTGGGAGGAGAAATCACCTTCAGGCAACCCTTTTCGGGCATCTGCGTCCGAGTCAGACCATGGCCTTGAAGGCGTGACTTCGGGAGCGAAGCGAAGCGCACACATGCCGCCTGCTGGGATGCCACCGCCATTCCCGTCCGAAACGTACGCGGACATATCGCACTCTGGGTACAGACACGATAAGCAGCCACTGTACTACGGGAATCAAGAAGGACTAGGTTCCAGGGGCGTGTCTCCCCTTCCTCCGTCACCCAATCCTTATGCAGCAGCGCCGGGCCCGTCGTGCACGTACGGTCAGCCGCCGTACGAGGCATCTGGCCCATCCCGCGGGTACCCCTCTTCGCCCGCGCCGGGCTTTGGCCCTGGAGGATCTGGTGCTGGTCGCGTGGGCGGATTCGGCGGCGGAGGCATGGGCGGTAGCATGGGCAGAGGCATGGGCGGATTCGGCGGTGGGCCTGCGGGTGGGGGCAGAGTCGGAATCATCGGTATGCTCGTGAACGCCGTCACCAGCGACAGCTCGCGCGACATGGCACAGCACCCACCGCCTCCGTCCTTCTCACGCTCGCCGCAGCCGCAGTTCCCGTACTCTCCCTTCCCACCACTCGTCGCGGCTAGCGTCGACAAGTCCCTCGACCACGGATTCCCGCTCGTCCCGCCGCCGAGCCACCTCCAGCCGCACCCATTCATGGCGCACGACGTTAACGAAGACGACTGGACGTCCTTCCTGGGCCATATCCGCCAAATCGGTGCCGTATCACCTTCTGGCTCGTCCGGGCAGGCTAATGTTGGTCTTCTTGGTGTGTATTGGCATCGTCAACTTTCCGATGTATGCTAATTTGCATGATTTTCGATAGGTATGCTTGTCTCCAAGGGCATCGATGCTGCTTTCAAGGGCGACACTAGCGGGACGGTCGCCCAGGTCATCGAGCAGTGGAACACGGTACGCATACACCCACCGTCTGTTTCTATAATGGTTGCTGATGTGATCTGCCGTGTTCAGTACTTTTTCCACCCTCGCTTGATGGAAGTCAACCTCGTCCGCGGACGCCGTGTTTATACCAACTCTGGCCAGCTGCCGCCTGACATTCGTACCGAGGGCTATTCACGCTCGAGAGATGAAGACTCCAGCGATGATTCTGATTCAAGCTCGGAAGATGACAAGCGCGGTGGTTCTTGGAGAGAACAGAAGCGGGCGGAGAAGCAGGCTAGGAAGGCGGAAAAGCGAGCTAGGAGGGAACAGAAGCGTGCAATGAAGAGGGAGCGGCGAGATAATAAGAGGAATAACCAGGGCGCTAGAGGTGACCCATGGAAGCTGGTCATCACCTTTAGGCCGCCCGCTATGATGTGATCTCTTCCTGTTCTTCCATTTTGTTGGGACGTGTCTATGTTCATTCACGCAGCAAATTGTCGTATCCAACTGGGTGGGTATTGCATAGGCTCGCGACCAATCTGCTCTGTGGTCGGCGGGACACGTACCGAGGGTGGGAAAGTGGTCAATTACGACTTCGGCACACTAGAGTGATCATGTTAACTTTGGCTAGGGCGACCGGTTTTGAGCCTAAGTATTGATGTATATGATGTTGTGAATCGTCCGTAGATTCCGCGAAGGAATTAGATGGACATTCAGCTGAATGCATGGTGAATATCTCCGGCGTTGCGTTGGACATCTTGAATGATGCAAGCTTCAACCGCCGGCATCACGTTGGCGGGGACAAGCGCTCAGTTGCTCCCGCCGTCAAGTGTACGCAGATCGTAATCTTGTGCGCTTCCTCATCTTGCCACTCTCTTGCCGCAGGAATTCTACCCTCGAATGGGCTACAGTGAGTGACTCAAGTATTTTGATGCTCGTATATGTTTATTAAACAATTGGATAATTCAGAAATCTGATATTGTCTTTTGCGATGTTGAGTCCACAGGACCACAAAGCGTCGCGAAGAACGTAAAACATTAAGCGGCAGTGTAAAAAGAGCAGCTCAGGTGCGAGAATGCGAGGCGTTACACATGCGTACGAGGGCACACTGTTTACTAAAGCACGCCTCGCGATTATAGCCCCATGAACATGCTTCCGGACGATGTCGTGGTCGATATGCTCCGGGCATCATTTCTCCACCACTTTCCGCATTGCAGGACCGACAATGGTCTCAACAGCGCCAACTTACCTACTTCATTCTGATCCTTCGTTGGAATTCTCTTGCACTCGGGATGTTTACCTTGTGGGCATGCGTCCACATTCCGCCACAGCGGTCCAAGGGATGCGCCGGGATGGTTAAGCTCCAGACCGGGTGCTCTCTGTGTCTTCCAAGTTTGTTTGCAATGTCGAATCCGCCGGGAACTTCTGCGCCTTCAACATGACACGAACAAACTCTGTGTTGCTGCCTAGTCTCGTTTTCCACCGAGCTGACGGCTGCTCTTAGTCCATTCGCATAGGTGAACCGCTGAATCGTCTACAGAACTTCTGTGCGTCCGCAATTCTCTATGTTCTTCTGTAAATGCACCCTTCCCTCTGGCGTAATTTGCGCGTCAGCTTTCCCATAATTGTTACTGCCTAGCATGGGCGTCCTGTTCTTCACTCACGGCTTCAAGAGAGTGGATCTCATCAACGCCCATACCTTCATACCGGAATCTGACGCCTTCTGCCGACTTACAGAGCTGAAGCTTGCCACATGCGCAGACATCTCGGAGCCGGTACAAATGCTACAGCAGCCGTTATCACTTGCCGGCTTGACGCTAATTGCTGTGAATTTACATCATCACGGCCCCAGTGCCATCGACCAGATACTTCTACCCCCAATCTGCCTCCCACGCCTCCACCTTCTTGCGCCCGTGGACAGCCACGAATTCAATCCGGTTGACTCGGTTATCTCATGTATATCACATGAATTTTCATCCCTCGAAACGCACGTTATCTCTGATGCAGACGTCGTGCTCCATGAGCCTCGAGATGGCCGGGCAGTAACAAGCCAACTTCGACCTCTACCAATCCTTGAAGATTGTCGTCTGGCAGCTGATCTTACCCAGACACCTCAAGGACGACTCGAGTCCGAGCCGGGGGAATTGTTGGCCGCGCTGTGCACGCACACCTACTCAGGCCATGCCCGCGGTGATATTGTTGCATTCGGCGTAGACATGCCACCCGTAGATGAGGTCCACCTCCGTCCCGCATGGCTAAAATGAATAACGTATCACGCATTTACATAAAATGAACGCAAAGAAGGTTCGGTTCGAGGACGAACGTAGTGAGAATGATCTTCTGCGTAGTTCAAGTTGGTGCGCTCTTCCCCCTCATCATGTGGTGCTCTATTGCCCTTGACAGAATTATCGTATCGCAATCAGAAAACAACCGAGCACGTAGTACTGAGACGATGACAGGTTACCGCGCACCGTTCAACTGTCATCGCACGGTGCTGGAATTCAAGATAGGGGGACATGAAGAATGCTGTTTCGGAATTTGTAGAACTCTCTTCTCCGGAGCACAAAAAGTGACGTCTGGACGTGACAAGTCTCCGTGATGGATATGCAGACACAGCTTCGATGCGCTGAGGCTTGTCTTCAAAGTTGATAGAACTTCTGTTTTCTCGTCTTCTTGCATCGCCATCTCGTAACGATAAGGACCAGAGCCCATGTCCAACGACTACACAGCCTAGCTTGTCCCACCGCTAAAAAAATTCATGCAGTGTATCTATGACTCGCTATTCTCGTCTTTGTGGTAAATGCATGGAATAGCAGACACATAATACATGATCGACCGTTACGTCCGATATGAAGAGATGAGCCAGCACCGAGTGGCGCTGATGCATTCTTCACGGCCTTGTACGCCATGCATTGGAAGCGAGCCGACAAGCATCGCAGGTCCTCCACAGCCCTTCGGTGCCGAGCTACACAGCCTTGGTTGTGACTCGGAAAACTACAAGCCTAGCGACATCGGCAAGCCGCAGCAGTGCGAATGCCGCGCGAAAGGTACGACGTCGGGTACCGGATATAGCATATACTACGAAGTTATAAACATGCGGCCAGAAGTCGTATTTCGACAGACCAAAACGATCCTACAATGTCCTCCTACACAGACTCCAAAGACGCACTTCCGCCTCCATACTACAACGCGGATGGACGACAGAGCGCACCGCCAACATACCCAGCGCACCCTTCGCGCACCCAGCCTGGCACGCCGCCTGCCGGTGGCTCTAGTAGTTCCGGAATAGGCGGCTTCCTGAAAGGCCTCTCGGGTCATAGCCCACCCGATCTCCTCAACCCGCCACCCCCATCGTTTTCGCGTCCTCTGAGGAGAGAGCTTCCGTACAATCCCTTCCCCCCGATGACCGCGCTGGGCTTCGGCGCGACGCTCGACCAAGGGTTCTCTACCGTGCCACCCACCACCGTGGTGAATCCACATCCGTTTGTGACGCACGACGTGTGTGAGGAGGACTGGACGCGGTTCGTGGGCGACCTCCAGAAGGTGGGCACGCTCTCGCCGATGAACAAGATCGTCGCCGGTGTAGCGCCTATAGGGTTGGGCATTGGCCTTGCAGGTAGGCATCTGCTGTTGTCTGCATCTCTGCGAAGCTTGACGCAAATGCGCCCAAAGGGATATTCGTCTCGCGGGCGATAGAGAGACGCATGAAGAGCAAGACGAGCGCCCCAGCCACGCAGATCGTGGACCACTGGAATAACGTAGGTCACGGTTGCAGACAGAGCATTTCAAGCCCTGACATCTGAGCGTGTGTTACAGTACTTTTTTTGGCCGCGCGGGATGCAGGTCGACCTCATTCACGGAAAACGCGTCTACACCGAGCACGACAGCATCTCCGCGGACATGGCTCAGGCAGGGTACGTGCCTAGCGTGGCCAATGATTCCTCCAGCTCGGACTCAGAGGACGACGATCGTCTCCATGACGCTCAGCAGGGTGCTCAACCTGGCGGCGCCGGCAGCCGCAAGGCAGAAAAGCGAGCTCGGAGAGAAGAGCGGCGAAGCCATAAACGAGAGCGCAAACAGGCGAAGAAGGATAAACGTAAAGCACGCAAGGAGCCTTGGAAGCTGCTTATCACGTATAGACCGCTTGCCTAACCCCCCTTGAGTTCCGCGGCGTGATAGTTGTGCTGCTGCTGACCAAAGCGCTATTGTTGCATATATACCCATATACTTGGCAGACTTGACACGAGCTAGTTGTTTTACCCGTTATTAGTTGATACCCACTGTATAGATGGTAACAGACATACACGAATAAGTTGCAGCTAGAATTGATCCCAGAACTCTAATGACCCGTCCCACGGCAAATAAATGGGAGCGTTCCTCTCATAGTTCCAATCGTCGCCCAGCCAGTCGTCCACAAGGTCGTCTGTGTGGGCGATCAACTCCACGGGGTGCGTAGCCAGGATTGTTTTCGCCTGCGGACTTAGCCGCTGCACGGACTTGGCCGAGAGCTTCACCGTGCGCAGCGGGTGGCCGATCTGCGTGCGGTGCTCGATGAAGAGGAGTAGGGTGGACTCGTGCATGTGAAGGCGCGCGGGTAGGGTCAGCGACCGAAGCTTTGGCCAGGCGACAATCTTCGAGGACTGGTAGAGGTCGAAGACAGCGTGCAAAATGCCGGGTGCGCCCGAACAGACCAGCTCGAGCTCTTCCAGGTCGGGACACAGCACTGACTTGCCTTGCTGTATGATGCGCGCCTCTTGCGAGAATGGACCATAGTGGAGGGTGTGTACAGACGGCAGCAAAGAGATTCGACTATCTCTGAGCTCATGGAACACGACGTCTGCATTCCAAATGACGAGTGTATCGAGAGATGGTGCTCCACGAAAGATGCGTGAAATGATCGTGACAGACGGATGATATCCATGGTAGTCCACGAGCGCAAGGAAGCGGAGGTGTGGGAGGCATATTGGATACGAAGATGTCCCGCCGGTGGCACCTGCGCTGTGATACAGGTCCGTGGTCTTTAGAGTCAATCGGGTCAGCGAAGACGTTTGCTGCAGCACTCCCAGCAGCTCGGGGATATCTACGCATATGACAAGCTTCAGCTCCGTAAGCCTACGGAAGGCGTCCGTCTCCGGTATGAAGGTACTGATGTTAATGAGATCAATGCGCTTGAGGTTAGGAGCGAAGAACCGGATGCCTGGGCCACGCATGTAGTCCTCATGGAAAAGGCGATGCGCGAAGTACTCTAGGCGGGGGAAGATGCATCCGCGGAGGGATCTGGTGACGTATGCCGCAATTTTTGCGCGAGAACTGTAGATGGCACAGTGCTTCCACCTGTGTGAATGGGCCAAGAGCACCTCCCAACACGACATAAACCGAGGCCAGACCGTGACATAAAATGTGCTCCACGTCACGTTGAAGTCCCGGAAATTCTCTACGGGCTCGACATTGCAGACGAATGACACGGAGAGCGCTCGGTTCCTGGAGCGTTCGATATAGAGCTTCACCATTTCTGCATACCTGTTCGATTGCTGTGGCGTGACATGGACGCATGTCCAGAGGGCAGGCATCCCGATAGCTAGGGATCTCCAGCGACGGCACACCTGGCTAAACGCAACAGGTGAATGGGTGTTGTAGAGACCGTCGTCGGCCCTGCAGTGCGGAAAGCGGTGGAGATATCCCGTCCGGACGATGCCAATCATGACATCGTCCGGAAGAGTGTTTATGGGAGCCAGCATCGCGAGGTCGGCTTTGGTGGATAGTATGGAGGCTTCCAGCTGTCGCACGCGTGCTTGACGTTCCGCAACCTCGCGCTCAAGCTGCTCCTTTTCTGCTCTCTGCTTCAACCATTCTTCGTTCAGTCCTTCATACTCTGCACGATGTTTTGCGCCCAGCATCGTACTTGGGGTATTTTCAGCATTAAATAGTATACGCAGGAATATAGGTACCTCTGTCTAGTGGGCAACACGGGGGATAAAAGCAGCGGGACGAGAAAGCGCTCAAGATTATGATTTGCGCAGTCCGCTTGATACATAGGTCCGCTAACTCTTGGCCTGAACGGAATGTGCGGTTCAATCTCCGCGCTGCTTCAAGAACACCAGACGGTGTCATGCTTTGCCTTTCTGAATGTGCTGTATTTGCGCTGAACCATACTTCTGCCCACTGGCACAACGTTCATAGATCTCGTTACGTCACTTCTGCGAATATTGCTGCTTCACCGTTGTGGTCGAGCTTGAGCGACCTCGGGGTCGTGTTGCTTTCCTGAAAGACTTTGTACGCGATCCCATCAGCAAGCACGAATCAGCCCAAGGGCCGTATAGAAGGTTGTCGCCTCTGCCACTTCTCCTTAAACGGTCTTGAGGCGTGTTGCCTCGTTCGTCGTTGCTCTGCTCCACCGATCTAGGATGTGGTAGGATAGCAAATGAACTAATGACGGTCCACTTCACAACAACCAGATCTGATTTGCTAGCGATCTCATGCGTGACACGAGGCCAAACCGTGCAGCTTCCATCTGATGGACGTGGCTGAGCTCCCACTACGCTGGCTCAGCAGAGCACGGCGTGTACGAGATGATACCAGTGCTTGAACTGACGCATTGTACAGAACCTTTTTTGTTCAGTCGAAAAGAGGATGAGGGTGTCAAATAATCGTGATGAAAACGCCATAGCCAATTTAAATCCGCATTTGTAACCAGATGCCGACCAAATCTGCCTTGACATCTCTGGATTTGTCTAAATGACGCTCGGTGAGTACCACGTCATCCTCAACAGGGTCTGTAGAGACTGATTACTTTCGCGGCACGAGTACTGTACTGCAGACTCACCTGGTACTGATGTCTTCGGGCCAGCCAACGCCGCGAGCAAAACCTTTACATGCTTGGTCGAACGGCAGAAGTCGGCGAATCGATGTCCTACCCCGAGAAGATGATGGAGACGTTGCCGGAGGAGCATCCCAATCAGGAGTGGGCTATAAATACACGTCTGATCACGGGAGGTCAGAAGATATCAAGCGACGAACCGATGAAGAGTAGAAGCAATCAAGCAAGGCCACGAGCAAGTCCCCGATGATAGAAGCATTGCTTGCGAGGGCGGCGCCGTACACCAGCAACGTACTGAAGCCGGCAATGAAGCCCTTCGGTTCCTCAGCCCCTTTGAGCCATTGCTTCGGCGTGACAACCTTGACGTCGTTGATGCAACCTTTTATGCGCAACTAGAGATCCTAGCTGAGGGCGAGCAAGTCATCCTCTTCCTTGAAACTATTCTTGTTCTGGCGCAGCTTGATGATGATCACAACGATATGGCGTTCCACATGTTATCAATCGCTGACTCATCACAGAAAGCGCGTGTCTAGCCAGCATCTAGCGAGGTCTAGCAGTCTTACCCTCCATGGACGACGGTGAGGAGCCTGTATGTAGCCTTGCTCCGAGAGGTAGGTTATGATTATGCGCACGGCCTCGGTGACGTCGCACTCGTCCGTCCTGATATGAATATCGGGCTTCTCTGGAGCCTCGTACGGCGCCGAGATGCCCGGAAAGTCTAACGCAGCGTCAGCTTGTCGCTCTCGTAGTGTCTCGCGCACGCACTTTTGATCTCGCCGGCGCGCGCCATCTTGTAGAGACCCTTGGGGTCGCGTTGCTCGACGACGCTGAGCGGAGCATCGACAAAGACCTCGATGAAGCCGAGGCCTACCTTCTCATGCAGCTCGCGCGCGATGGCGCGTTCGGCCTTGTACTGGCCAATGAACGCCGCGCAACAGATACAGGCTGCCTCTGCGAAGAGTTTCGAAACCTATGTTGGAGCGCGTCAGCGTTAAAATCCTGTTTATCTCGTTTATCTTTTAACGAGGGAAGTAGAATAGAGGAAGAATAGAGGAAGAAAACGGAGCAAAGGGACGTACTTCGCCAACCCGGCGGACGTTCTCGATCCGCGACTTTTCGTCAAAGCCGAGGTCCCTGTTGAGCCCAAAGCGAATGTTGTCGCCGTCCAAGCGGGAGCAGAACTTCTTCAGGTGCAGGAGGTGCTGCTCCAGTGCGCACGCAATGGTCGACTAACTGGCACACGCAGTTAACCTCCAAACCCTCTTGTAGGTGGGGGAGGCGCACCTTGCCGCTGGCACTGAGCCCGGTGAACCATATCGTGACGCCCTTCTGGCCCAGGATGCGAGTACGCTCGGGACAGTCAACAGAGCCTGCAACCAGTACTCAGTCTCGCGGTCAGTGATGCCACTGATAAGATTGAAAACACACCGGGGTGGAAGGTAATGTTCGCCGAGGCAGGTTCGACAGTCATTCCCTGGGATTTATTGTAGAGCGTACAAGGGAATGAGAGGCCGAGAAAGCTCGACAACTTTGCTGAGTGAAAGATCTGACCATCGTGGTGAGGGTATAAGTACAGCGCGATACCCGCGACGTCTGAGCGTCAACGCGGGCTCATTATGCTTACATAACTTCAGGACTTGATAACGACAAATAGAAAGAGCGAGAGGAACGGCGGAACTAAGGATAAAACAGGAGAAGCGGAACGAAGGAACACAGGAATGGGATGCAGTGCAGTGCATAATGCAATGCGGTGCACAATGCACTATAGCCACCTCGCGCCCTCCCCTTGGGTTGTTTTCTTAGTCTCTGAGCCTCAGCTCTACGGTCATTGTGCCCATACGCAAAAAGCGACCAGCCACAACGAAGTTGCAGCTAGCAGTTAGTACTAGTCAGTCGCAGCTGGCATTGCGAATACAGCTCGTGTAACATGCTAAGGTATCAAACAGATCACAGCCTGTGCATATGCACATATTCAGAGACTTGGATGAGAGCAGCCAGTATATGCGAAAATCTACGGAAAAGGCTACACTATACCCGAAGGCAATACCTCCACCTGATAAACTGCACTTGAAGTTTCGCTACCAGACAGCCCTTTCTCCGAGTTCTTCTCTTTGTTGATACCCAGCTCCGGCGTGCCTCCTGGCAACTCGAGCACTTCATCTGATGGTTAAAGCAAGTGAGCGATCATGTGCTTAACTAAATGGGTCCCAAGTGCACTTACCGCGCTTCGCGTCGACTTCGAGTTCTGGCTCGGTGATCATACCCATACGCAACGCCCACCCTGAGTGTTTGGTCTCCCGGATCATGTGCCTGACCATGTCAAGCCTGCGCTCATACCGTACAGGTTCGCCTTCGACAGCGACAACACGATCGAATATATGCAGAGAATGCGTCGCGGCGTTCGCCAGTCCAAGGACACCGGCATTGAACAGAAGGAGACAACCCACGAGCAGGCTGCCGACGGTAGTGGTGTTCCCAGCCACTGCCGCAGAGCCATACACCAGCAGAGTCCCAAAACTCACGGCGAAGCTCTCCACAGCCTCTGGCTCTCTCATCCACTGCCCAGCGGTGACCTGCTTGATGTCGATCACCCCTCCTCGCATGCGGATCCAGCGACACTGACTGAGGTCAATCATAATATCACTTTGGGGATCGCCCGCCTTCTTCAGGTGACCCTTGAACCCGTACTTGTCCTGCCGACGCCTGATGACACACACGTTGAGCACGCGTGCGAGCATCAGCATGCCCAGGACTCCTAGTGCCCACCAGTCCTGGATAACGCCGAGAAGGACGATGACTGTGATAGCCGCGGCGATGCCGAAGAGAAAGAGAACAGAGGCCCAGAATTCGGAGCGGAAGAGTTCCCCGAAGAGGCCAAAACGGTGGGTCGTCTCTCGCGAAACACGGATGGTCGTGAGGTGGCCTGGCTTCCCGACGCTCTGAAGAAAACTGACGGTAGCCGGATTCTCGATGCGGAAGGTCGAGCAGTTGGGCTTATGCATCGTCCCCGCCTGAGGGTACTCTCCGCCACTGATTTCGGCGGCATCTTGCTGGCGGTGGATGCCGGGTGCGAGGTAGAGGACGTCGAGGACAGAGGCGCTGCCGATGAGGGCCGTCCGACGCGCGATCGACTTGAGGTCGGCGAGGGCTATCAGGCCAGCAGCATCGAGGCGCAGGAATCCGAGAGGTCCCTTGTGAAACATCTGCAGGGAGCCTTCAGTGACATTGCAGGCGATGGCCGCCAGCTCGTACCTGTCGTTGTGCGCGAAAGGATGGACATGCTCCTCTGCCGCCGTGCAGGCACTATCATAGTTCATCCTGACGGCATTAGCCGTGGCGCAGACCACGCACATCCTCGGGGCCGTGCAGCTGCGGTGCACCGCGGGATTGACAGGTGTCGAGAACCTTGAGGATGCATGGCGCTACGCGCGGAAAGCGTCTGACACTTCAGTGTATTCCGGGCTTTCAATGCATTTAAGTCTTCCATGCATCACTTTCCCAACATCGAATGCCCTACTGTGCCCGACCTTCACCTCGGTAACAGGGCCCGTTTGTCCAATCGCAGCCCAGCTTAACACGAGGCTTTTCACAGGGACAGCATTTGGTCAGTTAGGAATTCGTCGAAATTAGTGCCTTCCGATGCTAGAATGAGCGGCTGTCGGGTCAGCCTCCTGGCCTGTCGAACTCTACAACCGGACGAAAGGACAAAGCAACCAGAAAAGCCCATCAGGATGGGAAGCGTAAATTTGTTCTTGAGAACATTTAGCTAGAAGTGACTAAATAAGGAACTATTATCTTCTCGTGGCAACGAAATTAAGTAGAGTATTGTGAAAGATTGCTAAATAGCGCTCAAAATCTGGTAGAACTTCGGTTTGTCTCGGGTTCAAACAGGATCCGGAGAAACTTGTGCAACCAGTTTTCCCAGTCAGAAGCGGATGAGTGACTCATTGACCCGGAAGACGAAGGAAGCTTGCACCGCAACTGTGGTAATGGTCAAAACACAGCACTTCCGCGGCGTTCAAATCTCGCAACTACTATAGCACTAATTTTATTACGGCCCATGCGCCAAGGCTCTGAGGTCGTGGATAGTCCCTGCCAACTGGTCTCCCAGAGGCAGACGCTTACGGAGCTGCCAACGGTCCTGCGATAGAAATCATCGCCGCCGACATCCTTCGCATGCGCATCTTTCGCCCTCCTGGTCCCACAGAACACGTATTTTGAGGATGACGGTATTCAGCAAGCGAGCTAAAACGAAGAAGAGTTCGCCAGTCCACGGTCTTCACTGTGAGTGAAGGGCCGTATTGGTGTCGCGTCCCAGTTCAAGGAATTTTATAATACATACCTTGCTATATGATACATGATATCCCGTCCCAGGTCGTCACTACATAAAAAAGAGAAAAATGGGTGCGACTTATTCATCCGAGAGATCTAGTTATTCAGCTGTTGCCAGAACACGTGGAGCTGCTGAAGATTGTTGATACAGCAGGATAGCTATACACTGAAGAGTAAGTACTACTATCCGATGGTGCCCATCCAAGTCTGCCGCACTCGAGCGCGAGCAAGTATGCACAACTCGTTTCGGAATCTCGTGTTGCCGTGAGATATTTGCAGGCCTATTTCACGACACTAAGCCCAGCTTAACGTGCTGTCGACAGTCGCGAGCTGGCACTATAAAGCTCTACATCGTGAACGCTTCACCACCGAGATGAAGCAGGGCTATACCTACCATATTGACGTTTCCATCCGAATTATGCAAGCGGCCAATGGAGGCGGGGTGGCCGGGACAGACGCAACTCCGTCGCAAAGATCTTATCGAACATGGCAAGATCAAGATAAGATCGCACGCAACCACCCACTCTGCTAAAACCTTTGCACGAACTTGAGAACACTCATTTTGCAATTGTTCGACAAGGCAGCCACTCTTAACTAAGTGCGCTCAGCCATATCATCCTCGCCTCAGATACTGATGGCAATCGCGCACTCCCATGCTGTGGATTATTCCTGAATGCAGGTACCCGCAGTCGCTCGTGCCAGCACGACGGAATTGTCGCGGTTGTAGAATACAGTAATGAGACCTGATGAGACGCTTCAAATATTTACCCTCGAGCTGCGGATAGCAATAACAGTGACACGCGTCCCAAGATGAAACAGTCCGGCCGTCGAATCTCGATCTATCAGCATTTATAAAAACGCGGGTGCAAGGTCTGGAGAAGACCGATAGACACCCTAGGGTAGCACGATGTCGCCCCTCCCTACACGCAAGCTCGGCAAGGATCAGGTCACAGCGGTCGGCTATGGTGCTATGGGTCTCTCAGCCTTTTATGGCACGCCAAAGCCTGACGAGGAACGATTCAAGGCTCGTCTCACAGAGGCGCTGCACAGACTAACGTGCTGACGATCCGCTAGTTCCTAGACGCATTATACGAGAGCGGGTGCACGTTCTGGGACACGTCGGACGCGTACAAGGACAGTGAGGATCTGCTGGGAGAATGGTGCGCACGAGTGTCTTGTCGCGGCAAGTACTAGGCTGTTGATTCCTCTGGCGCAGGTTCGCGCGTACTGGAAAGCGCAATGAGATTTTCTTGGCGACAAAGATCGGGCTTACGGGCAACCCGGCCAGGCCTGTGAACGGGGAGCCTGATTACATCCGCAATGGACTCCAGAAATCCTTGAAGAGGCTGCAGACGGACCACATCGACCTGTGGTACATACATAGGGTCGATAAAACCGTCCCAATTGAGGTGCGCCTCCATTTATTTTAGCGCGTCACTTGGTCTTGATCCTCGCATGGTACAGGTCACTATCAGCGTAATGGCAGAAGAGGTCAAGTCAGTCTTTCATCCAAGGTGCTTGCTTTTCGGACTAGCACACTAACCACCTATCCTAGAGCGGGAAAAGTGAAGTACCTCGGCCTCTCAGAGTGCTCGGTCCAAACCCTGCGGCGCGCACACGCCGTGCACCCGATCACCGCGCTCCAGATCGAGTTCTCGCCCTTCACGCTCGACCTCGAGCGCACGGGGCTCATCGGCGCCGCGCGCGAGCTCGGCATCACCGTCGTCGCATACGCGCCGCTCGGTCGCGGGCTGCTCACTGGCCGCTTCGTGCGTCCCCACTGCCCTCCGCTGCGCGACGCACCTACTCATCCGCAGAACGTAGAAGTCGCCAGATGACTTTGAGCAGGGCGACTTCCGCCGGGGGGTCCCCAAGTACTCGCACGAGAACTTCCCGAACATCCTCCGCGTCGTCGACACGCTACAGGAGATCGGCACGCGCCATGGCGCGACGCCTGCGCAGGTCGCGCTCGCGTGGGTGCTCGCGCAGGGCGAGGACTACATACCAATCCCAGGCACGACGCGCGCTGAGGTGCGTTTTCTGCTACTCATGTCCAACATTCAGGATGCTGAGCAGTACGGCGGATAGGGCCTGCACGAGAACCTCGGCGCCCTGAGCGTGACGCTCTCTTCCGAAGAGGTTACCAAGATCAGGAAAGCGGCTGAGCTTGCGGACGCGACGTTACGGGGAGAGCGGTACCCGCCGTTCCTCATGCAGCTGCTCGCTGTAGATACGCGCCCGTTCCAGAAGTGATGCAGCCAGCTAGATGAATGCGAACGAGGCACTCCTGTGTTATAAAATGACTGGTATTGCAGTATAAGTCGACACATCATATAAGCGACCTGGAAGAGCGAAGTTATCGCGGATGGTGCGGAATGAGCTTGCCGCGCTTGAGGAGCACGGTGCAAGCCATTAAGAGGCAGGCGAAGCCGGAGAATGTCACAGTCTGAATACAGGTTTAGCGACGCAGAGGCCACGTGGAACAAAACGACCTACTCCTGCGAATATGGCAGGCTTCCACCACGTGTTGGAGTCGCCGAGCAGGGCACCGGCAATCGGCGAGCCTGGTCAGACGGTGTTTAGTATGATGTGTAATTGTCAACGCGCTGCCTATTTACCAATTAAACCACCGAATGCTGCTGCTGCGAATGCGACCCCCATCCGCGCTCTATGAACACTGTCAGACAGCATACCTACTCAGAGAGACCAAAATACCCCTACCCAATTTCGCCAAAGTTGTCTGCCAGCACCGCCAGCACCGGGGCATTCAGCGCGATATCTACCACGGCATCAGCAACCCGGGCTAACTCTTGAGTCAGAGAGCAGGACTTACACGATCCAGCAAAGAAGCCAAAGAATATTGCGACGAGTACGACGCTCGTGACGGTCTTTATGCCGATCATGGCCAAGATGACCGCGGAGCAGCACATGGCGGAGAAGGTGATCCCGATAGGCCCGCCGATTTTTTGTGCTACGAATCCGGAGGAAATTCGGCCGACTAACGAGGAAAAGTTGAGGATGACGAGCTGGTTGAGGATGGGCAGTTAGAGAGATAGGTGGTAAGAGGTACATGGAACGCACGCAGTAGAAGGAAAAGTCCTTGCTCAAATTGTGCTCAGAGGCGTCAAGCTGGAGGTAGTACAACGGATAGTAGAAACCGGTGGTTACCAAGAAGAGCCTGCAGTCACTTGTGAGCACGCCGCGCGGAACATAACACCGATGATCCTTACCCAGCCGACGTCCACACGTAGGCACTATCCCTCGAGAACTTCTTCATTGCAGGTATGAGCGGCATTGTGTGCGCAGGGGGTGGTAGACGCGGTTTCATGAGGGCGATCGAAAGCAGGAGCATGACTGTGACGAGCCCCGCACTCGCGCGCACAGAGTTGCCGAAGCCAAGCGACGAGTTAAGGGTGTTGTTGAGCATGATTGGGTGGATGATCGAGCCGAGCGAAGAGCCCGCCGCGACGATGGACATTGCGAGTACGCGCCGCCTGTTAAAGTAATGCGAGATAACGGCGATTGAGGGAATGTAGAGCAGCCCGGCGCCGATGCCTACACAGACGCCTTGGCTGAGGAAGACCTAGAGTGCAGCGGTGAACAATGAGGCGAGGGCTGTGCAATTGGTGACATACTTGGTAGAACTGGTTCGGTTTTGCAAGGGAAAGCATGAACAGACCGAGTACGAGGAGGAAAGAGCCGAGATAGATTGCGAGCTTGCTGTGACATTGTACTTGCTGTAAGTGGAAGTCGCTAGTGGATGGAATTTATACTTACAAGTGCCCACGGTCATATAGCTGACCGGCAAAGATACCGAACCCAACAACGATAAAAGCATTTACGCTGCCTATCCATCTACACAGAGATCTTGATATCATCTCCGAGCAAGACGACGCATGATGATTGCTCACGATATTGTCGAGGCGGTCTCCTTGGTCATATATACTTGCACATAATAATCTAAAAATTCTGAGACAGCTGCCTCCATAAGAACACGCCTGAAGACACACCTTGATAAACACCGAATGAAGTCGTGTAACTGGTATGCATATTTAGCTTCTGGGATACGCTTCGACTTCAACAGGTTCTACTGACCCAAATCCACAAAACTGTATTAAAAATCTGTGCAGTCCAGGACATGAGCCGCAAGACCGCAACCCGGCGAGCCAAAGAGACGTACGCTCCCGCTACTGTAGCCCACCCCTGCCAACCACCCTCTGGGAAGTCAGTCCTCGGCGCCTGAGCAACTTGCTGTGTTTCTGGATCGCCAGTTTTGGTCGTCACCATGCCTGTTTCGAACTCAGCCTTTTCCTCGACCTCCTTCTCCTCTATTTGAGAACTCCGCGACGGTGCGAGGGTCGACCCTACGGTGTGCTCCTCTGTGACTTCGCCCATCTCAAGTAGTCTCGACTGCACGGTTCTGCGTGCTTGCTGCTGGCCCGAACCACGCTTCAGATCTTCTCGAGTCGCACTGCAGAACTTTGCGGACAATGCGGTCAGCAATGAGAAGCTAGGAACACGAATGCACCAAGCACACCTATGAATTCTGTACAAATTTTGAACAAGCCCTGGTGATTCAGCCACGGAGCACCAGTGATTCTACCGTTAGAGTTGCGCCGACGGTCGGCCTCCGTCAATGTCAGTGCGCGCGGCGATAGCAGGTAAGCCTATCCAGTGTTCGCTGCTCGCAAGGCCGAAGTTGAGAGCGATGATAGCGAAGCAAGGAAGAAGGTGCGGTGTGGCTCGTCATGCGAACCTTGCATATCGCACGGCGGTACGCTATTAGGCGAAAGGAGGGATCAATGCGAATGCAACGGCTGCCTCGGAGCACACAAGCCACCTCTCGGGCAAAGTGTGCTTACGAAGGCCGAGACAAATCAGTGATCAAGACGGAGAGGTCTCAAGCGGATGCCAACGTCGAATCATCAACGTTTCAGCTCGCTCTCTCAGGCTGCACACATGGGCAACAAGGGGCAACAATGCGAAGGGCGTCAGGGACCCGAGCTTAGCAGGCAGGTGGATGGGGCAAGCTTTATTCGCCGATCACTGAAATTACCTTTGCTCGACGACGCTCGACGCCGTCGTCAACGAGCGGGAGATTTGAGCGCTTGAGCGCTTGAGTCTTGGTTCCGGTAGCAGAGGAAAAATAGGGCTGAGGCGGATGCTGACACAAGACGATGCCCGGATTTGTAGTCCCGGGGCTGCGGCGCGGATCGATTCCCCCGGATATCCAAGAAATACAAAGCTTGAGAACAGCGATTCAATTGAGTCTCAAGCAAGGTCCAGGCAAGATCCTGAGGATCTGCGAGTGAGCTCATGTTCTGGGAAACGTCGTAAGTTTGCGGTGGAAGCCCAACAGAGTGTGATGGAACTTTTTACAGCACTAGTCCACCATCGTAGCATGTAAACCGTCGCAAAACCTTCGAGATCAGATGCAAGCATCGAGGATCACACCTAGTGATGGTTGCCTCCAAAGGGGAACTGTATCCAGGAGCAAAGAGTTAACATTAATGCATTCATGGATACAACAGTGCAAGGGACTATTACGACGTGCTTAAAATACTGATATATAATACCTACACTTGTTGCAGCAAACTACGAAGCGGACTTCGACGTCGCTGCTGTTGGGCTCGCAGTGGCCGCAGCAGGGGCAGCAGAATTATTCTGTGGCTGTGGCTGAGTTTGCGCCTGCGCCTGCGTCGCCGAAGCAGGGTCGGGCGGCTGCACCCTCGCAGCAAACTTCTCGAGCCAGGTCTTCTTCCGGGCGTTTTGCGCTCGAAGTCTCTGAGAAACCTCAGGAAGCTCTTCAGAGGGACTGTGCCGCCAGAGCAGGTCTTCCGTGCCTGCGACATAGAAGAGGCGGTATGTGCGCGTGCAGATGCGAATTGCAAGCGCGTCGTCGCCCTCGATTTGATCAGTTTGGCCGGGTCTCAGCGTCCTGTAGAGGCGAGTTAGCTCTGGGCGCCTATGGAAGGACAAAATGCTCACCGCTTGAGGAAAGGCTTGCGAGCGACAGGCAATGTTAAGCCGGCCGTGTCGCCAGGCTGGACATCAATCAGTATCTGTTCTTCGCGCATGAAGCCAAGAACTTACCGAGACATAAGAATCCATATAAGCCTGCCAACGCCCTGTCTGCACCTCCGAATCGTCGAAGCTCGCATCGTCTTTCCCAAGCACCTGAATCGTCACTATCTTCGACTCTGGCAGCTGCAGTCTCGTCGTGTGAATATCACCACCGCTTTCAGATCTAATGGAGAGAGCGTACCCAGACCATCCGGAAGAGATTCTCATCGGGTCCGATAACCTTCTCGGTCGCACGCCGCAGGTTGGTGAGATCCTGTGTCGTAGGGCGGGGGAGGTCGCGTTCGCGCCGGAGCTGATCGAACAGGTCGAGACTCTTGCTATCCAAGAGGATCGTCTGCACCTGCTTGACGACTGCACCAGCGACCTTGTCGATCGTGAACATCTTGTACCCGTGCTACATCACCGGTCAACTCGTCTGACCTTGAGTAGGACAAGATAGAACGTACCTGGATGCCAAACATGTACCGGATCTGGTCCTCAAACGCACCCTGCTCAAGCTCGTTATCGAACAGCCTCTCGCACGACTCGAGCATTAGCTCGTAGAAGTGCTCAGCGTCGTTCACGCGGTCGCCGAGCTTCGTAACGTCTGCGAGCATGCCCAGTCGGTCTGCTAGCGGGGTGCTCTTGTACGATTCAGATGGCTCAGTCGCTGTCTCTGCAGCCAGGTCCTTGAAGAGGTGCAACCGCGAGTACAGTACCTGCATGGCCTGTCAGAATTGTTGCTATGAAGCCGGTCGAGAGCGGAGACTCACCTCGAGCAGTCGGAAGAGAACATAGAAATGGGTATTGCTGAAAAATGTCCCCTTGCGCATGGGACGCGTATCCGTAGGGCTCGGTGGAGTCGAGGGTATCTCTCCATTGGCCACTGGCGATGGCTCCCGTTCGGGTAAGGGGGCGTCCGCGAGGGCGGGGGAGGCAGGCCTTGAAGACGTAGGGGAAGTAGCTTCTTGTGCACGCGTCCGCCGACTGAACTTCGCCTGCTCGCTCTTCAGGAGCCGCTTGCGGAGGTCCCCGGCACCGTTTTTGCCGGGCCGCCCGCCGCGCGACGAGACGCTCGCGGCGTCTGCATCGTCCATGGGCACGTCCAGCTCGCCGGACTCGCCGTCAGCGCCGTCCTGCTTCGGCACGAACACCACGTTGAACGCGGGCGGGTCCACCATGAGGAAGAGCGGGACGAACGAGCGCAGGAAGCTCTCGATCTTGCGCCGGTCTGTGAAGCTGATCTGGCCCTGCGTGCGATCCAGGAACGAGCATACGAGCTTGAGCACGTCTTGCAGCATGTCGACGTCCTCGATGATATACTCGAGTTGGTGCCGCGGGTACGTCCGCGCGAAGAGCGGGTCAACGAGCGCTGCCCGCTTCGTCATTTGCTCGTCGCGAGCCGCCTCGATCTGCGAGACGAATGCTTTGGGCGTGAGCGCCTTCTTGTCGGTGGTCTTGAACGTGATGCCCTGGTGGTCGAGCGACTTATAATAGTTGCGCGCGTCAACTTCTTTCCAGACCTTGTTCCATTCGCGCTGCGCACGCTTCCATTCATCGTGTTTCTGCTTCAAACGTTGGAGCACGAGTGGGATGGCGACCACAGGTACATCCTGCATCGCCTGGAAGACCTCGACACCAGCTTCGCGCCCGTATACCTTCTTGATGACGCGGAGGTGTATGCTCTTCGCAGCACCTTGGAACTGCGGTCGATATTTATATGTCGCCTTCTCCTCGGGACTCATCTGGTTGATCTTGCTGTTGAACGGTTCGAGCGCCTGAATGGTCCTATGTATCGCTTCAATGTGGAAGTCGTACTCATGGCGTTCCTCTTCGCTTCGATGCAGAGCCTCCTCGTACGCGTTCTTCTTGTGTGCAAGGAACCCGGCGTCTTCACTGGCGAAGCTAGGCTGGGACACCCAATCGTCGTTCAATACCGACTTGCACATCTCGTCCCGGCCAGAGCACACAACATTCGTCTCCTATGAATCAGTCAATAATCTTGTAAGCTTGGGTTGGAATCAAAATCACGTACGCTGCCGGGCAGCTTTCTGTAGCTACCATGACGAAGGCTGAGCTGGTTCCGACTCGGTCGATCAAGCACACCTGTCGGTCTTGTCCAAACATCCTCCGAGCCAGCATACCGCTCTCTCCGATCGTCCCAACCTAGAATCTCCCTAAATTGCGCCATCAGTTCTCCTTCGCCAAGGTAATTCCGAGCTTCGTGGACGAGTCGGGCCGTGTCGATGATGTCTTGCGTAAACAGGTTGACAAGCTTCAGAAACTCATTGTACGTCTCCCGGTTCTCCAGTACCCGCTTAACGCGATCGAAGAACTGAGCATCGTCGTATCGTGGTGGTACTTGTGAATGGAGGGAAACAGACTGGATGCCGTTGGGGGCCTGCTGAATCTGGTTATGTGAGAGCTGTGTGTGCATCTGGTTCGCTGCCTGGGCGTGCGTGCGCATAGGTGAAGGTGGTATGGCTTGAAGCTGTGCGAGAGACGGCGAAGGAGCTTCACTCGTGACATGCTGCTGTTTGGTCCTCTGCGTGAACCATCAGCTTGATTGACACGTGCATGAAAAGTATATATGCGCACTTTGCTAGGCCCAGGCTTTGGAACGATCTCCTTATGCTTGTCCTTCTCCTGCTCTCCCTTGTCCTTCTCTGCCGGCTTGCGCTTCCTCTTCTGCGGGACCGAAGACGAGCCAACTTTGGTCGCCGCACCGCTGGAAGCACCATCTTGCTTCTTCCTGTGCCTAGCTTCCAGGTGAAGCGGCGTGCCTTCCTCCATGTCGTCTAGCCTTGCGACTGTGCGCTGCTGAAGATTTCGATCCGGAAGAAACTGATAAAAGCCCTTCATCAGGTCCTCATCGGCCTTAAACAACCTCTCAACGCGCAAGAGAACATCTTCCTGATACATCAAAGCGTTCAAATGGACATGCTAACAAAAAGACATCAGCACAACGTACGCCAGCGAGTTCGTCTGGTGACAAAATCTCCAGGAACGCCTTGTACTTCTGAGGATCATTGGCGTAACGGTTCTTCACTCTCTGTACGTATGCCAGAGCCCGTTCAATATCCTGCTCTGCATCCACTGCGCCGGGAGCTGCTATGACTACGTCGCCAAGCATCGAAGGTCGAGGAAAGGGTTCACGGATGGCTTGCGTGGTTGTTCCGGCCGGAGTTGTCACCGTGATAAGATCTGAGTTATCTCCATCGGTGGTGCATTCGATTCGATAGCCGGCAGGCAGGAAGGTGTTGAAACCCTGAATGAGCGTAGGATAGCCACGGAAAAGGGTCGAGACGCGCTCAATGACACCTGGAGTGTCAATGCTGGAGACTTGTAAGCGTTTGCGCAGTGTATAAAATAAATATACGCGCACAATTGGCTCTTAAAATCCTTCATGATGTCCAAGAATCGGTTGTAGACATCGGACTGGTCTGCAAAGGTTTGCTTGACACAGTCCAGATAGCCCAGCGCGTCCGTCACGTTCAGCGGCCTTGCCATAGAGTCCTCAGACGGAGGAACAACCGAAGCATCTTCAGGATGCGTTACCACAGGGTCTGCGGCGAGCGGGACCGCGTCTGCTGGTGCGGAGGACGCGGGAGGTGGCGAGGACTGCGGTGGCCGTTCGGCGGCGACGGGCTTCACATCCTCCGTAGCGGAAGGGAAAAGTTCGGTTTTCGGAGGGTTCTGCACATCGTCGGCGATGTTCTGCGCACTGCCAGAGGGGTTGGCGTCATCGCCGGACATGGCGAGCAAGACTGGATAGTGGTCCGTGCGCGAGTGGGCAAACTGTGATCTTTGATCCGCATCACGTGAGACCCTGGCGATCGCCGCCGTTGAGACTTGTATTCCAAATATGGCAGCTGCTTATCCTTCACCCGCTCCCACGCCCGTGATTATGCCAGTCAAGAGAAGCGGGGGCATCCCCCAAGCCCCTCTCTCGAGGTTATATTTAACGAGCTTAGAGGTTTGTTTGTTCTCTAACATCTTCCGAAGTGCTTGGTTTGACCGCCTGGAGACAGTGCCAGGAAACTCGCGCGATTGATTCCCTTGTTTCTGCAAATCCACCTTTCTGAATGACACTCTTCATCGGCGATGCGTCTGAGGCAGATCTCAGAAGTTCTACAGCCAAGCACATCAAAAATCTGCGGGATGCTCGAGGACTCGAGGACGGGTCCCTCGTCGAATTCTTCGAGCATGTTCTTCGTTGGGACACTCGCTGCGTCTCGGAACAGGAGTGTCTGCAGTAAGACTGGTTTAATCCGGTTCATACCACCTTGTTTACGGGGAATAGGTGGAGGTCAATGGGCGACATCTCCTGCGATAACGCCATAGAAGCGTTAACCCAGGAGTCAAGCAGCACAGGGAAGGATCTCCTGGAGACCCTCCAGGAACACGTCAAGAACCGCTCTGATTCTAATGCAGCCACGGATTTCCTTGTAGAAATCTCACAGGTTCCGCCCACAGGCATCCGAGTCAATACCAAGGATGTCCTCCTCGCTAGGACCTTCTTCCTTGACTACTCCGTCCAGATCATGCAGGCTCTTTTGCACTACAGCCTGGCGGGTGGCTTCGCAAGGTGAGCGTGGAATCATAGTCACACATACAGTCACATTCTAAAACCATGATCTATTAGCCCGCGTATAGTGAAAACTCTGCGCGCAGTGTCGTACTTGATGACCCCAGAACGCCAAGGCAGCGACATAGAACAAGAGTCCAAAGCCGCAGACGATCGCACTTTCTCGCGATTGCTCGAGACGATGCAATTCTTTCTGGATGTCATGGGATGTACCGTGGTGTCAGCAAATGCAGAGAGGGACGTTAACGAACACATGCCTGACTTGTACCTGCTTCCAGGAGGTGACGGCTGGAAGGCGTGTATTAGAGTTAGGATGCTACATGGCGTCGCCAGGAGACGAGCGAGGCAACGGCTAGCACGAGAGCTGGGTGGATGTTACGACGAGGCGGCCGAGGGCGTACCCATCAGCCAAGAGGACATGGCCGCGACGTGAGTTCTTTTACGACATGAAAGCTCAGCATCCCAAACAATTGATGCCACACCAGGCTAGCATCGTTCTCGACGGTACCAATATGGACCTTAAAGCGACTTCACCTACACCCGGACCCTGAGCAAGTCCGCGCATACCTCGGCGTCTGGCGTCACATCGGCTTCTACCTTGGCGTCTCTCCAGAAATTCTCGCGCGGTACCTCAGCAGTCCGGATGCAGCAGACAAGTTCCTCGCCTCGGTGACGCTCGACCTATTCTCCTCGGGCTCCCCGCTCGACCCGCGCACGATCCCGACGCTCCCGATTCTGCGCGCAGTGTCGCACCGCCCGCCGCGTGCGTCGTCCCTCGCGCACAACTGTGCGCTCACGCGGCACCTCGTCGGCGACGCCCTCGCGGACTACCTCGGCCTACCGCGCACGCCGCTCCACATATACGTCAAGCTGCGCTGGTCGCTCCTCGTGCAGAGCGTCCCTGTGCTCTTCGGCAGGTGGTACCCGCGCCGCGGTTGGGCGGAGAAGCGCAGGGAGGTCATGCGCGAGGGCCTCTCGCGCAGCGTTCGTTGGAGCCTGGGCATGCGTCGGGCGACGTTCCGCCCGAGGACGGATGTTCGTGTACCTGCTGAGGCGGGGTCTGAGGATATCGGCGGTGAGCTGGCGGACGGGGTTAGGGAAATCGAAGCTGTCCAGCCAGACTTTGCGGGCGGAAGGGTTCTATTAAGGAAGTGGAGAGAGGTTGTTTATGAAATGGTCGCAGTGTGTGCTGGAGCATCGTTGGTCTTGGTTGCCATTGCGTGGCAGGTAGTGGTCACAACTTGAGCCATTCGACCATATTATTCATTACCATGCTGCGCTTTTGACTGAAGATCACGAAGGGTTTGCAGGTGACGAAGTCTGAGAATGAAAATGTTGAACAAAGAGCTGGATAACCTTGACGAAACCGGGACAGCACAATAGCAAGCTGTCAGTTTGGATGTGCATAGTGGGCGCCACTAGTACTGTACAACAGGGTAAGCGATTTGCAGGATGAGAGACTCGGAGACTGTATACTTACGAGAAACCATGCTCGAGGTCTTCGCTTGGTTGAGACCCGGACGACGTGGGCCTAGCTGAGGGCATTTCGTTCCACTCAGTTCGTCAATAAGCAGCAACAAGTCTCAATAAGTCGAGATAGGCGGATGGCAAGCCCGTCTCCGGACACATCGAGGATTTGCAGGAAGGACGAGGTATCTGCGAATTTCACGAACTGAGGATCGTCCCTGGGTTGAATATCAAATTGTAACCCCTTATAACCCGTCTCTCGTTCCGCTCTGCGGGTTCATAATGATGAAGGCTGACGTGGTAGACGCCAGAGCCACAGAGTATGTCACAACTTTTAACGCCGACCCATGAGGCAACGTGATGCCTCATAATGGGTTGGACTAGCGCTGGCTCACGATGCCTCATAATGGGTTGGACTAGCGCTGGCTCACGATGCCTCGCGAGGCAAACGCTATCCTCATGAGATTCACACGAGAAGCGCTTGAGCGAGCCCGAGGCTGCCCGAGGGAGCTAGATTAACCGTGGGAAGCCTTCCAGGAAGGGTATTTTGTTCTCACAGGTGTCCGCAAAGGCTTTTCATTGGCTCAGGGAGCACTCATGATGGCATCACGAGGCTTCAGCCGGGAGTGCCGAGGCAGCTCGAGGCGGCTATCTCATGAGGCAACTTTGGATTTTGCGACATATATCGCATTTGGCATCAAAACGTTCCGCTATACATTGGTGTACAGATGTTGGAACCAACGACATCATCATGGTACTTACGAATAAGATACGGATGACGACAAATTTCTACTTAGAAACTGGGAGCGGCTTACGAGCCGAGCGGCCCCACTATTGTCCGTGACGATCCTCCCCGAGTCCAACTTGTATCTCCCCCGTACCGTGATGGTCGTCGTCGTCGTCGCCTTGAATTCGTTCCGATTGTATGTGTTCAAGAGGCTCCCCGATGTTTCCCAGAAAATCAGAGGGCGTCACTCTGAAATTCACACTGGAGAGATGGGAAAGTTGACGTGTGTCCGAACTGCTCTCCCCAGCGGAGTGGTTGAACTGGCGGAGGTTCAGCATGAAGCGCTGCACCAGTAGAGGAGGCTATGGACGACGATGTTTGGTCAACAAGTACCGCTGCGTCCGGAGTACGTGAAATCTTCACCATAAACTGGACAAAGCCAACGACATATGTGATCTGCAGGCATAAAATCAATTTGAATGCATAAATGCGCACTTCACTACTCACATTCGAGAAACTGTCCGAGTATGTCACAAGCTGCAAGATATTGATAATGAGAAGGGCGCTAAGAATAGGTGTGTCAGGCGGCCTCAGTGTTGACGTTCCACGAAAACCGGCTCACATGAAATATATGGTGCCTAATTCAAGTTCTATAGTAAGCCACGTCTTGTACAAGTCATCAGGTAGCCAGGACATACCATCCCGGAGCAACACAACCGAGAGAGACGAGGCAAGCTTGAGCCGCCGAATCTCCCAGACGTGCTTGAACGACTTGACCCACGTCAGCGCAAGAACGAGGATGTCAGCGGCAATCGCACTGCCCCTTGTGATGTAGAGCACTAGAGAAGTGTGTACTATAGCATAAGACTGCAAAGCTGCGCTCAATAAACATACGTCTAGGAGACCGGTCAGCACATTTCATCAAAGCAGTAACACAGGTCAATATTTACTCTTTATTGAGCTTTGGTGAGACATTGGTGATGTCGGCGCAGGTAGGGAGTATTGGGAGGTCTTCATACACTGTTACTGTGCGCGCCGTACCGAACTAAGAAAATGTCAGCATGGCCGACTGCACGGTTGATAGGAAGCGGCGCACGATGTTGGTTCCGACTGGAACTGTCCCGAGTGCGAGCACCACGGCGGGAAAGATCCACTTCATCCTTGAATCTTGCCAAAGCGCGTACACGCGCAGAGCGGAGAACACTACACAAGAGACTCGTCGAAGTAAGTTCAATCGAATGACGCAAATGCTGACATGCAATCAGGAACGTCATTGATATGAAAACCAGCTGGCCTAGGATGTCGATTGGCCTGCACCTGGTGACAGGCGCAGCGGCTGATTAGGCAAGGTCGTGCGAAAGGTCGGTGCGTACGTCTGGGACGCCCCGATATCGTGAGTTCAAGTCAGTTTACAGTGTGAACGAACTCACACCAGGCTGGTCCTACGCTTAGAGTTCACGACCATGAGCCACCGAATGCTCAACAGCAGCAGTGAGGTGGCCGTGATCTTCCTCCCCCATACCAAGGCAACCTCTTGGTCGAACGTTATCACGAACTCATAGGTCGTAAGGGCTAAAAAGAGGAATTCCACCTGGCGCTGTGGGAGCTTAATACAATACAACTCACCGACTAGCGAGGTATCCACATAGGTTGCTGTCCGACTGGGTACATTATGTGGAGAGTATTAGCTGCAGGGCCGCGCATTCCCGGAAGAGATGGCCCGTACATGCTTACAAGTTCCTGTTCTAAGCCATCGCTTGATTGAGCCATGTTGCCTGGGGTAGGAAGGTGCAGGTTGGTCAGCGAAACAACAAGCTTATCTTCCAGCTATATGTACTGCGGGACATGAGTGATGCCCCGTTGCTAGGAGCCTCTCATGGGTATTCGTTCGTCCTGAAACAGCAATTCCCGCGATATATTGAATGAGCTGAGCGCCGTAGGTGGGCTGTCAATCGGGAGGCAGTGCAGGGAAGATCTACCAAAGAGATAATTTGTAAGACGACATTAAACATAGCACAGTAGTAGGCGTCATATCAAAGGACGTATGCGGTTATTAACGAGCATCTACTCGGGCTGCGACTCGCCTACAGGTTCAACAGTACTTCATGTAGACGTCTATCTGGTTGGAGGCGGAGTGACTGTCGTAATGACATGCACAGGAATCCTAGACCCATATCAGACGTCATTTCAGCCGGAAACCCTGATACTGCGGCATCATGCTGCAGCTCCTCGGGCGCTCTGCAGCTGTCATTCTGCGAATTGAAGCTAATCAGCAAGATATCTTTGAGATAGGAGAAACTGGTGCCGGAGCTGCGTGGATGGAAAACCTTAAGAAAATTAAGCAAAGCCCAGAAGAACCTGTGAACAAGCCGCAAGTACTTCCTTATACCAGCTTGATGCATTTTCAGGCAATACGACGCTTCAGGCTGAACGTAAGCTCTGCATAGAACGGGCCTCCAGCAAGTGTTAGGGGAAGGGGGGCATACAAAGCGGAATTGCTCACCTCCCCGGTCTTGGGTACCGCCTTCCAAACGAGTTGCGAACCCTTAGATAAGGCTATTCCAACACCGTAACAGGATAGATTGGCCTTCCGGAACTCGGCACCAGAGTTAGCCTAGAAGATTGCAATTCTGGTCTATGGCATGCACGTTTCCATCGACGAGGATAGCAGGTGTAGAAGCAGGAGCTGAAACCACGGGAGGACTTTCAGCGCCAGCGAGCAGCAGTTCACGTGCGCTCCCCGGCAACGTCCGAGTGCCACAAAGCAGGCGCCTTTCCCGCACACGACTTCCAAAGCGATATTTACATATCGTACCACAAGTCAGGTCAAACTTCGAATACTGTAAGCGGTAAAATCAGACTGCAACTGAGTTAAGTGTACGGATATGCATAATTCTTGTAGGCCGCGCGTGCCATTCTCAAGCACAATATTTTACTGTACTTTTACGACCTTACCAGCCCCAAATTTGATTTTTCCGACAACTCCCCATATTCGCCATAAATCGAGATAAAATTATTGGCGGGGTCAGCAGAAAACCGGTGTGACGTGTGACATCCGGTATGGTCATAAAAGTACAGTACTACACACTCACTGGCATGCGGCATCTGCCACGCCGACGGTACGCTGGAATACGTATTTCCATAACGACGGCTCTCGAAGATAGTACTGCACTCCCCGCGACGAATAATCGGTACAATTCCTCTAGTAGAATAAAGCAGCGAAGGTAAGCTCGTAATAGGAGGCGGAAGGGTGCGGGCTAAGCGCCATAGCGCGAGAAATATGAGCAGGTTACAGACTCCAGGACGACCGGGGATAAGAAGGCCCATAGAATGTACAATAATCTACGAAAGTCGTGATCCTACCACCATGTACCTGCGAAGATGCCCATAATGAGCGGTCATGCCAAGTGGAAGTAGAGCCAATGCGCACCTAGTCGTCGGCCTCTGCTGGGCGATCAAACAACTCGCGACGCAATGTTTCGCGTGAGCTGGCGGGCGAGCTGGTAAAACTGGACTCTTCATTTGCACGTTCTGAGGGGTGCAATACTGGAGGGATACCGGCTTCCGTCGACTGGTCCCGGCGCGCACGCGACGTGCCTGCCCGCTCCGCGGAGCTCTCTTCCAGGCTATCCTGTGATCCTTCTGGTATATCGCTACCATCATCTATAACCCGATCTGACTGGCTGTGGTCCAGAGGCTCCCCAATATTCCCAAGAAAATCAGGGGGCATTCTGAAACTTGCAGAGAAGCGGGAAAAGTGACGTGCGTCCGAGTTGTTTTCTCCGGCGGTGCGGTTTAGCTGGCGAAGGTTTAGCATGAAGCGTGAAACCAGCACAGATGGCTATATATGATGTTGCAGCATGTTCGGTCAATAAGTGCCCCTATATTTAAGGTTCATTAAATGGTCACCATCGTCTGGAGAAAGCCGTCTATATATGCGCCCTGTCAGCACACAGTCAGATCCATTCCGGGACAAAGTTTTGCTTGAGTTCTTACCTCAAACGGACTGTTCAGGAAAGTCAGGAGCTGCAGGATGTTTATGACGAGAAGGGCACTCGGAGGTCATGCGTCAGATTGTGCCTAGCTCTCGCGACTTCTAGCTTACATAAAATAAACTGTGCCTAGTCCGGCATTCTTTCAGTCGAGTTGTACGCGAGCGAGCAAAGTGGCCTGCGTACCATCTCGAAGTAACACGGCTGACACAGACGATCTAAATCTGAACTGCGTCATCACCTGGAACTGCTTGAATGATTTGATCCAGGTGAGTATGAGGACAAGGATATCAGCAGCGATTGCACTGCTTCTCGTGAGAAAGAGCACTGTGTGAGAGAATTATTGTGTGATGGTGCGAATCCGAGTGCGCGCGGCGTACTTCTAGGGAAAGCGGTCAACCTATCGAAAAGTGGCACCACAAGTCAGCACGCACTCTTTGTTGAGCTTCGGCGGGGCATTGATGAAGTCATTGCAGGTGGAAAGCAGAACCAATGGGGAGTTTTCGTACACAATCTCGGTACGTGTCCAACCGAACTAAAACTGAGTTAGCATAAACGATTGCAACATGATGAGACCGCGGCGCACAATGTTTGTTGCGATTGGGACCAACCCAAGTGTGAGTACAATGATGGGGAAGACATACTTCGTCCTCGACCCTTGCCAGAGAGCGTACACGCGCAAGGCGGAGAAAACTACACAGAAGATCGGCTCCGGTTTACTCCAACGCCCGCTGAGATGCTCACGAGAAATCAGCGCTAGGATCGCCAGGTACGCCAGTATGTTTATTATGTAAAGCAGTTTGCACCTTTTGCCAGACGCAACGGCCTATCAGACAGGATATAAGGGAAGGGCGAGATGCACATCTGGAGGGTGGTGTTATGATGTCAGGTTTAACCCGAAAAGTGTCAACAGACTCACACCAGGCTTGTCCCACGGGCATAGCCGCCAAAATTGAGTTTAAAAGCATGAGCCATCGGATGCCCAACAACAGAAGTGAAGTAGCTGTAAACTTCCTCTTCCATATCACGGTGAGCTCTTGGTCAAGCGTCATAATAAATTCATAGACCACCAGACCTGAAAATCGAATTGTCAGCAAGCCCAGTGCTGTCTGGCTCGACTCAGTCGCAACGCACACATTATCGAGCATTCCACGTAGCTTACTGTCAGACTGCATGCGTGTGGAGTGCATTAGCGGCACAGTGGGCACGTCCTAGGGGGAGGAGGAGGTACGTACATTTGCAGCAGTGCCGTATTCTGGCTGCCGTTTGACTGAGCCATGTCGCTTGTTGTCAGAAGATGCGCCTGGCGGGTTGGTGCAGAGCGAACTCACATGCGAGCGTTGTATACTGCGGTATATTTGACCAGACTTCTTTTAGTGCCGACATACCGCGGAACAGATCGCAGCAGGATCAGCGGACAATCATGATAATTGAGTAGACCCTTGCTGAGTAAATGTCATGGCAGCGGGCACTAGTGTAGTGTGGCGCCCCGACTCGGAGTGAGACTGTAGCCTTTGGCTACATGAACTGTCATACGAGACTACCATGGTGATGGTATACGCAACGTTTATCCCAAGAGTCGGGACCACCAGCCACGCGGAAGGTAGACAGGCTTAGGCGCTGTGGACAGACTGTCCATCTAAAGACTGCGCGGGTGAGGAGAGAACTGTCAGTGATCTTTCATGAAACTGTAATCAAAGATTGTCAACACGAGATTGCGGGACATGCACAGCCGCGAAAAAGGCATCTCCTCGGGCCGCAACTCAGCTGAAACATATATCAATCAAAGCTTAATGTCACTGACTGTTGAGGTCGCGTCTAAGCTGAATTAGCCACCTGACTTGCTTGCTGTTATCCATCGAGGCAGCTGCCGCCGCCGCTCCTCTGCCGCAGTGCCTACCGAAGGGCAAGCACGAGGAGCCAGGTACCACTCCTATCTGGCACAAAGCGAACCAATTTCTTGTCGAATCTGCCACATACATCCTGTGGAAGCAGATCAGCTTTCATGGATAGATAAAGCCGCATATATGCGCACCTGGGATTATATGGTTCGGCGTCGGCGATGTAATTGTATGCGGCCGAACGAATATGGTTCAAGATGCCGAAGTCGTACAAGCCTGACAGGGGGATGCCCCCCCCCCCC